GGCGGCCTCGCGGCGGCGCGCGCGCGCCGCGGGGCGCCGCCCCCCCCCCCGCAGAAGAGAGGGTTTCTACTTGCAGAGGAGTGGACTCGGCCTTGCTTTGGTGTCCGCTAGCTGGTCTGGTATACGTATATGCTTTTATTGTATCGTGAACGTCCTATTTACAAACTATGAACATGAAAAATGAGATGGCTCTGGCCCCCGTGCCCCGTGCCCTGCCTGTCTCGCTTTGTGTCTCTATCAACCCTCTAGTAACCTCTTCTTTTCGCATCCCTCACCTGGCTCATCAACTCTTTGAACCCAGCAGAGAAATTACGCCTCCACCATTGTCTATGCTTTTGCTTTTGAAGCTTGGCCTTCCCTATGAAACGGGCCTGCTCTGTTTTTAAGAATCTGACCTTATTGGTACGGACCAATGTGGCTAATCCACCTACAATATTTCCTACGTTTTGGCCCATGCGCACGTCTAAAGTACGGCCAGCGAGTGGACCAAACATGCGAACGTTTTTGGCTACATCTCTTGGGTGTGGAGCAGGTTGCTGCAATAAGTAGTTGGAGCTTCTGGCACGAAAATCTGAAGATGTGAATTTCGAAGACCCTGGGGTGGAAGGGGATGAAGATGATGCATTGCCATTGTTGGTCTTGAGAGTGTCTTCAAATGATAAAAGTAAGTGGTCTACATCGGAAATTACGCTTTTGTCCTTCGAGTCTTTATTTGTTTTAGTTGCCTTGTTGGCACTGGTGGTCTTGATCGCCTGAGAAAGCTGCACCAAAGTGGAATTTTGGCGTGCGGATATGAACCTGAACATGGGAGACGAATTCAACGATCTGAGCATCTTTCTTGTATCGCGTGTGTGGTGTGTAAGATGTGTGTTTCACCTGCTGGTTGTACACCTGTAGAATCGAACCGCTTGAAAAAAATTTCATCACCAGTATCGAGTTGCGTCGGTGCACGACCCGAGTGAAATTACATGCGATAGAGTTGTAGATCCTGCATGTAGACAAGTGTCATACCGGTAAGGAGAAGGAGCAGAAGCAGCAAGATAGTTTAGGCATTGGCTTTAGAACGCTCTATAGCTAGACGTACGTAGACAATTGCACCCAATGGCTCGCATACGCTCCAAGATACTCTATGTAGAAAAGCATGTGTCCATATATACGATTCCTGCGGAAGAATTGCAAGCGAACGAGCTGGGAGATCTAGGTCTCGATCTTGACAGAGTAAGCCAAGGAGAACGAGATCGCGACTTTGGGGCTTCTTCTTCTGCACCAGTACAGATTTGGTATGGATCTTTGAAGGTTGTACAGGAGGAATTGGATGAAGATGATGAAGAATATAGAGATGTAGATGTAGACAGTATAAATAAAGACGAAACCGTAGCTGGCACGAATCCAAGAAAGCCCTTCCACACAATTAAATTGAAATTGGTGTTCTTTAACAAAATCGCAGATGAGTTTGTTCCCTGGGCTGAAGTTTGGTACAACCCATTGGACAAGCCTTTGGATTATTTCTCCATTGCAAAGAACGGTGAGGAGACAATCCTGTTGATCCTGGACACCTGCCAAAAATTTAAAGTCATAGCTCAATTCCCTGGCACGGGCTACCACCCCATCGAGGGTTCCCCTGAGGGGAGTGAGAAGGATGAAATAACTCAAGTTGCATTGGAATTGAGATTTTCCGAGGTTGATCAAGGCTTGTCATTTCTTGAAGCCTTGGATAAGTACCACGTAAATTACTCCAGCGTGGTGGACTCGTATCTCTATGAGCTGCAATTGGCAGGAAAGACTGCAAGTTTAACCTTGGATAGCAGTGATCTAGAAGAGGAGCAAGAGGAAGACGACTTTGGGGACTTCGTAGCAGCATAGTATTGGTTATAAGCATTTATTGAGGGAACATTTATAAAGAAAATAAAGCAAAAAAATTATAAAAAAAAAAAAAAAAAGTTTTGTAGAGTTCATTTGTATGAAAGGTGTGACAGAGTGTGTCGTTTGACGTTAACGCCCTTCTCTTCCGAGGTGTAAATGTAGGTGTCGGTGTTGGTTTCAGTGATATTGTTTTGTTTCTTTTATTAGTATACTTGTATTTATTGGCACCATGCGTGGGTATCTGTTTTTATATTAGTTCACTGATGTTTTATAGGTACCATGCTTGGGTTTTTGCTCTATTTATTTGCCTTGTTTTTTGTAGTACATTTTTTGAATCAATGGATGGTGTTCTTTAAGCTCCTTATTCTTATTCTTACTGTACTCAATGTATGCCATATCCTCACCACCAGCTAACCCAGCCAATGATCCTGAGGTTCTGCTGGCAACGCTGCCTCCGTTAGCAGCCTCCAATTTCTGTCTTCTCTCCTTCGAAATAAAGTTTGTATCGATATCGTCCCCAATTTCCACTCCGGCAGCATCTTCATTCTTCAATAGCACCTGCTGTAACAATTCCCTTCTCTCTCTTGCAGATGAGTATGCCAAGTTGGGCAATTGTTCCATTCCACTTAGATGCGTAATTACTTTGAATGCATAACCTTGATCCACCAAAAATGCTTGTCTTTTGGTCGAGTAATACATTTCTTGGGTATCCTTTGATACCAACGAATAGAAGAAGGCGTTGAACCCTTCATCATTTCTTCTCTTGGCTCTTAAGATTCTTCCCAATCTCTGTGCTTCTTGTCTTCTGGAACCGTAATGCGACGATATTTGAATTAAACAAGTAGCTTCGGGAAGATCGATCGAGGTGTCTCCAACCTTGGAAAGGAAAATTGTATTAATGGCATCATTATGCTGGAAATTCTGTAAAATTTTCATCCTTTCCAGCTGTGGAGTGGATCCATAAATGAAAGGTTTTCCTAATTTCAAGGCGTATTCTTGCAATGCGTAGACATTGTCACTGAAAACAATGATCTTATCACCTCTCATTTCGTGATAATGAATCAAGAACTGACATGCTTGGAATTTAGTTGGGTTCATAATATACAACAACATTCTCTTTCTTGCCGATTCTCTAAGATATTCTTGATAGAATTCTGAGGTCATGGGGCACCATACCTCTGCACATTGAACATTTGCAATATGGCCCTTTTGTGCCAATTCCATCCAATTAGCTTCGTACAATTTTGGGCCAATGAGGAAATTCAAATCATCAATCTTGTCATCCTCACGGACCAACGTAGCAGTGAGACCCAATTTAGCGTGTGCAGCGATAGTAGTAACCACTCTTCTAAACATGGCAGCCGGAACCACATGGACTTCATCCAATATAATGAGCCCCCATTCTCTAGAAGTTAAGAAATCCATAACTTTTTGAGAATCATGCGATCTGTTTCTTGTGTTGGCAACCATGGAATATGTAGAAACAACTAACCCAGAGTCTCCGCTGAACATTTGCTTATTTTCAGATGTGAAAACTGCAACATCTTCGGGTTGAATCGTACACCACTGCAAGAATTGTTGTTTCCATTGCTCCACGGACACAGAACTCGTACATAGCACAATAATCGATTTACTGATTGTGCAAGCTGCAGTGATACCAACCAAAGTCTTCCCAGCACCACATGGCAAAACAATAATTCCTGATCTTGCTCTACCGTTACCAAACATTTTACTAAGAGATTTCTCTTGATATGGTCTAATTTGAGTGGATGGCTTCAAGAAGATTTCTAGGGGAGGGTTCTGATCATCGTTACGAAAATCATATTCCTCAAGTACGGGATAGTCGATCTCTTGACATCTCTTCTTAACGATTTCCACTGATTCGGTGGCAATTTCGAACGAGTGAACCTTATCAAAGTCCTCGTCTTCCTCGTAGTCTTCATCGACTTTCTTTTGTCCAACGATGTCTGCAAAAATGTCCTCTACTCCCTTATCCTTGTCAATACCGTTTTTATTATTGGCGTCTGGCTTTTTCGTTCCAGGAATCTGTAAATCACCTAATGTCGGAGCAGCCGATTGGACCAAACCATTACTGTTTACCACATTTTCACTGGATTGAATTCTCAAGGGCCCGATTACAGGATCCTGCAACAACATCTGTAAGATAGCAGCTTGCGACAGCTCTACGAAGTACTTGTTCTGCTTCAACACCAATTTGATCTTACCATAGGACATGGTGGCCATCTTGATGAATTCAATGATAGCCGGAGCTACAGGCATCTTGGAGAATCTTTCCAACACCGAAATTATATCGTTGGTCTGTAAACCAATAGATGCCGCAGCATAAAGAGAATAAGTGGAAATTCTGTACTCATGTATATGGGAAGGTCTTGAAACTGGTTCTGCAATGTTGATAAGGAAATCTTGAGCTTGCTCTGCCCAAGGTGAAAATGATTCCAAGACAAGAATGATCTTATTGTTTGTAAGAGAAACCCAAATTGGACGGGTAAAATGGTCAGGTTTCAACTTCAAGTATGAAAAATCTGCAATCCCGAATAGCTTGGATACAGCGTCGGGGATATAGTCAGCTGGTAGTTCGTGGTTGACCTTGATCAATTCATCGTCCGAGTACTCGATATCATCGAGTCCTTCCTTGATCGCATCTACATTTTCCTGAATCTTTCTTCTCTTGGCGTTGTCGGCATTCAGTACTGAAGAGGACGCGGTAGCGCCGGGAGTAATACTTGCGGGCTTCTTCTTTTGGGGTCTGCTACCATATGAGTAATCGTCATCTGCATTCTTCTTGCCCTTGGGCTTGGCTCTAGACTTGGACTTTCTTGCTCCATCATCATCGCTACTACTATATGCATCGTCAGAATAGTTTCCTTGTTCTAGCTCTGCATAGTTGATACCACCCTGTCTTCTTGACATGATTACTGATGTAATTAGTGGATAAAGAACGAAAGACAATGATCCCTTAGTAATCGCTAGTGATATTTGAATTTGAGGATCATATGGTCGTGTGTCTGATTGTTTATATGCAGGCGTACTCTTTTAGGTGGAGAGGGAAGAGGGAAGAAGATTACGTTAGAAGGAGAACGAAGTTCGATTTGGTAGGAGTTGGTGGGGAGTTCCACTGAGCTCAAACTATTGGCGATCTTTCCTGTATCTTTCACGCTGTGGCACCGTGATGTTGCGCAGCGTTTCAGAGCCTCATCTCTCTCTCTCTCTCTGTCTCTGTCTTAAGACCGTTTCAGTTTTAGTTTTGTGCTCGGAATTTTTTAATGGCTGCAAATTTTTGTTACACATCTGCTTACTGGCAGGTTACACACTCGGCCACACGCTGGCTAGCTCTCTCTAGCCCTCTGTGTTCGCACTTTCCACTCCTTCCTGTTCCTCTCACACGCGCACACGCAATCTCTCCGTCTCTCCGTCTCTCTCTACTCCTCCTTTCTCCTCCCTGTACAGTCTCCCTACTCCCTCTCTCTACTCCCTCCTGCTACACCCTCTCCCTACACCCTCTCCCTACACCCTCTCCCTACACCCTCTCCCTACACCCTCTCCCTACGCCCTCTCCCTACACCCTCTCCCTACGCCCTCTCCCTACACCCTCTCCCTACACCCCAGCACTGCCTCCTCCTATTCACTCTGCCTTCTCCTCCCAGTTCTTCTCAGCTCACTCCTTTCACATCTACTCGCAACTCGCTCTCCCCACGTCAATCTCTGGTCTACCCTCCTCCTACACTCAAACCTTTCTATTACTTAATTTTACATTAAAACACCTAATTAATTACAAACTTTATAAATATAATATAAATATATATTCAGCGACTTGATAAGTCGCCCAAATCATGACATTAAAGGAAAGATAAGCACGCTGTTATAACATATTACTTTTCTTCAATGTATTCATGTTGCTTTACTTTCCCGCCCTTTCATTACATTCCTAATCCTTGAACTTGTAGGATCCTGAATGCATGGTGATGGACCCTCCTTTATAGGAACCCCTTTTCATCTTGTTCTTGTTTTTGGTAAAATCCTTTCCTCTAACCTGAAGGAGCTTGTCGTTGGCCATTTCACCCCAAGTTCCGGCAGCGCCCTTATAGGTGTTATCCAATAATGCTTGGTTTTCAAATGAGATCTTGGATCTATCAATTCTAGAGAAGTGGATTCTCTGGCCAGGCTGTAACTCTTCTAAGGAAGCTGGGATGTGGTCTTCTGGAATTGGTGTAGGGGTCATTGACTCTGTGCTTGACGAGGAACTATCTTTTTCCTTCTTTTGCTTCTTGGATGAGTTAGATGATTCATCGTCTGAGTGGGATCTCTTGGAGGGTTTAGATTCAGAATCTGAGTCGGAGCCGGAGTCTGAGTCTGAAGAATCAGAATCCGATGATGAGTCTGATGATGAAGATGAGTCTGAGGAAGACGATGATGAAGAAGAGTCGGAGTCGGAGTCGGAGTCGGAAGAGTCAGACGACGATGATGAAGAAGATGACGATGACGATGACGATGACGATGAAGAGGATGATGAGCTCGAACTATCTGAGTCTGAGTTTGAGTCTGAGTCTGAATCTGAGTCGGAAGCGGAATCTGAATCTGAATCTGAGCTGTCGGAATCTGAGCTGTCGGAATCAGAACTATCAGAACTAGAGCTCTCTGAGTCAGAGCTGTCTGAGCTAGAGCTGTCTGAATCAGAACTGTCTGAGCTAGAGCTATCTGAATTGGAACTGTCTGAGCTAGAGCTATCTGAGTCGCTATCGCTGTCACTCTCATCAGTTGCTTCCTTTTTTGCATCTTCCATCTTCACATCCTCTTTCTCTTCCTTGATGACTATCAATTCCTCCAATTTCGCATCGCTCTTTAAAACGGCTATATCATTCTTTGCGATGGTCTTGGTTAAAGCTGAAGAAACTTTGGAAAATTGAGGATCTCTTTCCAAATAATTCAATATTAATCCTAAAACTACTTCTCTAGACGACATTCTGGGAATTGGATCAGTATCGATGGGTGCAGTTAGGGTTGTACTAGGGTAAAGAAGAGTATGAAAAATTCCAAAACTGCAGCGATGCTCTGGATAAAAAAGATGTGAAAAAAAAAAAAAAAAAAAAAAAGAAAAAAAAAAAAGAAATGCCATAGTACGGCATATAAGCGTCAATATGCTGCTGCTACTACTAGCGTGATAGGGACCCTACACCACTAGCTTGCTAAGGGAGTACTGATACAACAGCCGGTTTCATCTCAATTTATGATCCTATATTCACTATACTGTGAAATAAATATACTTTACCAGTCTACTTCATTGCGCTACGCTTGCCATACACCATACGTTTTTACCTATAATTTGATAGACGTCCTCTTCTCAAAATGCTCTCTCAAAATAGCTTGTCTCCTAACTCTTTCAGCTTGTTGTGTATCTAACACTTGCTCTTTAGGGCGCAACTCTTCAATTTTGGAGCCATCTTCTTTAGCTCTTTCCTCAATAATTTCTTGTATTATTTTAATTATTAAATCGGGGTCCTCTCCATTCACTATGTGGTTCCCCTTGCAGTCTATTTGGCGAATTACATGTTTGAGTTGCTCCACGAAGAAAGACTTTGCATCGGGCAATGTATTATCTTCTGAGCTTAAAATGTAGTATACTGGAATATCAACTTTCTTATAGAGCTTCATCCCGATGGGTACGGAAACTGATGCAGAGCAATACGTTATAAGTTGGTCCTTCACTGTAGTCTTCGTATACACATGCGTAGTGTCCCCTCTAGCCTCTAGACATTCGCCTTCTTCGTATATGTCATCATCCAATAAATATTTTAAAACCATTGGATGGAACTTCCTGTAGAACGATCTCTTCTTGAAGAATGCATCAGAGACTTCGAATCGGTTATCATAATTTACAATCTCAAACTTGTCTCTCATGAACCCCCTATTTGCCCAATCCTTAAACATTGCCGCACTGACTTGATGCATACCCTCTACTTCTGGGTAATACATGATTAGATTCAAGGGAACCACCGCATGGAAAATTCCTGGATTTAGGTATTGAGTCATCAATGAAATGAATCCACCCATCGAGTGACCCACGAGAAGATTAATATTTTTGAAGCCTACATTCCTGAACGCTCCATCTTCAAATTTAATCATTTCAACTACATCCCTAGCACCATCTATCCAATCGAACATCTCTTCACCGAGGTTCTCTTGGTTTAAAGCGGCGGAGTCTGCATGATTAACCATATCTGGTGTCAATACATTTCCAATTCCAATTCCTGAAGAGTTAGACTCGGAATTGTATAGGCGATACAAGTTTTCGATGTGATATTTCCAGATACCTTTGTTCATCCCAGTCCCATGGATGAATACAAGATTAATCAAAATTTTCTTATCTTGAATTGTTTCATAATTGGGGGTATATTTTCTGTAGCAGAGCTTCAACTTTGCGTCGAAAATAGTTGAACCTACTTGCCTTGGGTACGCGGCAGGGATCACGAGTTTATTTGAGGTGTACATGTTGAACCAAGTTGAGCGTTCATAAGTGAGAAAATAATTTAATTGATTAAAGAGATGCTCTTTAATAGAGAAATAAGAAAATGTGGGGTAGGAAAGAAAATTCGAGTAGCTCCGAAAAATTTCAAAATCCTCGGTCTGGTTTGGTGCCGATATGAAGAGAAAGGATACGAACAAAAAAATGTACTAGACTTAGTAGGAAAGAGATCGAGGGATTTACTAAAACCTGGGCCCCCTGGAAAATAGACACATGCGATGTATTTGTAGGAAATTGGGGGACCGGCCATGCCGGCAAGAGCGTAGCGATCGGGAGCACATGATCAAGAGCACAATAGCAGGATAGGTAAGGAGCCAGGAGTGGGCCAGGCAACTACTGAAATAGTTTTTATATAAGTAAGTTGCTTGCCAATAGAGCGTAGTAAATACTATGTTTTAGCTAGCCAAAATCCATATAGAGCTGAAAAATATGGCTAATTACACCATCTCGGTTAAAGGTGGAGAGTTAATTCGCGACGGCTTCTGCCCGTTGCGGGATGAGACAATAGGACTATAAGCACCTAGTGATCTAACCGTCCACGGGAAATTTGCTTTCTCGAGGATAACAGAGCTCTCAGAACCAATGACAGGGCTCGAGACACTCACTGGATGAAGAATTGAGAGGAAGAATTTAATCAAACTGTTTCAGTAGTCGGTACCTTTCACATCATTGGTCATTTAGCTTGTGGCTGATCTCAACGAAGGAAATATATTTTTTCAGCGCCTTGTTCCCTTGCCTCTTCCATATTGATCAGTACTGGCATGAGCATTATGCAGTGAACATGATCATCATGCAGTGGACATAAGGTATAAGCAATTCGATACCATCTTCTCTCTTCAACTATTGTGCCTTAATTGAAGCTTAACTAAACTTACTTTATTGTTAAGATGCACTACCCATCTCCATTCTTGATTTATCAGTGCCCCACTAGCCTAACATTCTCTTTAACAACATCTTTTGCCTACTGTCAATATTGTTCATAATTGTTCGTTCAGCGCGCACTTCGGCGCACAATCGCGCATACCTCTCCTTCCTCCCCTCCTATCCCCCTGAAATAAAAGACAAAACGCTGCAGCACACCACTGCGATGGTTGCACCTAATTATAGGCTCTTGTGTGCCTTGTTGCTACAACCGTTTACAGTAGGTGGAAAAGGGCTATAATTAGGCTAAGAATCGTTTTCTGTCTCCGCAATATGTAGACAATAAGTGTAGGTGGCTGGTGAAAAATAAGGTATCCATTCTGACAAAAATTGTATTATCCTGTTTTAGACTTGTGACAAAGAAACTTTTGTCAGAATTCCCTCACCAAGGTCGATAAAACAAAACAATAATTGTTTGTTTACAATTCCCTTTCACAACCCGTCGGCCAAGTATAGTTTCACAAACGGAAACCAGCTTCGACATCCTTGTAGATCATTTCTTCTTTGCCGATTTTCTCTATATATCTTCGTCCGCTTGTTCTTCTTGTCTGCTTGCCCACCTGTGTCATCCCAACCAGCTGTGAGTGATCTATTCTCGTAAATTAGCATTTCAAAATAAACATAAATAATAAAAAAAAAAAAAAGAAAAGGAAGAAAAAGAAAAGGAAGAAAAACGAAAATAAAGAAGGCAAGGAAAAAAGACAGAGAGCAAAAATAAAATTAGTATCCCTCTTTACAACTACATACTTATAGACAAATCCCTCTACGGTACAGGGTTATAGACCACACACACTAGTATATGTATATGTGTATATAGAGAAGCACCGTGTAATTGATTAATAGTGGAAACCCGTAAAAAATAAAAAAAAAAAAGAACGGACAATAGAACTAGAGAGTAGGTCACACAAAAGTAAGAATCATCACAAGAAGTAACACACTCACAAGGAGGCACCGGAACTTACAGCATATTCTTCAAGAACATACCCGGAACTGGCTCAAAAGGTTTACACACCCACATACACACACACACACTACGCATACGCTGCGCACACACTCACTGCCAAAGTCACAGTCACACACTAGCCACCCTCACTGAAACCATTATTGATGAGCGGTAAACCTACAACTCCAGTGCAGTCCCCTAAAATCCCTAAGGTTGTCAAGATGGATACACCTTCAACACCACCATCGACCAGAAGACTGAAACGTCACAGCACAACCTACCTCAAGACGCCTGAACAGGTAGATATAATACCCTTCTCACCCTCGAAGAAGAGGTCCAGCTCGGTATACAAGTCTCCAGATTATAAATTTCATAACGTCCAGTCACCATATTATGCATCCAGCTTATTGAAAACTCCAAGACATTCTCAATATGACGATGAAGAAGGCGAAGGTATAAGCAAGTCACAGAAAACTCCTCAGTTCTTTTCCCCTGGTAAAAGACTCTTCGCTGAGGACAATAGTCAGCAAAGAGAGGAATTGTCCGAGATTAGTTTGCAATTGAAAAATAAGTTAAGCAGTGCCTTGGGCAAGTTGCAGCAATCACAGCAGCAGAACAAACTGCTAAGTAGCAGCAAGGTAATCAGTGATATGTCACCTGTACCACAGATGCAAATTCAAAGAGCCAACCTTAATTTGCAGACCCTCCAACAATCTCCTTTACAATATTCACCACCAAGGGTGTCACCACCAAGAGTACAAACTGATGGTGGTAGACAGCTTTTCCCTCAAACCCCTATCCAACACCAAGAACGGGCCACGCAATTATCGAATTCGCCAAGTTTCGAGAGGATAAATATTCCTTCGCCAGATGAAGAGACTAGTGCACACAATGCGCTTATGGCAGCTTTGAGTCGACAACAAAAAAGAAGATCAAGATCATCCTTTCTGAATAGCTCTCCTGGTAAAGCAGTATCAGCATTACGGAGAAATTCAGCCACGGGACCTGTAGTTCCTCCAAATGCAACCGGAAATGTAGATGGCGGATCCAGGCTTCCTCCAATCAATATGGCGCTAAACACGGAAGTCAATGAGCGTGGAAAGGATAATGAGCAAGATGCTGTATTGTCATTAATGTCACTTTCATCGCCGCAAGCCGTAAAGTTTACCCATAGCCGGTCACATAGTAATATCACGAATGGCAGTGGCTCCCCAGTAAGTTCTAGGGCCTCATCTGTTGCGATTGCTAGTCCAAGTGTGCAGCAATCTGGAGTGCAATTGCCGCCAATCAGCGGCTTAATGTCACAGTATACAAGGCAGCTGCTGAAGATCGAAGACAATGATGAAACAGACGTTGAAGAGAACGACGAAGATGAAACGGATAATGATGACGATAATGATGACTAATTAGCAAGACAGGAGCTTGAAATATTTAGGAACAAAATAAGAACGAAAGTATTAGAAGGAGATCATGTAGGGGTGCCTGTGTAAGGTGTAAGGTTCAGTGTGCAAAATAGAAAATGTACAATTAAGAGACTATGCGAGGGAGAGAAAGAACTGAGTGTAGAAAGATGTTAGCTCATGAAGAATTGGTTTTGGCTTGGGCCCAGAAAGAGTTGGGGGTATGTTCGGACTCAGCAAGATCAGAGCTGAGCGAAATATCATAGCGTAAACATATTAGTCTAAACTGACCAAATGCGACATAACCTGCGGTTTTTGCAAATTGCGCAGAAAATAGACAATGCTACAGAGCAGAGAGAAAAGCGTACATGGGCCTGGACTTGACAACCAGCACTTGACAGAGCAAAACCTAGCCCTTGTAGACTCTTTCCTATCCACCTCCATGTACCTTTTTCCAATAGGAACCAATACATATCAGGCTGACCAGCAGCGTTCTACGAGCTTCGACGATATATCACTGTCCCAAAGCCTTCCAATGAGGTTGCAGCATTACTAATGAGGAAAAAATGAGCTAAGCTGCAAGGTACAAGCACGCTTTCAAAAGAAGCACGAATGACCAGGGTAAGACTACCGTTAGGGGCCCAAATTTCAGAGGTTCGACTCCATATTCATATTCATACCCTTGCACAGCCAAGAATCATGATGGAGTGGCATATTGACAGCAACCGTTGGCTGTAGCGACTGTTTGCTTAGTGTTCATAATCTGCTCTTTCTTTTCCAAGCTTTGTTAGCGATCCCGGTTTCGGTGTACGATTTTCTTTCTTTCTTTTTTTTTTTCTTTTTTTTTTCTTCGCTTTTTTCTTCTCTTTTTTCTTCTTATCCCCTTTTGTGTAACTTCCGAAAGCAGTTACAGTTTCCATTACTAATGAGATGGATCTGATAAGTTATGGCGTTATTTTTTTCAGGCCTTATTAGCATATATATACCCAAGAAGATCATTTCTAGTGTGGTAGAAAGGCATATAAGAGACGTCTATTACACTCGCAGACATTTTACGCTTGTATTTCGCACTCAAAATCTACTAAGAAAGAGACCTGGTGTGCACTTAATTTACCTGGCTACTCCTTTCACTTTCATTTACCATGTCTATTCTTTTATTACTTCACCCTACCGTCGTTGCTAACGAAGATCAGACTGATCTCGTGCTTACCACCAAGCAACAGCTTGCACAGCAATACCCCAATGACCACATAGTTCAGCAGATTATGGATAGAGTGGCGAACAAGAAGGTTGCCTTAGATGACGGTAGCTTCAACAGAGTGGTATACTTGAATCCAAACCAAGATAAGAGCATCCCCGTAGCGACATTACCAGTTTTATCTGACTTGTTAGTTGCTGGAGGCTCTATTGAAGGAGATTTACCATCAGATCAAGATCTAGATGTCATTATGAATGGGTTGTTGATTGACGATGGTGTGTGGATCAAGCCAAAGTATGAAGCAGTACAATTAAAGAAGAAACCTGTTGCTTCTACCTTGAATGCCTCGAGTGGCGCCTCAAAAAGTGGTTTAGTGGGCAAGAAGTTGCCAATGTTCAAGAAGTTAAACAAGCCTCTGACAAAGATTGTAGCGGCACCGGCACCTGCCCTTACTGACTCCAACACCAATTCCGAAGGTGAGGAAGAAAACAGCATGAAGAGGAAGCTTCAAGAGACGAAGCTTAGTTACTTTTCCGATGACGACGACGATGATGGGATGGATGACGATGAAGATGAAAATGACGATGACAGGGTTGTTGAAGACGAATTAATTAAAGAGAGTGACAAGTTCCAATTGTCCACATCTCTTATAACGCCCAGATCTTGCGACATAACCAAGAAGAAGAGAAGAAAGGCCTGTAAAGATTGCACCTGTGGATTGAAAGAGTTAGAGGAAGAAGAGCTCAACAAGCAATCCACACTCCAAGATTCCATTTTGGGCAAGATGGCCCAACTGGCTACATTGGAAGCAATGAAGATTGAAGAGAGGTTGAAGAATATAATTAAATTTGAAGAGAAGGATATGGCCGAGATTGATTTCACCATCGAAGGAAAGACCGGTGGATGTGGCTCATGTGCTTTGGGTGATGCTTTCAGATGCGATGGATGTCCATACTTGGGTTTACCACCTTTCAAGCCAGGTGAAGCTATTACTATTGATAGTTTCGGTGAAGATATTTAAGTGGAATCAATGGAAACACTTCTAAGTGCTAGACTTCTCAGAGATTTCTACTTCCAAAGCTTAAGAAATGCAACTTAGCCATTCATTTACAGACAGAGCCTTTGTATTGTTGACGCATTTGCAAAAGGTGTATTACTTTGCTCGCTTTCTTCGATGTTGGCTACTGGGGTGCTCAGTTTTGATTTCAGTATGGAGCATTCCTATTAGCTTACGATAATTTATATCCTGAGATGCTGCTCAGGTACACAGATTTTTTTTTAGCGAAAAGCAGCTTGAAAGCTAGAGTTTGTAGCCTAAAGAATGCTGAATAAGCGAGTTAAAAGTTAATCTTAAAGACGAAAGGCTGAGAGCGATACGAAACTTCTCAGGCGTTTGAATTAGTTTCGACTTGGAACAACTTTATTCCAGTTCAGACCATCAATAGACTTGCAAGTTTAAATTACCGAACTGCAGCATAAGTACGAAGAATATGCAGCAGAAGTCGGGTAGATTTGGATTTGAAACAACGCCCACTTCTGCATTCACTCCATTTCTTATTGTTGCTGACTTTATCCGAGAGATGACGCCTCGACTTGGTTGGTCCAGAAGCTTATACACGATGCGAACACACGTTTATAGTTCTTATTTTTTGCTGATCGAGAAATAACAATAGAAGTAGAGCTCTTACAAATTTGTAGATTATAAGTTGCAACTTTTGTCTCTTATGTAACTGGTCGCCCTTCTACGTTATAGAAGCGGAACACATGCAAGAAGCTATTGTTCTTCCAAATTGGTCTCATTTTTAATATCCCGCTTGGCAAATTGCATGGAAATGCTCGTCGAGATTCCCGAACAGAAAGAACAATCACGGTGACTAGAGTTTCAATTCCTATTTTAAGTTGTCCCCATTGGAACTACACTCATTTACACTTCCTCATTGGGCTGCAATTGGAATGCAAGTGAAAAAAAATAATTACTTAGAAAGAATATGCAAAGGACAATGTCTAATGCAATAGAGTTACTCCGGGCGAAGGTTAAATCGAGGCAAGCAGCCACATCTTTATTGACTACAATAAGACGACTATATTAATTAGATGAGTATCGTGGCCCGAGGCTAGCATTATACTGAGCAGCATAAAGGTGAGTGACGAGCAGATTGGCTTTGTGTTGAAAAGATTATTATTTTTGTCACAGTATCATTCCATCACGTAACCCGAAACGTAAAAAAATATTGACACAGCATTGACGATTTTGAAGACCGTGCTTAAAAATTTGTGTGATGACTTCATACACGGTTCGTGATGCGTGGGGCCAGGAATTACGCTACATTCTCCAACTTGTTGCACTAAGGTTTACTGTATAGCCTATGCATGTAATTTATACTCGAACCCCTCCTTTAGCTGCTTCTTATGTATATCTAGGTCTTGCATTAATCCACATCAGCATAAGTCGATTAAGCTCCTAAAACCTTAAATAGATACAGTAATTATCCGCTGTAACCATCGTTGATGAATTAGGTATCAGTAACAAGAAATACAAGTTAAAAATAGAAAAGTCAAAAAGTACAAATTAAGAAATATGAAACTTGACCAATTTAGAATTACGCGACCGTTACACGTTAGCTGATTCAGCTCTGCTTGATTGCGTAAAAAAGAGGCAGTCTCAGCGAAAAGGATTGCTTCCGAATAAGCCCTTTCAATGTAGTTTGGTTCGTGAAGTATATGGTACGCCTTTCATGTTCAATTCCCTGAGTTTGATTATAATCTTTGACTGTCAGCCTAGTCACTGCCCCTTGTTTCCCGCGTAAATGTGCAGAAGCGAGCCACCACCCAGCTATTGTCAGTAGCAATAGGAAGATCTCTTACAATTGCCATGGAATATTTGCAAAAAATTAAGCCGAAAAAAGTGCATGTGTTCTAGGTAAGACATTCCGAATTTAGAAGAAATAGAGACGATCTGGAGAATATTTAGGTTATAACAATAAGGGGCAAAATTTAGCAATAGGCTATAACGCAAGATTCAAGTTAATTGATGATTCGTAAAGCAACTACTGTGGATAAGAAATTCTTCCTTTGGATAATGTCTATCAATATTGAGAGTATGCAAAAGAAATAAGGTACAGCCACTTCTTTTCTATTCTGTTCCTTTATTTTTTATTTTATTTTTTTATTCCTTCAAGTTGCTCTGCTGTGGTAACCTTGCTCATCCATTCGCATTTCGTCACCTCCTACTCTTCTCGCTTCTGAGGATGTCTAACTGTACCTGAACCCCTCCCCCCCTGCCCCAAGATGGAAAGATACGTCCAGTGGTGAACTGCCTCGTTCTGCGATTTTCCCCAGAGTCCGCTACGGTGCACAAAACCAGTTGGCTAATCTTTCGTTCCTGAAGTATCAGCACGAAATTCTCAGGCACATCAAACGCTTGACACCAAGAATGTGTCTTTGCATGGATACACTATACATTAAAACCTTGTTTTTCTATTATACTTTCTGATCCAAGATTTAAATGATGAGGTGAAGCAAATTAAGAACATTTGAACTCAAAGAGAAAAGTCTAAACAGGAAAAGTTTTTCTTAGGTTCAGGCTAATCCCTAATAGAAAATAGAATGAAACTCAGTGACATACAGTGCATAATGTAAATTCCGTTCTTCGCTGACAAAAATTTGATAGCTCGGCCCTTCATCACGCATTTGCATAAAGCACACTAGGTACACTAGATCCTCAAGTTGGACACAATGCAATTATTAAAAACATTGACCAGGGTTCTTACTGGTGTACATATTTTGATAACTTTGAGATTATTTTTTGAGCTAGCATTTTTTTTTTCCACTTTCTGAATTTCGGGCATAATGCAGATCTCACATGCTTAAAAAATGTTAAGATTTACAATTATGCAGCGTATTATGCAGCCGGAGCGAGCAACAATTTCAACTGACTTTCTAAAAGGGGACGAATTTATTTTATTTTTTGCGTTTGGCGCGGAATACTTCCCTCTAGCCATAGTTTGTTAATCCGCACTACTGTGCGACCCAATACATGGCCGACATGAACTCAAAGCACTACTAGTGGAATAACTGTGAATGGTGACAAGCTCGAGTGCTCCTTAATGGGCCAGGGTGTTTGTTAAGGTTATGTTCCATTTGAAAGCGCTGTGAACACCCTTCGTCGAAACTTGTAAATTTACAGTTCGTTTCTTACGACAGTTACCTACAAACTTCCCTCCGATCTCTTACACTCTTACATCTCTACAATTTCACTTTGCATTTCTTAACATCATCCAGTGGTGTTTATTACAGTGACAAATTAGAAAAACTTAAACCTCTATGAACATTGGCTTCCTCTGACAAATTATTTACATCATGATCTCTTTACTATATTTGATAATTGGTCATCTCCATTCCAGATGTGTAGTATCTTTGATCATAGCCTGTAATGGTGTTAAATTGAGGGTTATTATTAAAATCGTTAACGGTATTAGGAGCAGATAATGGCAGGAGCTTTTGGTCAATTGCTTGAGATTGGTTTTGCTGTTGCTGTTGAGACTGTTGCATCATGTTCGATTCTCCAAATGCCATCTGGAAATTCTGTTGGAAGGGAACGTACTGAACATACTGTTGTGGCAATGGAGGTGGAGCAATCAGGGAAATAGATCCGCTGTTGCTAGTGGTCATTTGCAGTTGTTGCAGTTGCGGCATCTGTTGTAACTGCAGTTGCAGTTGTGGTTGCTGCTGCGGCTGTTGAGGTGGTTGTACCTGCTGTTGTATTGTTTGTTGCAGCTGAATTTGATTCATTTGGTTCATTTGGTTCATTTGACTCAATTGGTTCATCTGGTTAATTTGCTGCTGCTGCTGAAGTTGTTGCTGCTGGACTTGCAGCAGTTGAACTTGTTGTTGTAATTGTAAATATTGCTGATACTGATCTTGCTGCAACTGCATCATTTGTTGATTATGAAGTTGTGCTTGTTGTTGACGTAAAGACTTCTGTCTGCAAGCTTCACAATCTTTGCTCTTCCCATTTCTTCTAGGGGTGTATCTGTAATTTGGATACTTCTTTGCATGGGTTGTCTTCTCCTCCTCAGCCAAGTTATTCCAGTAATCCTTCTGCTCCACAGAAAGATTTCTCCATCTTCTACCCAACTCCCTCAGGACTTCAGGGTTTGTGCGGATCACAGTACCCTCATCAAGTACGGACTGATGGTACTTCTGGCGGAATAGAATAAAGGCATTTCTCGGTCTAGGGATTCTATTTGCGTTACTTTTGCAAGTACACTTCTCTGCACCTCCGTGTACGTTAACATTATGCGCGCCGGAAACAGCGTACCCAGATGACTGACCTGAAAATGATGATGCGGGTGTGGTACTTGCAGTCAGTGGGTGCAGTCCACCGTTGGAAAAAATGTCAGACTGGAAAGGGACAACCCCTGCAACAGATCCAGAGCCAACTGCCGTGGACAAGTTGACAACGCCCATTTGTGAAGGCAGAATAGGATGTGATGATTGTGGCATGATTTGTGATAACGAAGGAAGGGTATGATGTTTATGATCTTCAGGATAGTAAATGGCGGTAGTCATTATCTCCCACTAATATATAATTCAACTATGATAAGTTTCTTTTTTCCTATTTTTTTTTTTTTAATTAATGTTTATGCATATTAAAGACCAACCGCCTCTTTTAATTATTTTTTGTTTTACTTTGTATTTTTACCTTAAAAAAAAAAAAAAAAAATCTAAAAAAAAAACACACTTTAAAATAATGTAACCCACAAAAAATAAATAAGTTGAAAAAAAAAGTATAAAAACTCTTAGTTAAAAGTTATATTTATTATTATTATTGATGACGTCCTTCTGGATTTCTGGATTTAAATACCTTTTTAATATTGAAAGGGATTTGACTTCTGTAGTTTTACTTTGTAGATAAAAAATTTGATTCTCCAATACCTTCTCAAATCGAAGGACTTGTTCCCACATTTATATTAAATTGACATTTTGGGTGCCTAGATCCGAGCTCACTGAAATTAAAATGCGTCCAATATGTATCCTCGGAAGTCAACCTTACAGTTACATGTACTAGTTCTAGGTATATTTTTTATTATATTTCCATCATCGTATACGCAGAACAATAAAAATGTTCAGGTACGGTTGTGGGCTCTTGCATATACAATATCCTATACATGCATGATGCAGAAACTGTGCATGCATAAAATAAGGTAATTAAATTGTTTTTTTCCTTTCCTCCCAATGTTACTGACGTATTCAGACTAATGTGACCGTTACTAGAATGAAAAATAAAAAAAAAAACTCCACGCATAATCAATTTCATGCAAATTTCATGCAGAATTTCATATTTAATTTGTGTATTTGATTTTTTTTTTCCTTTTCTTTATTATCAATTCTTCTCTTGTTCCTTAATCGTCAAAAGACAAGAAAGGAAATAAAAAAACGTCTGAAAGGACAAAGGGATAATTGGTTGATCAAAACAGGAAATATCAAAAAACTACCAGCTTCGTCTTTGGTCAACTGGAAGAAGCACTGTATTAATTCTACATACCTTTAATTTCGGGGTCTAAAAAGCACGCTGTGCAAAGTTTTTGAAACAAGTTGCGATCCAGGTCGCACTGGCTACGACCCCATAAGTAGGTCAAGAAAAATTATTTATCATCTACGTAATCAAAAAAAAAAAGAAAAAACTTCTTTAAAAACAGTGACTTCGTTGGGTAAGAATTAGCGCCCTTATGCACAGGTGTTTGCTATATGATTGCCGGCCAAATTTGGACAAAATTTGGCTATGAATTTACAATGACGTAGGAAGCAAGTCTTGTCTTACTTAACTGGCAGCGATCGAAAGAGCATCTTTCATTGTCTCCTTGATATTAGAGCGCGTTCTATTATGACAACTAAATTCCATCTTACTAGTGAAAGTTTAAATAGTGATGCAGGATGAGTAAAATAGGGCAAAAGGAAAGAAAAAAAAAAAGAAAAAAAAAAAAATACTTGTCCCTCAGACGGCGGGTTAACCATCCCACAAATAATGTGCAGCAGTTCTAAAATGTCTGATAAGAAGTGGAAATGGCGGGGATTGTTACTGTACATTTTTTAAGATTATTGCCTTTACACCTTCTTAGTCAAACTTGCCCCTTTGCTTCTCTTTCTACGAAATCCTACTTTCCCTATATAATTTTGTCTTAATTATCTCCTTAAGGCTGTGAGCTTAAGTTACATACAACAATCGAACAGATTATTCGTTCCTGAATCTCCCTTTTGTGCATTAAAGAGACGCAAGCGCAAACGCACCCGCAAATGCAAGTTGCCATTTGGCATGAGAGATCAAAGGCAAATATGCAGGACAAGGGTTTTATTTTTTGAATTCGAGCGTATTCTGTGTTGTCAGGCTTTGGACAATAATAGTGAAAATTTAAATACCACGAGTTCGTAACCAAACCGAAAGTAAGTTGAAATAGGAAACCGTCTTTACCTATTTCTTTGTTTGCTCAGTGCTTGGTGTCTGTGGGTATGCATATATATTTGCGAGAATCGTTGTAGTTACTATTCAACTAATGGCACAGATATAGGGAATAGTGCGCTGTATCAGGTGTGTGACTATAATTTGAAATTATTCTCTTTGAATCGCCTAAATGCTCCCCTCAGTGAATTCTTGGTTTTTGAGTAGTTAAGCCATGCGACCTTAATTATCACACCGATTTTCATTTTATTTTAGATTTGTCCTGTACAGTCGGCTCGGCCAAACTTGTGCATGAGGTCCCAGCATAAGTGGCTGTGCTCGCAGCATGTTAGCATTTTAACCCTAATCAAAAATTATTTTTTTTTTCGATTTATTTTTTTGACCTTTATTTAGTTTGCATATACCTTAAATGTCATGGTTGCACATCCATTTTGATGAAGAGTTTCTCTGCTACAATGAACCTGACTCAAAGCGAATACAGCTGGAATTCCAACTGAACAAAGGGCATGAAGCGACGAAGTGCCCGTTGTCAGGTTTATCTTTGTCCTAAATTAAGAAAAATAAATTAAACCACAGATGTAGAAGTTTATTTCATTTCAACAATACACGATGATATTATTCATGCAAACAGTAGGATAAACACGCATCAGCTTCATCAAGTAATGTGAACCTTGTATTTTTCTTCTCTTAACTACGAGAGTGAGAGGCTCTACAGAATATTACTTTACTCCATTACCTTTATTAGAAATTCTGCTGCACGGTAGCCTATATCCGAATACTGTAACCTGTGTTCTCTCCTCCAACTTTTAGTAGGTTGGAGAAAATCTGAATTACCGCATATGCGCATCAATTTCAAAAAAATTCTGTTGAGGTCAATTAAAGTATTTACGAAATGAAACGAAGAGTTAATACTTTCAGTCTTGGTTGAGAATTAAAAGAAAAAATATGATCATCTTTCATCGTTGATCTTCGGTAGCATAGATATAGATAAAAATAATATGGGACTTGAAACCGGTTGCGTTCGGCTCAGCTAGTGGTTGAAAAAAATAATAATTAATATTCACTGTTAAGCACTGCACTTTTGTTCCTGCTCACAGCTGCAGATCCCATTACATTCAAACCTTCTATTTACTTTGGCCAAGGGGAAGACAACGCCTCATTCACCATACATTGTCAAATCCCTTATTCTGAGCTATCTAGGAAGTTACATTTTTGTCTATTTCTATTTTCTTCAAAAAGGATAGATTCAAATATGTATTAGAGTATAGGTCAACAGTGCATGTGCATAACACATAAATAATAAAGTGCACAAAGCCAAAATGGTGCGGCTAAATAAAAAAAAATTCGTTGGGGATACAACAAGATCTCATCAGAAACGATAAACTGACAAGAAATAAAGCTTAAATTCGCAAAAATAAATCTAATTTGAGTTTGGTGATAAACAAAATGAATCTTGCATATATTTCATTTGATCTTTTCCACGGAACTTATACCCCTCATATTAAGACTAGGACATTTTCCCCATCCCGTTATATAACTCTAGAAGTATCTGTGATCCCTTTTTTCTTTCTTTTTCTATTATTTTCACGGAGCATTGTTTCCCCTTAGCAGGTGCAGCCCCTCCTGGCTCACCTACGTAACTGTAGTATTTCATGCATGTAGTAATTTAATTCCGTCGAAAAGTTTAAAATGCCAGAGGTTACATCGCCATGAACGGAATTGGAAGATTGTCTAGCATATAACGTCTCCGCTAAATCGATCATACAGTATGCACGAGAGAACGCAACGATTGTGATTTCCTTCACTTGGCTGCATCTGCTTTTCTCTGCAAGTAGCACATTTCTTGTATTGATCAATAAATATTCGCGAGCTCTTTCATTGTGGGATATTACACTTTTTTGACTAGCCGAAAGAAAACTCTTCAGTCTCTTTGCAATGTCACTCTGCCGCCATATCACGCCTTTAGGCAGAGTCAAATGGTTGAGGAATGACGATTAAAATGAGTAGCTTGGCAAGGCTTATTTACTTTAACATTTTCTGCTTATGGATTAACGCAGCAGTAGTTCACATTTAATTCCAAATACGTCCAAAAGGTAGCTTAAACTTTATTTTCAGCCAGTTTAAATTCTTTCATATGGCAAGTCATCCATTTGTGCAAATTCGAATATCACTTTATTTTGTCACTAGGGATATCTCTTAATTCGGTTGCTTGCTTGCGTATTGTCGGCTTTATTGCTGCTACATAGATTCATAATAATAGAGATGCACGAATATAGGAGATTTCGAGTGACATTTCTCTACTCCGGAGGCTGCATGAAGCCATGTAAGATTTTACATTAACATTACTCCCACATACCAAAACAGCAAGATTGAAAATTATTTTTTTCAATCCCTCTCTGGTTTAGGTAATAACCTCAAAAATTAAAAATACTTACATACATGGATAACTCTGAATTCGGAGCACATTGTGACAAACATTGCACCTTGATGAAAACATCGTCAAGAGAATGCGACTGAAAAGGAAATAAACAATAATAGCATAATTGTTGAATAGACGTAAACGAATAAAGTTTAAATCAACTCAATACAATGCTACTTTATGCGGCTTACTTAATATTATTTTTTTTATACGTTCTTCCTTCATATCATCCGGAGTACGTTGATGACGTCTCAAATCTGGCATATTGCATGCAGCAAAGATGCATTGTGCGCACTCCCAATTCTTCTTATAGATTAGTATAGGCGTTGTTACATTTTGAATTGTTATGCTAGTTTAATCTTGAGCCTGAGGTCCCATAGAAAACGAGAACGTTTCTATAATGGGCTCAGAGGTAGAGAACAAGGTGCAGTTTCTGTGCCACGAATCTAACTAGAGCATAGATTCGGGCTCAACAAATCAGCCAAAAGACGACCAAGTTGTTTTCCGTTTCATGTACGTAGTAGGTAGCATGTGACAACCTGGAACGGAAAACGCTTTTTGACCCTCACCAGCCTATCGTCTAAAGTTTAGCTTTTTAGTTATTCATCATTTGTGGGACATTGGGAGTCCCCCACTCATGAAGGCTTAAATGGGGGATTGGACCAAGAACCCTTCTTATCACTCATCTCCAACTTTCACCTTTGACTTATCTTTGTACATCTAGCAATGCTGTGCCAGCTCTTTGGCTTTCAACAAAACTGGCTTAGTGTGTATTGCTGGCGCCCTGTTGCTATTTCATAATATTTTTTGCACTAAATTTTTAAAGTATGCAGCACCAGATTAGACGTAGCCGGTGAGACATACACCCCTGCTTATTGCACTAATAAGGAAATCCAGTAAAGAGCCAGGGGTGTGTGGAGATACCGATTGCCACGCCTTCTAATTCATCTTCACAATGACCAGTTTGCAAATTTCTTCATTTAGGTTATCCACCTAGCCCTTCTTCCTTAATGTTGCCCAAAAGAGAATCACAATACAAAACCTAGTATATGATCCTGCACATAGATATTTTTTCCCTTCTCGTATCCCATTCATCGACTTCACTTCCCAGTTCGTAAGCTCCACCTACACATTGCACCTGCCAATGAGGGAAAAAACTCAAACTAGCACCCTTTGAGTAAGAAACAAGAGAAAAAAATATTTACGAACAGCATGGACTTCCCGTTCCCTACCACAATAAGCCGTGATGACTTCCAAGAAACCGATTTTTCACCCGATTCATTTTTATACGAAAACCACCGTTACACAGCGATAGACGTGTTAATAAAAGACCTCACTAACTTATTCGATGGATTGAAGGGAGAGCTTCTCAATATAGTGAATAATGATTATTCCGATTTTATAAGACTAGGAAGGTCTATTGATGGAGGTATGGATTTAATTAATTCCATGTTGATAGAGTTGAGAGATTTCCAGAAGAGCTGTTATGCCAGCGAGCAGCATTTAATGTATACCCATGAAACGGTGGAGAAATCATTACAAACCAAGTCTGAACTAATTTTAATAAAGAATAACGTAAAACTTTGCCTATTACTCTCCAGCCAGATCATGAATTTCGAAAATTTGCTAAATGCAGCAGCCATTGACTCTTCGTCGACACCAAACTCCACCAACTCCATAGAAAACTTGAAAAACTTGACCACCATATACCTCACTATAAATAAGTTGTACAGTGTTCTTTCCAAATTGGACACGCAGTATATTGTGGGGATTAAGGTCAAGGTGTCCAACATTGGGTCGGAGTTCAGGAATTTCTTAAATGAGTTGCTATTGAGGTTCAAGGGGAACAAATTAGAGAATAAGTTGATAGTATTCGAGTTGATGAGGATATACAAGGTGATAGGCCACGAAGAAGACTTTGTGAAGTTGATAAGAGAGAGATAAAGGTGGTAACTCCAAGAGAGATACACCTAAGAGGAAGGTAACATACATCTACGGAAACAAACGAATAAACAACGAAATTAGCATCCAAGCATACAAGCACCGCCAGGAACCGAACTACCTCTGACCGTTAACCAGCTATACCACTCTCCATCCATATAGACCCTATAGTTATTCCATACAGTGTAAATAAACTGCAGCATCTCTTTTTTCCATTCGCACCGTGCTCATCTTTACCCAACTCTCTCACTTCTTGGCGTAAATCTCCGCACCAACCAAACCGCGACAAATTATGAAAATTACGAAACAAACCCATCAGAAGCAAAAGAGACCGCTAGCAGACCTATACGCCCTGCAAACCTAAGGAAAACCAGGTAACAACGCAAGCAGAATGGTATTAGACGACAAATTCATCGGTAGACATCAATGGGAAAACGTTGAGCAGACACCCATGCCCAAGGATATCCCCGACGTCGACGAAGTCGGGGCCACCTCCGCTCCATTACTCTCCGCATCTTACTTCATTGGTGCCAAGTGTAAGCCATACAACGACGATTTCATGTTGTGTAAGGACGAAAAGAACGGTGGATCCGTGGAGTGCTTAAAGGAAGGAAGAAGAGTCACAAGATGTGCTATAGATGTCTTGAAGCAGTTGAACAAGCACTGTTTCGACGAGTTCAAGTTGCACTACACCTGTCTCGAGCAGGAAAACCACAGATTGGGTAACTGTAGAAAGGCAGAACAGATCTTCAACAAGTGTGTTTTCACCCACTTGAACTTGGAGAAGAAAATCCCAGAAGTCAAGGAACAGATTCACTTGAAGGAGAGCAAGATTTTCCACGGTAATGGTGCTGATGCCGGCTTGGTGAAGGCATTCTTGGCTAAGAAGGAAGAACCAACCAACTAGAGTACTACCAGAAGCAGATAGTAGAGAGAAACCCGAGGAAAATCCGAGGAGAAACTGGACAAGGTAAGAAAGAAGCAAAGCAGTACTCATTACCCAACAGCAGCTCCCTCCCCACCACCACCCCATGACAACTGTGCAACGGCGTCATCATTTTGCATTCGTCTGATGCTTCACCTATACAAAGAAAAGAACAAAAAGCGAAAAACATCCAAAATTGAAGAAATGAATACATAAACTAATTCGGGCATAGAATGACTAGATCAATTCGTTAAGGTTAACATTTGACAATAGACTCACATAAATATATTAAGTAGCGAACAACCGGAGTGTAAGAGTGTGACAGCACTCACAGTAGAAGCAGTGTAGAGCGGCAGAGACAGCGTGGAACCGTGTAACCCCAAAACAAAACTGCCCCATGATCCAGTGTAGCTCTATGGTCCTTCAGCTACTCCATGCACCATCATAGCATTACGTAAGCGGTTACGTAAGCACCTCATTTTCCATCTTGTTATTTTTTTTTTCGATTCTTCAGCTCAAAACACTCCAGCTACAGCTAACCAACACACAAGAAATTGATAGCTAGACATGTTTGGAGCTAGTAATTCCAGTGGTGGGAGTCTTTTCGGAGGTAATGCCAACAACAATTCCGCCGGAGGCGGTTTATTTGGAGCTTCCAAGCCAAGTGGGTTCGGATCACCTGCACCATCTGCAGGAGCACCAGCTGGAGCTGGAACTGGTGGAGGACTATTCGGAGGATCAAGCAATACTGGGTTTGGAGGTTCGCTAAATGCGCCAGCTGCCTCTCAAGGAACAACAGGAACCGGCTTCGGCGGAAGTTCGACACCCTCCGGTGGATTATTTGGGGCTAAACCTGCACAACCTAGTGGACCTAGCGGCGGGCTCTTTGGCGGATCTTCAAATGCTGGGCAACAAGCTCCAAGCTCAACTTCTGGTGGACTTTTCGGGGGAAATTCCAGTAACACGTCAGGAGGGCTCTTTGGAGGACAAAGCAGCACCAACAATTCCAACTCTGGTGGGCTTTTCAACAAGCCGGCTGCTTCAAGCGCAGGTGGTCTTTTTGGATCGAGTACTTCAAATGCTGGTGGCAGCGGTGGGCTCTTTGGTCAGCAACAGAATAGTCAAAACACACAGAGTTCGGCACCAGCCGGTGGCCTTTTTGGTGGGAACAACACCAGCAACACACAAGGAGGAGGACTCTTTGGTAACAGCAATACTGCCTCGACTGGCGGGCTCTTTGGCCAGCTGCAACAACAGCAACAGCCTCAACAACAACAGCAACAACAGCAACAGTCGGGTGGTCTCTTTGGAAATAGCAACAATATATCAAACACAGCGCAGCCATCCTTTGCCTGGTCGTCTCAACAGCCACCAGCAAACAACAACGTGAACAACACCAACACCAACAACAATAGCAATAACAGCTTTTACTCATCAAACCAACATGTAAACACCGCCAACTTCAGCAACAACAATGCCAGCAGCAATAATAATGTATACACACCTGCGATCAACGATCAATTACTCAAAATCAAAGAGCAGTGGGACCCCAACTCTCCTAAATGTGCATTGAAAACACATTTTTATAACAAATTAACCGAACAAGAAGCCCAAATTGCATTCCAACAGCAGAGACCAGCCAATGAGCTTCCAGAAGACTGGGACTTGGCCATGAGTTCGCGTCCGTCTCCTCAATACTACCCCATGAAGGTTACATCGTTCGGTGAAGTTGCGCAGAGAATTGAAGTACAGTTGGATCACGTAGCCAAAGCCAGGGTCATATTGAAAGACATCGATGAAAAGCAGAGTCAAATCTCTTCCAAGCATGATTTAAATAATACTACAAGAATCTTAAAGGCCAAGAGTAAGCATATCATATTGCTGAGAAGATTGTTGAGGTTGGCAACTGTACTTGCTATATTGAAATTGAAGGGGTACCCATTACTTCCAGAAGAAGAAGAAATTTCTAGACAATTTGAGATATTGAATAAAAAGTTGAGTGATCCATCGAGTCCACTTGGAAAGATGAACGATGTCTTTGCCAAACTTGCCATATTAAAAGATAGACTGGAAGACTTGGCATACCAATTTGATTCGAACGTAAAGTCATTAAATGATGTAGATGAGAACAACAAGGGAGGAGAAGTGGAAGAAGCCAGCAAGGAAAACGGCCCTAGTAACGAAGAAACCATACAGAAATTGTCCAAGTTATTGTTGAAATTACAAATTGGTTTGAATCATTTGAATGGTGTATTAGAGAAGGATTTAGAAGTAGTTGACAGAGCGAGGTAGACTTAATGCATTATAGAACGTAAAGGCACGTATTTGTAAGAATCTTGCGTAGGTCTTCTGATGTAGATAAGTTTTTGCTTCGTATATCGTTCAATTTAATATGTAGTGCTACGGATGGTATAGTAATGCCCCAAAATGTGTTGGCATGAGTTTATGGACAGTAGATCGACGTAGATCAAAAATGCTTCCTCTATTGTGCTATGTATGGTATACCGATTTCCTATGCTGTCGGTATGAATTCATGAACAGTAGGTCGTTGTGAGATAATACTTATGCTACCTATTGTACAATGTAATATATACGGTATGAATGGTATATATGGTATACTGATTTCCTATGCTGTCGGTATGAATTCATGGACAGTAGATCGTTGTAGATAATACTTATGCTACCTGTTGTACAATGTAATATATATAATATGTATGGTATACTGATTTCCTATGCTGTCTGTATGAATTCATGGACTGTAGATCTTGTTTCACTTGTCTGAAGACAAGTTCATCATGTCTTCTACTTTCAACTCTGTTTTAGGATCCAGCTCTTCAGATATTATACCAGTTCCTAGTGAGTTAACAGCCTCGATCCCTGAAGTGATCTCTATCGATGAAAACTTATGAAATTTCTGAAAGTTATGACGGACTTCTCTACGGAATTTCAGTAGCTCAGCTTCTCTCAAGAGCTGTTCAGTAGCAGATGGATTAGGCAGTACGTAGCAAAATTGATCTATATATTTGGAATTTGATATATCATACTTCTTATCCAAGTCTAGGCCAGCTTTGCTCATCGAATATTTAAATGGAATGTACGATTTGTTGGCAAGGTAGCTTTGGTCGTTTTCTATGTAGGAGTATCTCGGTATAGCGATCAATGATTGCAACCTTTGGGTAAATGAATTAGATTTCGGCACCAATACTTCCTGATCTGGTATCGTAAAGGGAGTGACAAGACTCCTTTCAAGTACTGGATTGAAAAGAACAAAGCAATGTGATGAAAATCTACCTGCTGTTCCTACTCTGGGCACTCTGAAGTATTCTAAATTGCCAATCTTCTTGAAATTATCAAACAAGTGTTGGACTTCAGCTGGAGAAGAAGGCGACGGACTTATTCGAAAATGAGCAAGTATATGATGAGCGTAGTACCGATACAAGTTTTTATTAAGCGACATTAGTGTAAATTATGTTATAATAAGCAAGCTAGTTGCAGCTGTAGTGACCGTCTTATTGCACCAACCAAAATTTTTCAATTTCCATATCGCAGCATTTTGGGTGTCCCAGAAAAGATGATGTGAAGGTAAGCTCATCTCTATTCTATACCCCACCTTTTCCTGGCAACTTGATAGGTAGATGTCTGATATATTAGATCAACTAGATCAAAAACTAAGTGTAGGACTAAATAAACCCAAGAACACAGCCTTAACACTTGCTTTGATACGATTCTATATAAAGAACAACTCGTTACTTGCATTTTCCACTTATCTACAAGCTATCGGAGCCAAAGATACACAGTTAACGAATGAAATATATCGTATTATCAACGACAACATAGGTCGACTAGAGACGCTATTGAAGGAAGGAGACGGCAAATTGAGTGAAAAGCATGTAGAAATACCAAAGACCAAGACGAAACCAAGTGATAAGAAGAAGGTTATACAGTTTAATTTTGAGGATGAAGATGAATTGGAAGACTTAGTACTACCACTAGATAAACCAGGAAATGCAGCTTCTACTATATCTGACTTTAAAAGGGAAAAACCAAAGTTTAAGAAAATAAAAAAAGAGAAAGCTATGATGATAAGAGAGGAAGCTAGAACCAGCCAAACAGAGAAGAGAGTTGAAAGTACTACGCCCTCGATACCCAAGGTAATTGATGAAAAAATCATCTCTAAGAATGTACCGATGTCACTCTCTGAGCTAGCCGAACAAGAACGTAATGACTCTTCTATCAATTCTACAATTTCAACACCAGTATCTACGTTTGACGATGTGTTTAGCTCAACTGATCCCAATGATATAGAATTGGATCGAGAGTGGTACACCGCAGAAGAGTATGGTCAAGTGGCGCAGGATCATGATGATTACTATAGCTATGAAGATGATGTTAAGGACAAAAATGGTCGCACCGTGATCCAAAAGAAGAGACAGAATATTTCATCGGCAAGCGGTGGTTCTTTTGATAGAATCACAGGTGAGTATATCGATCACGACCACGATGAGAATCTGAACAATACAACCGACATAACAAGAATACCAATTACTTCACACTACCTAGTACCTCCGTTTTTGAGGAAATTTCAAGAGTATTTATCTGTAGTGGAGTTTGGCTCATTATCGAAGAGCATAGGACCAATGATAGACCCAATAAAGGAGCCACTGTCCGAACTTGCTGTAGCTGCTCGCCATGGTAGCTCTGTAGTTCGGGAAAGAAAAAGTAACAGAGAGAAAGCAAAGCAAGCAAGAGAAAGGTCAGGAATAGATGGAACAAGAATGGGTAATGTGTTGCAAGTTGACAACGCAAGAACTGACAATGAAGAACAAAATAGCGATATCGAAGACGAAGAAGATGCCGAGGAAGTAGGTGTTCACAAGAGTATGAAATTGCAACGTACCTTTTTACCTGTCTTTTCAGTTAGGAGCAAGTTACTCCAAACCATTTCAGAGAATCAAGTCATAATTGTAGTCGGTGAAACAGGTTCGGGTAAGACTACCCAGTTAACCCAATATTTGCACGAAGAAGGTTATACTCACGAAAAGAAAGTAATTGGGTGTACTCAGCCTAGAAGAGTTGCTGCGATGTCTGTAGCTAAAAGGGTTAGTGAAGAAATGGATTGTAGATTAGGAAGCGAAGTAGGGTACTCAATTAGATTTGAAGATGTGACTACGTCAAAAACGGTAATCAAGTATTTAACTGAAGGTATTTTACTTAGAGAGGTGTTAGCTGACCCATCTCTTGAAAATTATCTGTGTATTATCATGGATGAAGCCCATGAGAGATCCTTGAATACTGATGTATTGTTGGGACTTTTTAAAACTACCGTATTACCGAGAAGAAGAGATTTGAAGTTGATTATAACAAGTGCAACTATGAATGCCGATCGATTTTCAAATTTTTTCGGTGATGCACCCCAATTTACTATTCCAGGTCGTACATACCCGGTTGATGTCTTGTATAGTAGACTGGGAGCATCTGATTATGTTGATACAGCAGCAAAGCAAGTTTTGAGTATTCATTTACTGAAATGGCTAGAATATAAGGGTATCAACGATGGAGATATATTGGTATTTATGACTGGTCAAGATGATATCGAGGCAACGGTGGATTGTATCAAGGAAAAATTGGAGTTGTTGGATAAGCCTCCCCCAATTGATATATATCCTATATATTCTTCTATGCCTGCTGATTTACAACAGAAGATTTTCAGAAAATTGAATAGGATAAGGAGAAAGTGTGTTGTTGCTACTAATATTGCGGAAACCTCTCTTACAGTCGATGGAATCAAGTATGTCGTCGACTCTGGGTTATCCAAAGTTAAAGTATACAATGCTAAATTGGGGATGGACACATTACAAGTGGTTCCAGTATCGTTGGCAAACGCACAACAAAGAAGTGGAAGAGCTGGTAGAACTGGGCCAGGTACTGCTTTTAGATTGTACACCGAAAGAGCCACTAGTAGTGAGCAGATGTACACGCAACCAATACCTGAAATCCAGAGGACCAATTTAAGTAATGTGTCATTAATGTTAAAATCAATGAAAGTGGGGCAAATTAGTGATTTTCCTTTCTTGGACCCGCCTCCTCAAGATTTGTTGAGCTGTTCTCTATATGAGTTATGGAGTATGGGTGCCTTAAATAATTTTGGTGAATTAACGGCATTAGGAGAAAACATGAACTTATTCCCTATGGAACCATCGCTTGCCAAGCTAATTTGGCTACTGGTTGATCCGAAATTTCATTGTCTGGAAGAAATTCTTATCATAGTATCAATGCTCTCTGTGCCTTCGTGTTATTATAGACCGAAGGAGAGAGCTCAAGAAGCTGACATGATTAGAGACAAATTCACAGTTCTGGAGTCTGATCACTTAACTTTTTTGAATATATTCAGACAATGGGAAGCAGTACCACCCAAAAAGAGAGAAACCTGGTGCACCAAGAACTTCTTCCATGCTAGGTCCTTAAACAAATCAAAAGATATTCGTCAACAGCTATTGGCCATAATGCAGAAGTTGCGTTTACCTATTATGAGAGCTAAGGATGACACTGATATTAGGAAGTGTTTGTGTGCTGCCTTCTTCCAGCAACTGGCCAAATTAGTCAAGTCAAATGTTAGAACAGGTGGTGCCGAATATGTCAATTTGCGTCATAACTATATGAAAATGTTCTTGCATCCTACATCTTCTTTGAATAGCGAGATGTCTCCTCCACTGTATGTAATATACCAAGAATTGATATTGACCACGAAGGAATACATGAGTTGTGTTACTGCGGTAGATCCACTTTGGTTACTAGAATACGGAAGTATTTTCTATGGCGTGCTGAAAAATGTCCATGAAAAGATTAAAGACGAGTTAACTTATACTAGTAAGGGTGAACTTGAGTCAAAATTAGACAAAGATGAGATGGAGTACCTAGATAGAGAACAAAAGGCAAAATTCAAGAAAAAGAGACCGATAGTCGAAGGTAATAGGTTCAAAAAATTCAACCGGGGGTTTTGAAAGGGCTTCCAGTGCTCAATATAACTTAATAAAGCAATCTTACACAATTAATAAATACATGCTTTACTTCTTGGGATGACATTACTCTATACATTCTAGTTCAGTTGTTCATTATAGCTGACTGATTTCATTTTCTTTTCCTATTTTCTATTCTCCTTTTTGACCCGCTGACTCTATTTTAATATGATGTTATCGATTAGTCTTGTTTCACCACCACCTTCACGAGGCACTCTGACGGCAGTAGAAACAATTGCTCCAACGCCGGGAACAATGGTTTCTAAATCTTCTAAAGTTTCGGGATGACTGGCATTTAAGTACTCCACAATGAAGTTGCTGGTACTGTCAGACTTATAGAATGAAAGAATATCGGATAATACAACACTGGACTTAACTTCCTTCGAGCCTTCGCTAACTGACTTGTTATAGATACTTTCACCATGCTCCAAGCCTTTGAAGATCATGGAGCTTTTATCCTTGACTTCTGTAGAAAGGTAAGCATTTCTGGAAGACATAGCTAACCCATTTTGCTCTCTTAGGGTCGGTAAAACCTTTACGTTTGTGTTTATCAACATATCCTTCACCAAGTTCTTGATAACCACGCATTGCTGAGCATCTTTCTGCCCAAAGTAGACAGTCTCAGGAGTTACTACGTTCAATAATTTGGACACTACAGTTGCCACACCACGGAAGAACTGAGGTCTGGCACCACCCTCTAGTTGCTCTGAAACCCCTAAAACCGATACAAATGCACCTTTTTGTTTGGAGACGTCTAAGTTGATACCAGAGGGGTACATTTCTGAAACCTTTGGAACGAAGATAGCCAGTACATTCTTCGAAGTAGCCTGAAAATTGGTGTTGATTTTGTCCAAATCCGACTCCAATGTTCTTGGGTACGCATCTAGATCTTCATGAGGGGCAAATTGGGAAGGATTCACGAATATTGAAACAACGGTGTGGTCATTCTCTGCTAATGATGCAGAGATAAGAGAGCAGTGACCTGCATGAAGTGCACCCATAGTAGGAACAAACCCAACTGTTTCTCTATTGAGCAATCGTTGTAAACGCCATTGTCTCACCTGCAGAACCGTTCTGAGAATTTGTGGAGAGGCAGTCATCAAGCGACTCTAAATAAATAACCAAAATTATATAAACAAAACGGGCACCTGGTGGAGATCTAACCTGTTTCAAAAAAGAAAAAAATGCGTGAGATGAGCTTTCAGTGTTGTAGATCGAGCGCTTGACGTTTTTCCGATTTTGTGGGGTGAAAAATTTTTTGAGAGAAGAAAAGAATTGGAACAGAAAAAAAAAAAAAAATCGGTTTCTTCTTTTATGGCTGCAAAAAATATGCCACAAAGTTTCGCATTAAGCTAGCTCGCTAAGAGAATGACTAATACGAGGGAGTGCGTTAGGTCTTCCCTTTGTCAGATAAGGCCATGGCCAGTAGTTAGTTAGAGGAGTTTGGTAGGAGTGCCGAAGACATGGTGCACATAGATACTGCAGATAGGAGAAGAAGTCGCAGCAGCCTTCAGGAGAGGGTGTCGGTGCTGGACTGTTGTTAAGGCTTGGGCATTAATCTACGCAGATGTGCAGTGCACTGGCCCTATACGATAAGGTGGAACAAAGAGAGAGAAGGGCATAGAAGTGGATACTGACAACAGATCAGGTATATTTCACGCATTACATAGAAATGAGTCCAACGCTCTTCCCCCCTCGTTTACCTCTAATATGGTAAACACCCTTTACCTACGGCCAAGTAGCCTACGATTTGTATACGGTACTTCTCTTCCTCGGATTCGCTCCGCTATGTTTGCGAATTATTTTCGGAGTACGAAAGGCTTGGAGCCTCGGTCGCAAAATGAGGGGCATGCTCTATCTTGAGTATTAACTTCTTGTACTGTCCTTCATTATTAAGCAGCTCTTTCACCTGCCTCAAGTGTTCGCACTCTAGTATATGCAGAGGAGCAGAACAACTAATCGATATACCGTTTACCTAGGGTGTTAGCATATATTCGCGCAGTTCGGCTTATTTGGCTATAAAGCTTCCATACATAAAGCTTCCACACATTAATCTACAGGATAATGTTTAACACTACTTCTCACAAGGCTCCTGCTGCCTTCCCTAGACAGCATGGTGGTACATTATTGAGCACCGACCACTTAGAATTGGCTTACGAGAAATACACAACCACCGACAATACCATTCCGTCTGATTTTATTACCTTCAACTTGGTGTTTGTTCATGGTAATGGTATGAACAAATCGGTATGGAAGTACTACGTTGGTAGGCTTTTCGAATATGCTGCAACTACTGGTAGGCTGGAAAAATGGGCCATCAAGTCGATGGTGGCTATGGATGTTGCTGTCCATGGAGATTCCGCGATATTAAACAAAGGTAAACTTGGCTGGATCTACCTGTGGGACGATGGTGCTAGAGACATCAATGCTCTAGTTAAGCACGAACAGCAGAGTTCAGGTGATTTCATTCAAGATCCAAGACACAGAAATATCATAGTTGGACATTCTTTAGGAGGATGCCAGGCATTATTTGCAGTAATTTTTGAGCCAACCTTGTACGATTTGGCATTTACAATTGACCCGGTTGCTTACGTGACTCCGCAAGCCGGGCAAAAATATTTTAAGATATTACCGTTGCTTGATAAGGTTTACCATGATACATTCCAAAGTGAAAAGGATTTAGAAAAGTACCTTAGAAGTGCATTTTTGAAGAATTTCCATCCAGAAATCTTGGATGATATCATTAAAGATGAGAAGTATTTTGATGAAGAAGATGGATTGTATAAGACCAAGGCATCCAAACCTCAGCAATTTGCAATTTATATGGGGGGACCTGGTTCAATCCCAATTGTTATGAAGTTGATGTCAGCAATAAGTACTCCAGTAGTCCACATAGAGGCATTGAGAGGGAAATTCAATGCACCCGGAACTTCTGACTTCATCAGAAGTGCAATACCCAAAGAATATCTCAAGACAATTGACCTTGATGGAGAGCACCTAATCAACGGTGAAGATCCAGAGAGTATTTTAAAATGTATTAAGGAAAGTTTGAGTGAAAGAGCTGCAACGGCTGCAACGAACATATCTTCAAACTATTACCCAGAAATTGTCTATAATGGTGACAGAGAAAAGATCTTCAAAAGTAAGTGGGAAAGTACATTTGTCGCCAGAAATTTTGGAACAGATGCCAAACCGAAGATCTGATGAAATAATGATACCCCAGAAAGAGGAAAAAGGTGGGTGTACTTAGTATAACCTTTAGAATACCATAACTATGCAGGAGAATCGTATGAGTGTAGCCCATATCAGGTGTAGATCCATAGACTAAAAGCTATGCATATATTAATTTTCAAGGTGGCGTCAAGTGGAGTTTTCGGTCATGGTAAGTACGAACCACGGTTAAATCCCAATATACAGCTGTGCCGAATTGCGTATCGCATCTGCTTACCATCTCTCTATACTTTGTCTATTGCTACCATGCTCATCCTGGGTATCGTAGATTTCCCCCACATTTATTTCTACGCAGAACACATGCAACCGAAAAAAGATAAAATCAATACCCGAGCACAACATACAGTAGAAGGAAGTAGGTACAAGTACATAGTAAAAGCAGTAGCCTGAGTAACAAAAGGAGTACTTTAGTGAAAATAAAAAAATAAAAAACTGAAACGAAATTAATTCGAATAAAATACCTCTTAGCCTTATCTCAGAAGAATGTTCACCGTCACCACAAAAACTACCGATGCTGCATACCCTAGGTACTACGGGTCCACATTGTTATCTAGTGATAGGTTGAAGATAGTTTACGATAGGTATGAGTCGACAAACCAATCACTCGAAAATTCTGATTTCATCACTTTAAATTTGATTTTTGCTCATGGTACAGGATTGAACAAAGATTTATGGAAGTACTACGTAGAACATCTCTATAAGTACTCGAATGAAGTTGGTCCTAATCAAAAGTGGTGGATTAAGAACATTATTAGTATCGATTCAGCTACCCATGGGGACTCTGCGCTATTAAACGAAGGAAAATTAGGCTGGAAGAATAGGTGGGAGGATGGAGGGAGGGATATCAATCGCATTGTGGAACACGAACAGTTGACCACCGGCGCCTTCTACAACGACCCAACTCACAAGAATATTTTGGTAGGACACTCCTTGGGTGCCAGTCAGTCAGTATTCTCAGCCGTGTTCCAACCAAATCTCTATGATCTAGTTTTCATGATTGAGACGGTTGGATTTATTGATGAAGCTTCGTCAAAGCATTTCATTGGGCTCATAAATAGATTAGTAGGATTGATGCAAGACGAATTTGATTCCGAAGAAGAATTTGATATGTACTATAGAAAGTTCAATATTACCAAAAAGTTCCACCCTAGAGTATTGGACGATATCATCAAGCATGAGAAGTATGAAGTAATCAAGCCCAACGGTGAAAAGAAATGGAGGGCTAAAGCTACGAGTATTCAGCAATTGACCAGCTTTATGTCCGGAACAACGTCCATTCCAAATGTTATGGCAGCTTTGCCATCAATAAAGACTAGTGTCATTCACATCGCTGCTCCAAAGGGGAAATTTAATCCACCTCAAACCAGCGATTTCATCCGTGAAGCAATCCCTGCTGAATACATCACTGGCATTGATATCGCTGGTGCTGACCATAATTTGAATGGTGAAATCCCGGACAAAGTCATTGCTTTGTTGAAAGAAGCCTTGAGCAAAAGAGCAGCACTTGCACACGAGAACAAAGACCTATATGCTGAAATCAAGTACAATGGCGATAGAAAGACAATATTGAAGGAGAAATGGAAGGAAATGGTCGGCGGATGGTGGGTAGAGGAGAAGGCGAAATTGTAAGTTATTTTTGAATTAACGAAAGAAACAGAGAGATAGTATACTGTCTTCTCCCAAAGGTATCAATGGGAGCGGCTAAAGCAGAAACTTATTTTCTCGCTAGAGCGTGCCAGAGTATTGAAGTGTTCTGCCATGTTGCGTTTCTGAGCGTTTCATTCTAAATCAAATAAGCGAATAAAATAAATGGATGATTCACCCCAAAAAACGTAGACTCTACATTTTTTAGAAGAATAACTTGTCCGCTCAATAGTAATACCAGACTAAAACGAACTTGAAAGACATGTAGTTGCTCTTCTTCCACTTCTCCTCCTCCTACACCTGCACCTTCAAGCTCGCCATATTGCAACCTCTCGTAAATCTCATACAGCACGGTCGCACATGCAGGAAATCAAATCGTGCAGCGTGCACTTACCAATATCAAAATCAAAACAGAAAATAAACAAACTACAAAACACGAAGAGGAACAGAACACTATCTTAGATCATAGGCTCTGTTCCATTGTATTCATTCGGTTATATTTAATTCACGTCATTTCTTTTTGTATCTACGACCAGTTTGTATCACCACCCATCACTGTATTAATATCCCTTGCACGCATAGTTAAACCGAATGATGAGTGAGCATCCCCCCCCTTCCATATTGAGACGGAATGGTCACAGACTAAGCATACCAAGTGCTACGCGACAATCTTTAAGGAAATCTTTCATATTCGATAACAGTAATACGCCGAGCATAAACATAGGCAATGGTGGAGGCATAGGGTCGGCCAAGAGGAAGTCGCTCATACTGACTCCGGCATCTTCTACAAGTAAAAGAAGATTGAGCTCATTCTTACCTTCATCTCAACAAACACCTAACTCGTCACAACAAATTCCCTTGCATACGTCTCAGATCCCCTTGAGTCAGCAGCTGCAGTTACAAGTGCAGCAAAAGGTGGATCCAAGGCCCTTGAGAGACAAGAACTATATCTCATTGATCCAACAGGAAATCTTTGACTTTCTCAGTGTAAACAAGTTCGAGGTTGAATCAAACCATTCATTGACGCTGAAGACGTTGCGCCAGCCTACGCAGAAGGACTTTGTACTTATATACCAGTTCCTTTATCATAAAGTGGACCCATTCTATCAGTTTGCAAAGAACTTCGACACTGATGTCCTCACCAGTCTCAAGATGCTCAATTACCCGTACATAGACACGTTGAACAGGTCGCTGTTGTCCAGTGTGAGCCCTCAGAACTGGCCCAATGTATTGGGAATGCTCTACTGGCTCGTGAAGTTGAATTTGAGGATATCTATATTCGATATATCGGAATTTCTCAATTCAGAGAGCACTTTGGTGCTGCCCGACGATAAATTAGATCAGATATTTATTAATTATACGCGAGCAGCTTACCAGTCGTACTTACAGAATGACGATAACTACCAGCCATTTTACGAAGAAATGATGTCCAAATACGAGGCATTTAGGAAGAAATTGAGTCAAGATATTACGGACTTGGAAAAGGTGACGGAGCAGCTTTCTAATGAATTCAAATCACTAGAGCAGCAGCTCCAGCTTATAGAAACTAATGAAAATCAGCTGCGAGCATTGGAAACTGACCTTGTGCAGCTCAAAGCATACAATGAAACCTTGGAGTCTGCCAGGACAGCAAGACAGGAAAAATTGGCTTTGATTCAAGAAGAATTGGATAGGCAGGACCAAAAATTGGAGTCCTTAAGAGAACAAAAGGTTCAATGTGAAGCAGAGTTGAAAAAAAATGGATTAAATGTCTTGGATATTGATAAATTGCTTAATGAGAGAGACTTGATCTCGAGGGAAATCACCAAAGAGCAAGAAACCATCGATAAGTTGAATAATGACTACCAGATAAAGGAGATCGACATACACAAAAAGTTTGAGAGCCTTAACAACTTCATCAACCAGTACAACAACATAGTGGACAGGTTGACTAGATCTAGAGAAAGCGAAATTAGATTTTCTGACTTGAAGTTAACTATTGGCAGCAACTTACTCGATAACGGAGCAAACCCTCACGATCCAATGTCTATCTTGAGCAACAAGGTGCTCAGCGAAGAGAGAAGCAAGTTGGAAAACTTCAGAATGGGCATCCGTAAAAATTTCAACGAATTGCAGAAAAAGTCCATTGAAATTCAGGGTGAATTGGATGTCATGGAAGGTGTCAAGCTGCAGCTTCAAGAAAAGTTTGAGACTCTTGAAGATGACTTTGCACGATCAGTAAGAACTTCAGATAGCATTAAGGAATATGGGACAAATGTACAGCATTCTTATGCCATATCAATTCACAAATTGCATAACGAGATCAAAGATCTCAAATTCAACTCCAACAATAAAGAGATCTTACTTGAGACTGACAATGTCTTAAGGGACTTGGAAATGAAATTCGGCACCATCGAAAGAGAAGTTTTCCATGAGAGAATGGAACTACAGACCAAAGTGTACGAATTGATCGACGACATTATCAAGTTTAAGTTACACATCCAAGAAAAGTTGGAAGAGGTCAGCACATTGGCTTTGGAAGAATCAAAAGAAGAATCATCAGACGCATAGGATCTGTCTTTCGATTTGTATTGACTCTCCTGCTCAGTCGCTTGCTCACTTCTCCCTCAAATGGGGCTAATTGTATTATATAAATTGTATATATATAGAATGTATAATAATTTCTACACGAGACTGTGTTCTCTTATGATATGTATGTATGTATAAGTTTATATATGATGCGTGGTTCTATTTACAGTTTAGAATTCGTTTCTCAACCAGAGCTCAACTCTTCTCTTCCTATTAATTCTAGCCTTTTGCTTTTGCACGGGCCAAGATTCTCTCTCTGCCTTTTGTTGCTGGGAAAGCTCTGCTTTTCTACCTTCATTCACTTCAGTAGTAACCTTCACGAACGAAGGAGAAACGCCGAACTTCTTGGCTAATTTATTTACTGTCCACTCGGCGGAGTTAGATGATCTCAATTGCTGAATCTCAGCAACTATATCTGGGGTTATGTCGTACTTTCTGTCGGCCTTTGAAGAGTATATGATGGGCATATCTGCAACTTCATCGCTGGAGTACGTTCTGTGCGAAATTAGGGTCGAACGAGGGTCAGTCGAAGGTAAGAACGCTCTTGGGGTGCTTTTGGAATTGGGTACGGATGCGGGAGGATTGTGAACAAGACCTTGAGGTAAAACAGGTCTCAAGTTAAACGTTGATCTAGCAGCGTTAAACTTGTTAGGAGGCTGTGATAAAAAAGGCACAGCCTTGTCGGAAAGATGACGGACTGTATTCCTAAACATATCTGGTATAATAGGTACGGAGTCTTCGATGATAGGCAGGCAAAGTGGAAGTAGTTCTCCTGATGGAGTAGCTCCGTTTGAGTTGAATTTTTTTTTTCAGTGAAAAATTATCGCACACGACTGGTTATATGCAGGGATGCTCGTTTATGATTCCAGGTGTGCATATAACCATTTCGTGAAACGGTTGCAGATGGGCCAGATGGGCCAAGGAGAGGCAGTTGGCAAACAGAGAAGTAGTCAGAGTATGCGTTGGTTATACAAGCAATGTGGGAGATAAAGAATAGGATAGGCGCGATCGTTTAGGACAGCTGCTGCTTTACAGTGTAGGCTTTTAGGGTGCATGAGCTCGTTTCGGGTCTGAAACACTATACCACATTTACATCAAAGGTCCGCACCAAGTAGTAGTTTGCACTCAGTAAATTGCAGGAGTGCATTTTCAGTCGTTACGGTCTCGAGACAGGGGCTATTTATCAATTGAGACACTCAGATGGTTCAACAGACCATCTCGGCCAGAACGCGGCCATTCCTTTGTTTAGTAAATGTGCTGCATTCTTCACTTCATCTCTCCTGTTTCGCTATCCTGCTCCTGCACTGATGACAGTGCTGCAGATATTTTCTTAGCTCTATCTTGAGTTGCTTCGTCAATTGTTACAAATTAAAGAAAAAAGAATTCGCCACTGTAATCTCACACATTCCAATGACGAGTGTCCTGATAGGCTAGCGACATCCAGTAGAGCGTGGCGGTCCACTCCATCCATTCGTGAATAAAGGAGTTGTGGTGCCACATTCTTCCCTTCTCTTGTGATTTATGGGCGTCCACTATGCAGGACCAATTCAATTAACAAAGCTTAAATCCAATTAGCTTTCAGGACTAACGAGAATGCTTACGTAAGAAGGAGAATAAGGTATCAGGGGGGTCTAGGACGTTCCATTCGAAATAGAGCGAGTATTCACACGAAAATGGTCCACTACCGGGAAGTCTATTTGCTTTCAGTGAGAAAGCAAGGTAACATAAACCGAAAATTTCAGTGGTATACTAAGACAATAGAGTGCACGTGCAGAAAACATTGAGAGCACCTGTTATGCGGAGCTCGCTAATGCAGCCTGAACTAAAACTTGGTCGAGCTTGGTCAACTGAAAAAAGCACACTTACCAGGCTCCACTAAGAGAACTCCTGCAGAGCACAAGGGGAATGTCTTCGCAATAGAGAAACCAGTTCAAAAAGACCTATTCTTGGAAGACCCCCCTTTGTCCTGGTAAAGTCTTGAAATTCTTCAAGGCGAAATAATAATGTCTGAAGTTAAAATGAACTAGACTTATCATAGTACGTAAATTACAGGCTAGGTGCGTAAATTAGCGTATCAGATAATAATTTTTTTGAGTAGTTGCTTCTTTCTTTCCAGAGACCCAACCGTGTGCGGTGACTTGGAAAGCATGAAAGCAAAAGCCACCTCGCTATTTACTTGGCCAAGTCAATAATGGGCAAAGTATCTCCTCTTCAGCTAAAAAATGCACTGTTGCTTTAATATTGTCTATGTCCAGTACATCGCTCTGGCTACTTGCATAGCATCTGTCATTTATTTGTTTTTGTATATCACATCTTGCCTACTTGAGCTATACAGCTGCTTGATTGCATGGCTCTGCTTCTGCTTCAACCCACCGGTAGGCAAGCTAAATGGCTTTTCTTGCATTGTTCATCTCGTCTCCTATGATCGTCCTGCAACCCAGCTGCACCACCACAGTTGGGAGTGTGAAAACGAACAGATAAGCGCTCGAAAAAAATGCACGAAAAAAATAAAAAATGCCAATATTTTTCGAAAAAATAACTTTTCTGCTTACACAAAACGCACGTAAGCTCTAACCCAAGTCATCTCAAGCGGGTGGGTGCACATGAAAAGCTACATGGGCCAGGATTTCATCCTGCACGTCGTCATAAACATATGACAGACTGGGTTAAGCTAGTTCGTGCAAAGCAAGATAAAAATATGTGGATTTTGCCCGTCCCAGCCCTTGCCACTCCTTTCCATCCCTTTCACTTTTCTACCTTTCCTCCCCTTCCTCCCTTTCCTCCCCAAAACGCATATATTCTTGTTTGTTTTCATTGTCATCTAGCCGCGTCCTCTCCACACTTCATGATCCATACTCTTCAGCCTATTGATTCGCGTGACAATAAACCATCGCGATTTTTCATTCTTTCTCGCTACCAATGTTTGTTTTCAGCGCATGTCCTGCACGCAACCTTTTTTCTCGCATCCGGTTTTGGAACAATTCATACCTAGTTCGTCAAAATGTAATCACTTTCATGCATGCAGTGAAAAAAATTATGCGCGAGCTTGTTGATTTTTGATTATTTTTCAATTTTTTTGAACGGAAATGTGCGCCTCGCATAAACGGGACCCATTTGTTTAGAATGTTATGAATCTGTCATAGTCCCAACCATCATTAGGCATTCCCAAGACTCTTAATGGCAGAATTTTCTCTTTGGTTTTTTTTTTTCTGTTTGTTTCTTCTTCTTTTACTTTCTCCCTTTTGCTGTATTTCATTACTTTTTTGAACCAACTTGTTAGTCACTGTTTCCTTACCCTAGTCATTCTTTATAACTCCAACTACTACACTCGTTCGAAACTCACCAACCAGTCTTTCATTAAACTCCAATTCAAATACAATTAAACAAAACTATAAGCAAAAATTTTTCAACCAGTGTGACAAAAGAAAACTAAACAATGTTATTGAAAACTATTACTCCGATAGTTCTTTTAGCATCCACCGTTTTTGGTGAAGATACCACCACTTACCAATCAACTATCACCATCACCAAGACCTTATTGACCCCTGAGCAATCTACGTCACTTGCCTCCCTTTCAGCTGCTTCTGTTGCTTCAGTCTCAGCTGCTTCAGTCGCTAGTGTTTCCAACGCTTCAGTTCAATCTGCTGCTGCTGCTGCCTCATCTGCTTCAGCTGCTTCCGCTTCCGCTGCTTCTGCTTCCGCTGCTTCTGCTGCTTCTGTTGCTTCTGCTTCAGCTGCTTCCGCTTCTGCCGCTTCCGCTGCCTCAGCAGCCTCCGTTGCTTCGGTTTCTTCAGCTTCTGCTGCTTCAGCTTCTTCAGCTTTGGCTGGTTTCAGAGGTGTTGCCGCTGTCGCTTCAGTAGTTAACCAAACCAACACCAGTACCGTTGCTTCTTCTACTCACCACAGTAGCTTGGGTTACAATGCTTCCACCAGTATCACCAGCGTACACGCTTCCTCCACTGACTTATCTACCACCGCTGGAAGTTCTTCTGCAACTTCATCAGCTGCTGCCTCTTCTACTTCAAGTAAGGCCGCTGCTGCAGGTTTGTTCATTGGTAATGGTGCTGTCGTTGGTACTCTTGCCCTTATGGCTGCTGCTCTTTTGTGAGAATGTTAAACTTTTCAATTCTCCTATCTCTAAATATATCTCTACCCTCTCAATTTTTTATAGTTGTGTAATGGTTCGTGGTTTTGTTTAAAACTCACTGCCCATATACCCTAAACTTCGTTGTTTATTAGCTATATTGTTTGTTTAAATAATGATAACGCTGTACTTTTAGCACTCTAAATATATAATATAATAATTAAAGAAGGAAAGTGTAGCTTAGTCTGGAGCATCTCTGTGCTTCGGTCTGTTGGTGCATCGCTCTACTCTGGAGCATCTCTGTGCTTCCGTCTCTTGGTACCTCGCTCTACTCTGGTTGTCATGTCACTTGCCCGAAGTATGTCAACTAGTTGAATTCATTGGTCGGCCGTCCTCTTTGCCACACGTCTTTCTTCACCATGAGTTCGAGGCTCTCCTCTGGTTATTCATGTCATCTGATCGTTCACATCACTTACACGGCGTATGTCAGTTAATTAAATTTATTGGTGTACTCTATATCTTACATGCTTTTACACCTTGAGTTCTAAGCTCTCCGGCCATTAATATCTTGAAGGTACTTCTCTTTCTCCAACACATAGTATTCGATCTCTGTCAAACCTTTGGGCACCTTGGGGGGAACCTTGGGTTTATTCTCATCGTCATAGCTAAAATCTCCACTCACACTAGGCATTCTATCAAATACCGATGGAGAGAACTTGGACTGCTGCCACTTACCATTTCCTAAATAGCCTGTGCTCTCTGTATGGAGGTCTACTTGCACGTCTCCCCTAGTAGCTGACCCGTTCTGAAGTCTAAATGTCTTCGTAAGATGTTCAGAAGGCGAAGGAGCGTAATATCTAGGATCGATTTGATTTGGATCTAAATCTGCCTTCCTAGCATTAGGGTCTTGATGCCCATCGTGAGACAATGACTTTATTTCCGTATCAAACATGTACACCTTGGTGGGCATTGCAGCTGGTTCGTCCAAGCCTATCGTATCTGCAGAGAACGGGATCTCTGTGGTGCTATTTCCAATATGAAGATGCATCCGGTGCATTTTATCAGCTAGTTCTCCTTCCAGGTTCAAAGGTGGCGGTGGTTTCCTGCCAAGTTGTTGCTTTCCAGATGACAAGTTGGACCTATTGGACAGCTGGGACAGGGCAAACGTACTGGCAAACGTGCTACCACTCTCTCTAGTCGCATTCAGCCCTAACAGTAGATGGGGAGGGGGATTTGGAGGCATGTTCACTTGTGCTTGATAATAATTGAGACCATCATCTTCATAGTCACCTTCGTCTTCGTCGTCACTATATCTAATCCTTGGCGAGGTTGCTTCAGGGCCAAACGAGCTCGGAATTAAATGCGAAGGAAGATTGTAGTACGACTTGACTGGCGAACTAGACTTGGATCTGGAATGAGAGCCTGATCCTCCTCTGCTTGGTGAAGGAGACATGCCGTCACTACTATAGAAGTCCAAGGGCTCCTTTTCTGGTGATGGGGTTCGGGATGGTTTGTATAATGAACCGATTGGTTGCTTGGATTGGAACTTCAGCTTAAGCTTTGTTAATGCTTTGAATTTGGACTTAGTAGGTGAATCGCCATTGTTGAAATCTACCTCATAAGAAGTAGTCTCAAAGGACTCGGGCTGGTTTTGAGCGCTATGAAGATGTGCTGAAAGCGAGGCTCCCAAGAACAGAGTAAGTTTCTTGTGTGAGGAAGTGGAAGTTATATTATTGTTGAACACTTCGTCTGCTGGAGACGTCATCTTGTACTCGTCATGGTTGATTCTTCTTGGATGTACAGGTGGCGGTGATGTGGACTGGTTAAAGTGCAGAGGCCTGAGGTCGACGTTCTGCTCTGCCCTCACCTGGTACTCAACCGGCTCGTTGTAATCATGAGACTGCATCATCAGCTGCCCTGTGATCTTTGGGGGTACTAGTGGTGCACTGGGATAAAACGTCATCTCCAAGTATATCTTACCTGCTGATTTACCATTTAGAGTCAAGTCAAACCAATTATCATAAATATACTTCCCACCGACATCCTTATTCTCCTGGTTAGAGAACACAATCGAACAGTCTATCTCTACTTGTCCTATGGGGGTTGGTTCGTTCTTGGTCTCATCGAGGACATCGAGTTTCATGATGGGTTTTCTTTCCCTAGTGAGTTGGAATCGTATCTCGTGGGTCCACTCCGGCGTTTGCCCAGCTCTGAAGTGGGATGGGGTCTTCTTTGCAGTGGGCCCTATTCTCATTGTAACATATGGGCACTGTTTGTCTAGCTTCCTCCTGTTGGGGAGGTTTTTCGCTCTGCAGACGATGATAACAAGCGTACCATCCGCTGTCTCAGGTCCACTGTTCATGATATATGGAGACTGTGGGCGATTCAAGTTTGAATTGTTATTGTAGAATGCCACCGTCTCTTCTCTCTTCTTTTATCTTTACACTTGGTTAAGCCTGAAAAATTGACAACCAACGAGGCTCAGCTCAATATTGTCCCTAGTTTAGTCTGCAGTGTCAATTGTCACTAACTGTGAAAAATCAAAAGAAGTAACGCAACGCTCACAAGTCTTTTAAATAGAAGGCTTGTTTACTTTCAGTCTTCGTTCTCTTCTTTTCTTTATTTTTTAATCTTCCAGCTAATGATCCATGAGCAGGGCTGTATTACTTTTTTAGGATGATTGTGCGACCTACTTTGTTTACATTAGTGACGCATTCGGTACTATCCGGACACTGTGAGACAAGCTGAATTTATATATAGATTGGCCTGCATACAGTCTCGCAAATGACCCACTGTGGAGCAGCGGTTGCACTTCTAAGAACACCGGAGGTGGCTACGGGAGGTGATGTAGACCGGCTTAGGCGACATTCGCTGCAGAAGTTACAATTGGATCGGCAGTGGATCCTCGGTCGGATCATCTCTTAGGGCTCCAATTGGTTCGCTTTTCTGTACATTGATTCACATTTGTTTCAAGATCGAATAATTATCGCACAGCGGCTAAAGGTAAGCGACAGGGTAGAATGAAGCTGGTCTGACAGGCTGTGATTCTCTTGGTTTCTGCATTGGCATAGGTGTGTGTTTGTAACGACATGCAAGAACCAACCAAGATGCTGAAACTAGACCACAGAATGGCCAAGTATGGAACGATATGCATGAGACAATAATGGCCCGAGCATTAGACTCATACACACTTCCTAGTGCAAAGTATGACCTTACTCTCTGGCATCTGGCAAACTTCCAGCCAGATTTCCCCTTCACCTTGAGCAGTTCCCGAATAACCCCATTCAGAGCACATATATGCCATATCTCCTTCTATCAGATATCTCCCTCCTGCCTACTCCCTTGGAGATGCACCACCTCTTTATTTGCACCCATTAGCCTGCATGTGGACAGCCCAGTCCTGTGTGTAACGTTTCAAAGTCAAACCTGATGATCCATCTGGTCCTGCATATACCGTGAAAAATATGTGCAATATGGAAACACTTTAACCATCTGTACCAGTGTGCTAGTCTACTATTCAGCTGTATTCATCCAAATATGTCTAGAAGAGGTCTCCCATTTGGTTTTGGTATAGAAGCGGAATCAATACTAAATGATTCCCAGTCAAAACCACATTTGGCTCTCCCCATAAATCACGAGTTAAACGAAGATGAAGAGAACGTAGCGAAACAGTCTATTTCATTTGCTAAGTTGGTAGCGGATGGCCCCTTTTTCACAGGTTCTACTATTGGACCTAGGGAAGAAACGGGCGATGGAATTCAAAGACATTCAGATAAATATAAAAAAACCAAGAAAATCGGCAGAACCATAGAGGAGCACCCTTACCAATTGGAATTCTTCCCAGATGAGCTCTACCTGGTGATGGGTATCTCCAACAAGCAGAAGAAAATGTTACTATCAGCTTACAAGGTTGATGGAGGGTTACAGTCTTTCAACTTAACAGAGAACGACGACGAAAAGGCGACTAGCTTATTGGAAAAATTCAAGAACTTGGCTGAAGAGATTGAAGTGAACGAAGACAAAGACCAGCCTGAAGAAATTGAGGAAGAGTTTGATGACGAATATGAGGAAGACGACGACGATGATTATAATGCCGAAAAGTATTTCGACGATGGCGATGATGAAGGTATGGATGGAGGAGACGATGAAGCAGCTTTCTAAGCTTAATAGAACCCACAAAATAGATCAATGTACATTAGATATAGTCAACTTTTTAATATATATGTTTGCGCATGTTACATTTCACTCCTCTGCTCTACTCTGCTTCTGGTTCGCTACTGTACAGCTGCCTTATATTCTTGGTTGATGTCTTTCTATTATCTATATGCTAAATATTTACTCCGGGGCTCGCTAAACATCGACAGTGAAACTAACAAAGGAGTTTCTTGCACCATCGATCTTCTCAAACCATCTTCCTAACTTGTGTTCCTTACTTGTTAACGCACAAATTGTCACCTTTTTGTCTTCGATCTCCACATGGTCAATCTTCACTACACATCCGTTGATATTGTTGATCTCTCCGATCAATTGGAAGGAACGCAAACCCTCTTGGTCCAACTTCCATACTTTAAGACATCCGTTGTACGAACCAGTTACAAATATGTCGCTGAATGGCACAGCATGGATTGCTGTTATCCAGTATGGTAATGGTTCAGGTACTTGTTGCTGTGCAAGTTCATGGCTTACTTCGGCACTGGCTTGTGCTTGTGTCAATGTTGGCTTCAACCCGTGTGAGAGTCTCTTGGTGAAAAGAGCCTTCTTCTTTGCGAGTGACCACAAGGCCAAGTTCCCGTTATCAGATCCTGTCACAAAATGTGATTCATCGATCATCGATACTACTTCTATGCTTCCTTCTGCGTGGAATGCCTCTTCAGGCCCCTCTGTGTCAATCTCTGAGTTATCTCTTCTCTTTCTCCTCTTTTCTGTTGAGTCTCCTCCTCTGAAAGTCAATCTGGATTCTTCTGCGATTTTCCAGAACAAAGCAGTCTTGTCTCTAGAGCCAACTGACACACAAGTCTCTCTACTTAAACAGGACACTTCAGTGACATTGTCCTGGTGTCCATACAACACTTCCAATTGTGCAAATTGGTTAATCAGGTACGTTCTTATTCTGAGATCTGAGCACGCGGCATACAATTGGTCTGTTCCTCTACGGAAAACAATCAGGTTGATAGCACTTCTAGTCTCCAATACTTTCAAACAGGAAAGATTTTCACTGGACCATATGATAAGTCTACCGTCTGCACCTCCAGTGACAACGTACTTTCCATCAGGAGAAGCCGCTACGCAGAGTATGTGATCACAATGGTGATTTAAACGTTGCTCATTCTTAATTGTCATGAATTTCTTGGAGCCACCCTTGGTGTGTTTTATTCTTTCGATCTTGTTGCTACTGTTGTCAATCTTCCACTTGATCAACTCACAGTCTTTTGATACAGTATATACAAATGGTGCCCTTATGGCCATGCTAGTTAAATTTTTAGATCCAATTCTGGTAGTCTTGATATTAAGGTCTTCAAGTTGGGTCCCCACTTTTTCTCCAATGAACTTATATACGTAACCCTTTTGCTCAGCAACGTCGGTTTGTAATCTTCTGGAAAGGATATCGTCATCGAGATCTTGAGCATCAAAGAATTCGTCATCGTCTTCAGCTCCTCCAAATTCGTTTTGCTTTAAGTTCTCAAGGTACTGCTTAGCAAGTCTTCTTCTCTTGTCTGCAGCATTTTCGTCCGCGAATTCTTCATCTGAAGAGAGCTCTTCACTATCACGTCCATCCTCGCCGTCATTATCGTCGTTTACGGAGACATTGCCTGGTTCATCGTCTGTGTCACTTGCGCCTGAAATTTCTTCATCGTGATCATTTCTTGATCTAGATGCATTTTGCTTTGTGTTTGATTTGGAATTTCTCGACGTCTGCTTGGTAGGACGCTTTCTTTTCTTCGAAGGATCCGATAAAAAGGGATCGCCGGCCATGCTGATGATAAGAATATGCCTCGGAACAGTACTAACTAGCGTCTAGAGTGTGTTCTTTTAACCTGTCTCATCTCATGAAAAGACTTTTCGAGATGAGCTTTGGGTGCGAGATGTACTGAAAAAAAATTCCAGTAGTCATGTGACTGTAGTCACGTTTGATTCTTTGGGTGAAAAGTCCTAGTGATGGTATCAGCCATGCTAAGAGGACAGGTTAAGGTAGCATATCTGTGAAAGTGACTCTTGTAAGGAGACTAGCAGAGCCGTACTTCCGGCAAGGAATTTTATGATTTTTATTCCCCAAGTATTTTCTCTACTTTATTCATTTCTACTTGTCTTGCTCTGCTATCCTGCTCCACTATTCTGTTCTGCAACTCTGGAGATGCACGTCAAAACACGATCAACAGTCTAGCTGAAACCAAGACAGTACACAGCTCCATAAGTATATTATACTGATGTTTATTGATATCTACTTACTATCATACTTTTTAATATTAACCTCTTTTTCGCATGCTAATAAAACACTTTTTTCTTTTGTTAATCCTCTAACAAGTCTTCAATGTCGTGATCTTCTTGAGCATCATAACTAGTTTGATGTCTTTCTCTCAACGTTGTTGCACTCTCAGCCAACTCACGTTCAACTAGCTTAACATTCTTTCTGGTCTTCTTTCCCCAGCCAAATGTGGCAGCTTCTGCCTTCAATTTTGCGGCTTGGGCCTCTTTTTCCTTTCTTTCTTTTTCTGGCTTGTCAAGCTTTTCTTGTTCATCAAGAGCAATTTGTCTTTTCACCTGCTTCATCTTGGCCCACTCACTATAGTAGTTTCTGAAGATTACATATGCCGCAACGAAGATCACCAATCTCAAATACTTGGTAAACGTATCCTTTTCAACGTAGTCATAGATGAATTCGAACATTTTCTCGGTTATCCTTTAGTTAGTATAATGAAACGACGATCTTTCTTCTGCGTCTTCTTCCTCTTCGTTCCAGTGCTTTTTGGTTATTTACTAATCAACAATCTTCTAGCGATGTTGATCTCCGCACCCTCCGGGCACGACCTTGCGCATCTCACCAAATGCGCGCTAAACGGTTGCACTGGAAGCTTCCACTTATTCCCGTGTACACGCTGAGAAAAAGATTACTAGAGACACTATAGGGCCAGTTTTCTGTCCCGGACGATAGTTAAGAGCTATAGATTGGAATTTGACTCTATTAGAACTGCTAATTGGGTATATTTAACATACTTAGGCACTTTTTCTGTGGACTTTACTTGAATACTAAAGCTCATCGTCACTATCGGCAAATGGGTCCAATTCTGGAAAATCACCAACTTCAACTTGCTTGGGCTTCAAGATACTTCCATGGTTTTGTCTACATTCAAATATTCTTCTTCCATCTATGGTTCCGTCATTCTTTCCAACAGGTTCATGGAACTCCACTCCAACCCAGATTTCGTCTTCTTCTCCTTTGCTTAATTCCGGGATTTTACCAACAAACTTCACTACACCTCTTCTCTCACCCTGTATATTGATCACTCTACACATATCTCCAGTTTTCATACTGGAAGATATTTCCAAGTTTTCTTCTATGTTTCTTTGCTTGATTTCGTTGAATTGGGGATCGAATCTTCCTAGCTGATTCAGTTTCTTCCAATTTAAAACCGTATTATTCTTCTTAGCGTATTCGTCCTCGCTCAACTTAAATTCATACGCTGCTTCATTTTGCCCATCTTGTGCTTGCTCCTCTTGTTCAAGCTGGGCCAACACGGAATCAGGGTTACCATCCTTTACATGGAATCTACAGTAGGGAACTACTCCCTTTATCGAAGAAATATGAACGGAGCGATCTTTTTCTTCGGAATATTCATTACTGTCTGAGATTACTACGTACTCATTTGAGGTAGAATTTGGGTATAATAAGATGGTTTGATACTTAGGCTCAACCCCGGTGATTTGCTCTAATTTTATTTTGAAGTAAGACAAATCCCATTGAGGCGATATCCTTCTTTCAGAAGAAGTCAATTCAGAGGTCACGAAGATACTAATATCAGACATTGTGGATAAAAGAACAGTGTATAGTATTATCTAAACACATTGGAAATTTTTGTTGCATAACGCATACTACTTTTCGTTAGATACAGGACAAGCCATACGTGATGCTTGTAAAGACAGCTCCTGAGTACTGGAAACATGGCTTTTTTTCCTAGTTATAGTGAACTTAGAGTAGTATATTGAAGGTAGAAGGATTAAAAAATGAAATATTAAAACTCTTTTACTATGCTGAAAGCAATTATTTACTTAAACTAACATTTTTAATTGCACTTCTAAGTAATGGCTGCAAATCTGACCTATTAAATATACTAAACCTACCTAAGTTGTAGTCTCATTTAAACTAGCTTCGAAATCTTCTTTAGATACCCCTGCTCTCCATCTTAGTTTGTACGCTGGGTGGGTTGGATCAACAAATGAAGGGTCTTCGCCCTCAGTTCCAAAAACTTGCTCTCTGAAAGTGAGACCCTCCTCAGGGTAATCTTCCCAAGCCAATCCTCTCTTTCTCAATTCTGGGATAAGTTCATTTACCAATTCCTCAAAGGTTCCGGGAGTGATAGCATATGTGAAATTGAATCCATCCACTTGTGAAACATCAACCCATCTTTCAATCTCATCTGCTACTTCTTCCTTGGTTCCGTATAGGACGGGCCCAAGACCACCGACCGTAATTTGGTCAGCAACGTAGTTTCTGGTTTTCTTTAAGTTAGGTGGATCACCTGGTGCTTCTTTAGTCCAGTTTTCAACTACTCCACGGATTGCATTACTTCCGACATCACGTAATTCTTGATCTGGATCGAACTGTCCAATGTTGATACCAGTCCAACCACTGAATAAAGCCAGGGCACCTTCTTTATCACCAAAACTCTTAAAGTGTCTGTATTTTTCTGCCGCTTCTTCATGAGTCTTGCCAATTACTGTGGTCACCAACTGAAGAAACTTGATTGAACCTTCTTCTCTTCCATATTTCTCTTTGGCAATTTTCTTTATCTCCTCAATCTTTCCGGCTAAGCTTTCAGGTGTAAAGGTTGTGAGGAACACAATCTCTGCGTTTCTTGCGGCAAAATCCTTTCCAGAAGGTGAAGAGCCTGCTTGTAATATGACAGGCAATCTCTGTGGAGTAGGGGAAACAATATTTGGCCCTGGCACTTTGAAAAACTTTCCTTCGTGGTTGATTTCTCTAACTTTCTCGTGATCCGTAAAGATTCCCAGTTCCTTATCAAGCTTAACAGCATCATCACTCCAAGACGATAAGAACAATTTGTACACAACTTGAAGGTATTCTTCGGCTCTTTCATACCTTTCAGCATGAGCAGGTAAATCTGCCCCGTTTAAAGTATTTCTGGAAGCACTATCCAAGTAAGAAGATACAACATTCCAGCCCACTCTCCCATTGGTCAATTGATCCAAAGTGGCTAATCGTCTTGTAAAATGGTATGGAGCTTCACTAACTGTGCTAAAGGTTACCCCAAAAGTCAAGTTCTTAGTTACTGCTGCCATTACTGGAACAAACAAACTAGGCTCATAAACGGGCCATTGAGCACCTGAATTGATCGCGGCCTTAAGGTTTCTGGGGCCATTGTAAACATCATAACCACCCAATACGTCTGCAAGGAAGACAGAGTTGAATTTTCCTTTTTCTAAAAGCTTTGCCAAATTGATCCAGTAGTCCAAATCTTTTTTGGCCGATTGATCATCTGGGTGCTTCCACAACCCAGGGGATTGGAGCCCGCTAGTTCCCATGTCAAAGGCATTGATAATAAGAGGTTTTCTGGTTTTCGTCATGTTATTCAAAGTTAATTGTTTTACTTAACTGTGACTAATTAGATGTTCAATTTTAAGCTAGTGTGGATTAAGTATAGTTTTTATAGTATGAATTTTCTAGTTCAAGAACAAGATAGGTTTGATGCATTGGGACTAAAGGAGTCATACAAATTAATTTCGATCATAGATCAATATAAACCGATATGCAAATTGCGTAATTTGCTACTCTATTGACACCTCATTAAGGTTTCCTTTAGCTTGTACTTTGTCTATGCTACTGGGCAGTTGGTTTGATTGCAACCACAGTTGCATTGAAAATCACTTTCTATGCAGCATGTGCGGCTGGCGACTAGCATATACGGACCAAGTACCCTCAATCCACGCAACATCCCCTGGGGAAAGTAGATAGGGCAACTCAATTGTTGGCGAAGCATCCCGTATACACCAGCTTTAGTGAAGAAACTTCAAACACGTAATGCAAACACTTCGAAAAGGTAATTCTGAGCTTCGTGAAATCCTTGAAGTAGCCTGAAATGAGTAACATTGTGGCTGTTCCAACGTGATAAGATTTCAATTTTGCTACACATTGCTATCTCATAACCTATTGGTGAAGTGATTCTAGGTACTGGCAAGGGACTAACGGCTGAAAACATCTGCATGGTAAAGGGGACCGATTTCTCGGAAATTTCTCGGAATTACCACCAATAGGAACTCGTTGTTGCTGGTCTGAACTATTGTAAAAGAAGTTCGCTTTTGGTTTCTTACATGCAAGTGCCCAATATTAGCCAGAGTGGGCATCTTACATATTGGAGCATATCCCGATATAATTGATAGGCATGAAATAAAGCCCTACATCTTGATGAACACCAGTATGCTTTCCAACATTCTGTATCAGAATCTGTCCAAACCAATATCGGGCAATTACTAACTGTAAATGTATAGGTTTCTTAGGTCAATTCAATGAGGACCAAGATATGCAAGTTGCAAATTTACACTGTGGATGAACTAATCATGATGCATCATGCAATGCAGGTGCGAACTTCGAAACAATTGAAATTTGCAGCCACATCCCAAACCTTAACTTATCCACGGAAGAGCTACTCTTCTACTCTTTTTAAAGGAATCTAAATAACTACTACAATTAGGTTAGGGCATTGCAAAAGCAGATTGCGCAATATAGTATTAAGACTTGTGCTCGTTTGGGGACAGCAAGCTACGTCGACGCGGCGTACATGATCTGAGAGAAAAGGAACCGGCATCTCCCAACTTTAATTTGCAACTTATAAATAAACTACAATCTTCAGTTAGCTTCTAATATCTCTTTGGCCTGAAGGTATAACAAAAATTGAAAATGGGTAGCTTTGAAGTTCAACTTTTGGGCCAAGCTGTTGGTTATGGAGTTTTGGTAGGAATAGGTGGTCTCTTTGCCATTGCAATTGTAGTTGCAACCAAGCTCATGTCAAAGTATTTACACGAGAATGCACACTCCACGGAGATGTTTATGGTAGCAAATAGAAGTGTTGGAATTGGATTGACTGCTAGTGCTGTCTACTCTTCTTGGACTTGGGCTACTGAGTTTCTATGGGTTGTTACAATGGTCTATAACTATGGAATAATGAGCTCCTACTACTACGCAGCCGGTTTGGGATTCCATATCTGTCTTATGAGTGTTGTAGGAATTTTATCCAAGAAGAGAATTCCCAGTAGCCACACATGTCTTGAAATTGTTGAATTGAGGTACGGAAAGGCTTGTCACTTACTTTTCATGTTCTTGTGCTTAGTGAACAACTTACTTTCTTGCTCATTTATGATATTGGGCGCAGCAAGTGCAATTTCGGCCATAGCTGGAAATCTTCATATCGTCGCAAGTGCTATGTTGATTCCATTTGGAGTACTACTTTACACCACTGTTGGTGGATTGAAATCAACCTTCTTAACTGACTTCCTTCATACATTTATTTTGCTTATCATATTGTGTTATGTGAACACTGCTGTTTTGCAATCGCCTCATATTGGAGGGATTGATGGGCTTTATAAATTAGTCTTGGAGCATGAGGACGACAGGTATGTTGAAGGTAATTATAAAGGTTCCTTTTTGACAGGAAAATCTCAAGGAGCAATTATTTTTGGATTGATTCATACCTTAGGGGATCTTGGATTGACTGTCATGGACAGTTCATTCTGGCAAAAGAGCTTCAGTTCAGATATTCACTCGGCGGTGCCAGGATATCTTCTAGCAGCTGGAACTATTTTTGCAAACGTTTGGCCATTAGGTACAATTGTTGGATTGGCTAATATAGTGTTGGAAGATAATCCTATTTTTCCTACATACCCTAGAAAGATGACTACTTATGAAATCAATAACGGGTTGGGTTTACCTTATGTCTTGAAGGCAGTGCTAGGAGATGGAGCTGTTGGGGCGATTTTACTAGCAATTTATTTGGCTGTAACTTCAACAGTCAGCGCCCAGATGATTTCAGTAAGTAGTATCATATCATTTGATATCTATAAGAAGTACATCAAACCAGACGCCCAAAATAAACATTTAATTAGAATATCTCATTTCGGAGTGGTTTTCTTCGGTTTATTTTCAGCTGGGTTCTCCATAATGTTACACTATGTCGGTGTTGATACTACTTGGATGGGATATTTCCTATCCATGGTAATTTGTCCGGGAGTTGTTCCTTTGGTTTTGACTATTACATGGGACCGCCAGACAACATTAGCAGCATTTGCTTCACCTATTGCTGGAATAATCCTTGGAATTGCCGTCTGGCTCTCAACTGCGTACCATTTCTATGGCGAGGTGAGTATTGTGAGTACAGGACAGCAATTACCATGTTTGTATGGTGGGTTAACGGCCATATTCGTTCCAGCCATCTTGACTGTTGTGATAAGTTACACCATCAATCCCCATAGATTTGATTGGGAGAAGTTTCAAGAGGCTAAGATTATTGTTGTCGAAGAAGATGCCTTCAAGAAGGATGAGACCTCTGGATCTGATTCTGAGACATCCAGAAAGGAAGAAATAGAAAAGGCGAACTACAAAATTGAAGTAAATGAAGAACAAGAACGACTGAAACAAACAAATGTTGGTGAGGTAGAAGAAGCTGCTGGTATTTTGAGGGAGAAGAAAAGAGTCAATTTGTTAGTCAAAACTGCCTATGGGTCCTTGATATTTATGGTGCTTTTAACGTGGGTCGTCTGGCCCTTACCTTTATACAGAGACTATATTTGGGGTATTGAGTTCTTCAGAGGATGGACAGTCGTCTCGCTCATTTGGGTGTATTTGGCCTTTTTTGCAATCGGAGTGTATCCCTTATATGATGGAAGACACGCATTAAAAAAGGTATTTTATGGAGTTTATGTAGACTATATTAAACGAGAACACTGAACGGGATCCACCCCAGACAAGTGAAGAATAATTAATGTGCCAACTGAAAACTACAATTTAGAGTATTTATTATTGTTCAATAAAATTTTATTTGGAAAGATTGTGTAGATTCCTGACCACTGTCTAGTTACCTATTACACCTTACACTCTTAGCTGGTACTTAGTCCCACTTGACTTTTTATCATGGGTAGCACGGCCACCTTAGTATTACCTCTATGTAATTGTTGTAGCACATAAATTTGCAGCCATTAATTTTGTGCTTGCTTTACAATATGCAGTCCGACATGAAACCAATTTTTTTTTCAGTTTCATTTTCAATTTTCTGTAATTTTGAACGTATAACAAGGCAATCTACAAGTAACTTTAAGACATAATAGAATAGACAATATAGTAAAAATGGAGAATGTAAGTATAGGATTGAAGCAACATTGAACTATGGAGCACCAAAGGAGACAAAATCATCGGATTTATGCGTCCCAGCCAACTCCTTTTCGAAGTAGCTTATAGATAGTTTACTAACCGATGTAGCAAAATAACCATAAGGAAAACCGTCACAATAACAACAGAAGAAGACAAAATAATAATGCACAAAAGCCAGACGGTCCTAAAAGAGAAGCTATATTGGATTTGAACAAATACAAGGATCAACAAATTCGTGTTAAATTTATCGGTGGTAGACAAGTAGTGGGCACTTTGAAGGGATTTGATCAATTGATGAATTTGGTGTTGGACGATGTTGTTGAAACTCTCAGAGGTACGTATGAGCGAATTTTTGTTTGAAACGCGCGGGAGATCGATGTTGAAGCATTCAAGCATTCAAGGACCGGAAATCAATGAATATCTCCTAGTATATGGGGTATGGAGTCTTCGAACGGTCTCTTGTATCGATCACAATGTGGAAGGAATTATTTATACTAACTTTTTTTTAGATCCAGAAGATGATAGCGTATTGACCAAGGAAACCAGAAATCTTGGCTTAGTGGTTGTGAGAGGACCAACCTTACTTACCATCTCTCCAGTGGATGGTAGTGAAATTATCGACAATCCATTTGCAGCTCCAGAATAGCTAATGAGGTGTAGTATATATGTAAAATAAATGGAAAAGATAAAAGAAAGCGGAGAGGAAGAAAACAGGGGATGTAGGAGAAATGAGCACTGTAGCGTTGCTTAATGCAGGGCATATGAATAAAGTTGTCCACTTTCAAGGAGCCCGGAACGAGAGTATTCTCAACCCAAGTTGAAGCAAATATAGTGTTCTCTGACTGGGCCTAAATATTTAAAGACTGAACGCACGAGCGTGAGAGCACCCTAAATCTGAACCAAGGAAGAAAGGAAAGACACGAGCATGATCGACATAGTATGCTCACAGATAAGCAGGTTTTCTCTCCAGGTATTCTCTGACCTTGTTCTTCTTCTGCTCACAGATAAGCAGGTTTTCTCTCCAGGTATTCTCTGACCTTGTTCCCATTCTGCTCACAGATAAACAGGTTTTCTCTCCAGTTTCTTTCTGACCTTGTTCCCATTCTGCTCACAGATAAACAGGTTTTCTCTCCAGTTTCTTACCGACCCTGTTCTCATTCTGCGTGCTATACCTCTGTCCATGCTCTTCTGTCCATGCTCCCATTCTCATGTATGTAGAGCTTCGAGCAGCGTGCTGCACTCGTAAACCTGAGTACTCGAAAAGCCCGTTTTCTCACCCGCCTCTCTTCTCCGTGCGGGCACACCACATGCGGCGAACATTTTTAGTATGGCCAGGTGGACAAGCCATAAATGCGGCCAGGCTTGAATAATAATGGGTGGATCACAGCAGGTAAAACGTAGAAAGGAAACACTCCAAGTGCACTGGAGTTTACAATTCTGGGCCCCATTTCAGCCATGAAATGCCAACCCAGCGAACCAGTCCCCCCCGACCCTGCTCCATCCTATGCACTGCTACCCAACCCTCCAATCAGCAGCCCCCAGGTTCCTATCCAACGGAACCCTTTCCTGTATGTAGTGTAGCCGTTTTCCTGCAGCTCATCGACAAGCGCTGATGAGCCTAATCGCCTGATGAGCACAAGATGAAAGAAGATAGAAGGGGGGAGGGCCAGCAGTTAGATTGTATATAGCAGGCCAGTTGCAATTCCAGTTCCAGTCCAGCAAACCATGTCTTCTGAAAACCTTATAGTTCTCCCACAGACCAAGCAACTCATTGGGTTGTACTCGATCATTCGTGATAACGCTACCAAGAGAGGAGACTTTGTGTTCTACTCAGACAGAATCATCAGATTACTCGTAGAGGAGGGATTGAACCAATTACCAGTGGAAGATGCCGTTGTCAAGTGCTATGGAGACCACGAATACAAGGGATCCAAGTTCCTTGGTAAGATCTGTGGGGTATCCATTGTTAGAGCTGGTGAATCTATGGAGCAAGGTTTGAGAGACTGTTGTAGATCAGTCAGAATCGGGAAGATCTTGATTCAAAGGGATGAAGAGACAGCGTTACCCAAGCTTTTCTATGAGAAATTACCAGAAGATATCCACGAACGTTACGTCTTTCTCCTCGATCCAATGTTGGCTACTGGTGGTAGTGCCATGATGGCTGTGGAAGTGTTGTTGAGCAGAGGAGTCAAGATGGACAGAATCTTCTTCTTGAACTTGTTGGCGGCCCCAGAAGGAATTGAGACGTTCCAAGCTAAGTACCCGCAAGTCAAGATCATTACCGGTGGAATCGACGAGAGATTGGACGAGCACAAGTATATAGTACCGGGTTTAGGTGACTTTGGTGACAGATACTACTGCATTTAGAGAAGAATGAACGGAAAAGGAAGGTGAATAATGTATATGTATGCTAGTAACAAGTGTGCTGTGTTTATGAGTGTAGGTAAGTTTGATGCGCTTTTGATCTATAAATACCTCTTGTGAACAATGTCTGGATTCTCTTGGTACTCGCCGGAAGTCACCCACATCTTCTTGAAAGTGGACAACCCTGCGAGAATGGAGCCTCCTATCCAGGTCGAGTACTTCCTTTCAGGCGGAGCGTAGATCTTGACTTTCAACTTGGAGTTTGTAGTCGTTGAAGACTCCTGTATAGTCTTCAATTCCTGTAGCATTCTATCTCCAAAACCCTTCAACAAGGTGTTCCCACCGGAAAGAATCACGTTCTTGTACAAGACGGGCCTCAAGTCTAAATCTGTTTTACCTATGGCCAAGCTAGTCAAATGGTGGACACCTGGGGACTCCTCGCCGATCAATTCAGGATTGAACAAGATCTCCGGAGCTCTGAACTTCTCCATCCCCACTTGCATGAGGTGCCCATCGGGCAATCGGTACGATTCGTACCTGCTGGAACCACTGCCGCCGTCTATGCTCGAGTACATCTTCTCATCTCGGTCTATGTCCTTCAGAATGTAACAGCACTTCTCCTTGATGAGCCTGGCGATCTCCAACTCCAGCAGACTGGTCAACCTGACCCCGGACAGCTTCCTTATCTGCAACGCCAAATTCTCAGTGATATCTCGACCAGCCACGTCCAACCGCTTCATCGAATTGGGCAACAGGAACCCGTCGTAGACGGGCACAATGTGCGTCACTCCATCGCCAGAGTCCACCACCACCCCGGTGGTTCTCCCCAGGGCATACAAGGACAACACTGCCTGGATGGAGATGTACAAGCAGGGGACATTGAACAGCTCAAACAACACCTGGCACATCTTGTCCCGATTTCGTCTGGGATTGAACGGCGCCTCGGTGATGAGCAACGGGTGGTCCTCCAGCTGAGTCTTCAAGTCTTGCTGGTAGGTATGGTACCACACCCGTTCCATGTCTGCCCAGTCCGTGACAATCCCATGTTCCACAGGGTACTTCAATTTGAGGAGACCTCTGTTATTCTGAGCAGAGTTACCTATAAATATGTCCTCGTGCCCACTGCTGTCCGTTATCGTTGATCCCACCATCACCTTTTGATACTTGGGGCGCCCCACGATCGATGAACCGTACGACTTGGGTTTCTCTTCACCTGCAAAGCCAGCTTTAAGGTTTCCGGACCCATTGTCAATGACAACAGGCTGGTTGTATAAAGTATCGTCCATGCTACACCGATGTCTTTCTTCCTAACGCTTTTCGCTACGCTCTTCTCTGCGCTCTTCTCTGCGCTCTTCTTTACGCTTTCTTCTTATTTACTTTTTTGGGTTTCCTGTTCGCGTTCAGTAAACAAAAACAGAGAGGCAGAGCGCACAACGGTGATCAGGAAGAAGTAGCAGCTCTTTTCTTGGACCAGCTGGGTATATTCGAGTTCCATTCGTCGTATATCTGTATATCTGTTCAGACTTTGCCATGTCCGCTCTCAATACGCTCTCCAATAACCAGAAGGTTCAGCTTCGTAATGCATTCACCATCATTGATGGAGACTCGCGCGATTCCACCATCACCAAACAGGACTTGAAGAATCTCTACACCACGTTGGGACTACCAACGCCTACAGATAAGCAGTTGGGAACCATGCTTGAAGGGAAAGACGGCGTCAACTTCACGCAGTTCTCCAATATCATGGCCAAGGAGTTCCTGAAGTTTGACGATAAGCTCACCATTTACAATGCCTTGAAGGTGTTTGCAGAGGATACACCCACGGGCAACAGCACAACAGAGGAGGAATTTATTATTGATGTGGACACTTTGAAAGAGGCGTGCTGCTCGGTGCAGCTTGGCGAGATAGGCTCAGGAGACCACCGCTTGGAAAGAAAGACGTTTGACAAGTTGGTCAATGGGTTTATCAAGGAAGAGATTGACGGGAAGAAGGTGTTTTTGGCTTCGAAGTGGCTCGATGCGTACATTGATTAGGGGAGATAAAGAAGAGAAGAGGAGAGAAGAGAAGAGGAGAGAAGAGAAGAGAAGGAGGTACGGTTAATGAGGAGGGTGCAGATATTGAATAACTGGAGCCCTTCGCTAACCTCCCAGTACAGGCAACGCTCAAACGTACCACCCATGAGAGGATAGAGAAGAGATGAGAAGGAGTAGCCGGTAGGTAGATAATGAGGACAGATGGAGAAGGTGTAACAATTTGAATAACTGGAGCCCTTCGCTAACCTCTACACATCTCACCAGTACAGCCAACGCTCAAACGTACCCTACTCTTTAACCTACGGGCTACCCCATGACACATTGACTAACCCACACGACCACGAACCCCAACCACACGATCCACACCGTTCCCACGGCCCACACGCCGGCTGCCTACACACTCTGCGCTTCACTGGCCCATTTTTATGTATATTAATATGCTAATGGATAAAATACAAAACTGCTAACAGTCATTCTACTGATCTCCTCTTTCTGAGTTCTCTTTATCTATTCTTTTTTTACTTGATGTCATGTTCCTCTCTTCTTTGCTTCTTCCTCTTCTTCATTACCTCCTTCCTCTTCCTTTCCTCCTTTCCTCCTTTCATCTCCTCACACTTTACTCGATGCTGACCCACCTAAAGATCAATGATCAACTCATCGCACCCCCAATCTTCAAATGATCCGTCTGGCAAGTATCTTCTCACTACCAATGGAATCTTTCTTTGTGACAATTCTTTCATGGCAATTTGTAAAGGATCGGTCTCCCCCTCGATGTCAACCAAAACTGGAGCGTTGAGTGAAATTTGAAGGGCTCTTGTTCCCAATACTCTGGCTCTTTCATATTTGGTCATGTATGGAGTGGTAGTTCTGTCTTCCTTTGAAATAGATAATTCCTTGCTCGACTTGGCTTTTGCAAGGGCTTCATCGTTAGGTCCTAACCCACCGCTTATAATGACCCTACCATCTTCTGACTTCATTACTACGTCGCCGCCATTTTCATTACTGGCATGGGCATCGGTTTCGGGTTCATTATAGTCATCTTCCGAGAAGTGATCTGGCTGATCGAAGTCTTCATAGTTTTCCTGTCCGTCGTTGAAAGCGTTATCCTCAAAATCAGACATTATGATCCAGGGTTTTATTCGTTAAAGGGTAGCTAAACAGAAGGGATGGGCCATGAATATTGTCTGATATTTTTTTTTTCACGCTGTTGATATCTGAAAAATGGTACGCGCACGACCGATGAGATACAGTTCCACTCGGGTCGAGCAGTGTGGAGTGCTAAGGACACTGGCATCTTAATAGACTGGTTAGTAGGCTCAGTTGGGTTGTATATGTCTAGTTCCTTGCGGATTCAGAGCATTACAATAGGTTTATCGATTAAATTTTTATTGGTCTATATGTAGAACATTGTGTGGGTGTGATGATTGTAAAACCAGTTCAGAAGTCAACTTCTACTCCTTCATCTTCCTCGTCGTCGTCGTCTTTCCCTTTCTTGCACGTCGGTTCTTGATTGTATATATATATATATATATATATATTTGTTACTTAATATTTTTTTTCTTCTTTATTCCTGTTTTTATTCTCATTTTTTATATTGGTTCGTTTTAGTCTTTCCGTTTCGATCTAATCTACAATTCATCGGCGTATGGTAAAACGTCAATATCACCAACGGCAACATAGTTAAAGGAGGCAGCCTTGAAGCTGAAATCAGCCTTTGGTGAAGCTTCGACCTTGATGTCCAATGGAGATTCGAAGGTGGATTGTAAAGCTAATGACAATTTGGTGGATTTAACAGACTTGGTCAAGTCACTGGCAGTAACTGAGGTCAAGATCTTCTTGGCAGCCTTGATAGATGAGGCAACAACAGATGGATCAGCATCAGAAACGGCAACGTAAAACAAACCAGCATCTTGGTACTTCAATAACTTGGAAGTGGCAGCACCAGGTAACAGGGCCAATGGAGAAGCAGAAGATGCGAGAGCACTTGAGCCAATTGAGGTGGATAATAATTCATATGTGGAGAATTCGGAGGCCTTGACTGGGACACCAATGATAGCAACAGACTTACCGGATGATCTAACTCTGGATTCCTTGCCGACGAAGGAAGCTGGTGCAGAAGAAGAGGATGATGAACCTTCCTTTAAGGATGAGAATGCGGATTGGCTGATGAATGATTGTAGGTCTGCTTCGTTGACGCCTGAACCGAAGACAGAGACGTTGGAGCTGGTGTAGACATCGTCAGCGAATTGCTTAATTTCTTCAAGAGAAACTGGTCTGGCTCCGTCGTAGTACAATGGTTGACCGTAGCCCTTTCTGAAGGAGAGTGCGTGTAAGGATTCCAAGGCTGTGAAGGTAGTATCACTACTGGCGACGTCGTACTCAGCCTTGGCGACTGGCAAGACTGTTTCTGGGAATTCATAAGGTCTGAATGATGGCTTGGCCAAGACGTTACCTAAGGCTTCAACGTAGTATGGCAAATCTTCCTTGAGGAACTGAGTGTTCAACACAATGGCATCTCTGGTGACGTTTGTGGAGAAAACACCACCGAGTAATTCAGACTCTCTGGTGAACCTCAAAGCTGACTTAGTTTCAGTGTTTAAAAAGTTGAACTTGGATAACAAGTGTGCAACACCTGACTTACCGCTCTTGGAACCTGCGTTGTTCACAACAACTGATAAGGTAGACAAGGTAGAGCTTGGTGCGTCTCTGGTGGAAACCTTGATGGCAGCCACTGAGGAAGAGCTGAATGCACGAACAGAAGCACGAGATAACATATTTAAAATCGGAGTGGTGTTGTTTATGCTTTGGTAGGCTACCTAGGTGGTCTGTCACCTCTAATTTTTGTTTTGCTCTCTTTTTTTTTCACTGCCTAAAAAAAAAGTGTGAGAAATTCTCAATTTGTGATTGGCTTGGCTGGTGGAGGAAGTATGTGCAGGAATGATCTGGAGGTGGGTTCACCTAGGGGTACGATTTGTGGGTTACGAGGGAGGGAGGCGAGAAATAGGGATCAGGTTAGGGTAAGGGGACCACAAGAAGGAATTTGGACTTGCTTCAATGGGTATTAATGGGGGGTTTAGTGTGTTATTGTCAGGCTAAGTTTAAGTATGGTGAAGTGCTGTGTGCAGGATCCAAATACGAGGAGAAGCATGGGGTAGGCTCTGGGAAGTATGTTGCGAGACGTGCTGCAAGGTATACTTCAAAGGTGCTCTATAGGGGGGATACAGGCGGGATACTGGCTATACAGTGACCATACGAAAAGAGATGGAGTGTATTGACGGGTGTTTCTTCCTGTGGCTCTTTAGTGAAAGGGCATTCTGTGCAGGAGACTACCTATGACATGAGTAGCAGCTCCCGCGATTCTGCATGGAGGGTGCTGCACCTCTGTGGGTGCAAACGCTGACTCTCTAGAGAAGACATGCCACGTACAGCTATGCTACGCTCGGTATGCTACGCTCTGCCAGCTTCGATTCTGGAGTATATTTCTCTGGTACTCTACAATGCCACCCGCCGGGTATCAACATTTGATGCTCAAGTGTTTCTTCGAGAATTATTCTCGTGTATTTTCTATTTCTATGTGCATATGGACAGTCCAAATTTAATCATGCTTTATTCAACTTGAACTAACGGCATTAGAGTATATACCATTTGGAGGTACACTCATTCCTCGCATCCTTTTATATTTGAGTCAACCTCAACTTCTTCTGCAACTCTTTCAGCACTCCATTCTCATTGATATAGTCATATGTCAACTTTCCCCATATCAAATCCATCAAAATCAATCCATGGACTATGCCCCACGTCAAGTTGATACTGTAAAAGAAGTTGGAGTTCCCATTTCCCAATACAATCCAACAGTAGTAAAAAATTGGTGATAACAAGAGACATCCTGACATAATCAAAGCCGTGAAGCCCCCAAATTTACAGTACGATAAGAAGGACGTCTTGAAGATAGGGATTATCGACAAAACCAACCCCAAATCTCCAAGTGTAGGGTAGGCCTTGGTGAAAATAAGCCAAGTGTAACAGAGAATGCATGCCAAGAAGGAATCTCCAAGGTAGTTGCTCTTGGTTCCCTTGGAGTCATTTTCGGAAAACCTTATGGTGATAGGCAAAATGAACATCACTGAGTACAAATTGAAGACGCCAACGAAAAACGGGTGGAAGAATGCAAACATTTCAGTGAAAAAGTACCACCAAAGTCCCACGTTTGGCGAGATTTGATCGAACCGTATGATAGTAATCCAGCAAGATTCAACAAATTGCCACAGTGAAGTCATTGCGAAAGAAGCCAAAACGAGCAATCCCAATGACACGATGAAGATACCGACACCCTCCACAACCTTGACCTTGTCACCCTTTGTCACAGTCAAGGCGAGTGAAACTAAGGGGATCACCATAAAAATTGGAGTATAGTTGAGGTAACTTGCAACGGCAAGCAAGAGCATGCCTCTGGAGAGCGAGTGCTCTACGGCAACTTGAAAGATTGACTCCACAAGAAAAATGTGTGTGAAGAGTAATGTGGAATGTGACCAGTTGGTTAAGATTAGCAATGGATTAAATAAGTAAAAGGACGCAATTAGCTTGTCAGTGAGCGGAGACTTGATCAAGTTGGAGACTGTAAGGTCCTTAGCAGACTGCTTAGACTCTCCAGACTCAGACCTTTCAGACTTTTCAGATTTTTCAGCACCGACTTTGGCAGATCTTGTCTTAAAGTACCACTGATTAAGCTGGATCAACCTGTATGCGATCCAAAGATCAATTAACGTATAAAGTACATTGAAAACGATGTAGGAGTAAGGGAGATCATTGAAGAAGTTCAAAAATACAACCAAAAGTGGCGAATGGTGGTTCACACCTCCGTCGTAGAGGTTTATACCGTGCTGAAGGTAGTAGAAGGCCTCTTGGAGCGAATTGAACGATGTGAATGGCGTTGCTACCTCCACCGACGACACAGTGGAGGGCAAATCAGGCACAAACGACGGCGGCAAGAGCCTAACAGCAGCTCCTAGAACAAATATACCATTCAACATTCTTTAGGTGAGTTATTGCTGGCCTGTATCTGTTGCTCAATGTTCTTCTTACCACCATGTTTTGATGATTTGGTCTTAACCACATATACACGGGTTATATGCAGGATAGAAATTTGGTTGAATTTCGTGGGTACATGAAAAAGGCGTTCAGAACAGGCTAGCCAGTGGTACACAGCGCACTGTTCAGCCACCGATAATGTCTTCATTCCATCCTATAAACCCCAAGCCGTTCCTCAAGACGCTCATCAATAAGCAAGTCGTAGTGAGGTTGAAATGGAACAAAACAGAGTACAGAGGGATCCTTGTATCGATCGATAACTACATGAATCTTCAGTTGGAACAGACCACTGAGATATCTGAAGGAGTAGAAGAAGAGATTGGAGAAATTTTCATCAGATGCAACAATGTATTATTTGTGCGAGATGCAATAGTGAAGAAAGGCGATGCTGAGGAAAATGGAGACAACAACGGTGTGGATAAGGAGGTAGCAATGAATGAATAAGAGTCACTAGGTGTGGGAGTCAGAGCGAGCATGAGTTTGAGTTTAGTGTGTGCGTATGAGAAGCGAGAGTGATAAATAGCCAGTGCTCTAGCTTGCAAGCGCAGAACAGACCATGGTGTTTGATACTTAGCTGCGCCAAAACGCTCCTCTAAAGTAGCCCTCGATATAAAAGGGTATGTATTATATAGAATAATATTATAACGAATGAGACTTCTCAACTATTGTAGCCCCTTTCACATACTCTTTGCACACGATGGCCCATGCTGCTCTCCACGCTTCTTCTCACGGTTTTGGAATTTTTCAGAGGGAACGAGAAAAATGAAAAATTCGAGTTTTCGAAAATTGGCGATAGCTTCACCACAACGTTCATTCCAACACACACACCGTACACCATGTCTGAGCCTGTTGTTGCTCCGTACGGAGGGTTGCTCACTAGAACTTTAGACGAACAAAACGAAAGAGAAGCCAAATTAAAGGAACAAGAGGTGTCCGTCAGTGTCAATGGCAAGGAAGAAACCGTGAGACCTGGCGCTATTTTTATTCGCGGTGTAGATAACTTGTCCACTGAAGACTTGAAGGCATTCATAGATTATTATTTGAACTATGATGTTTCTGTGGACCCCGAGCAAGACGGGAAGCAGATCTACGAACCCCACCCTATCGAGGAGCAAATTACCTTCAAAATTCAGTGGATCAATGACTCGTCAGTGAACGTTGTCTTCCAGTCGCACGAGAACTCTGTCAAGGCGTTGAGCAAGATTTCCATAACCTCTTCCAACCCAAACATCGCCAAGACCGATGAGCAGCTAGCGGAAGAGTTTTCGCTTGAAAACAACGTCCAGGAAAGAGAAACAAAGCCGTACAACCCGATCATTCTATTCAAAAAGCAGATAGACTTGAAGAGCAGAATAGGCTTGAGCACTCCTGCTGACGAGGACCAACAAGAAGAGACTATTGAATCCACTGGAATGGATGAAGACGAGTCTTTTATAATTTTGTACACCAGGCAGTCGTTCCAGTCCGATGTGAAGGTGAAGGGGGCTGCTACCTACTCAAGATACTACTTGCTCCACGGTGAGCCCGAAAGACGTCAACGTAGACCTCAGAACAGACGTAGAGACAAGAGAGAAAACGACCACCGTAACAACAGACGAAACCGTATACCTGAAGAGCAAGCACAAGCTCCTAAGGTAGAAGAAGATCTCTTCGCTAGTAAATTGAGTGGCCGTCGTGGTGACCGCGGTGACCGTAGCAGTCGTGACCGTGATGATGTCATGGACATCGATAGAGATAGATCCAGATCTCCTGTTAGAAGAGCGCCAGAGGAAGATTTATTTGCCAGCAGATTAAGAAGGTAATCTGCAGATGAAAGGAATAAAAGGAAAGAGTGAGAGAGAGGTTGATACATCAAAAGCCTAGAAATATATTGTAATATTATAATTATCTACTGTAGTCTATACATTTTTATCATTTTAAATTGAGCGGCTCCACCTGCTCGCGTGCTAGAAATACGAAGCCCATGTCTGGTTCTAATTACCTTCTTGTCCAAAGTCATTGGTAAATTTGATGTGGTTTTCAATATCTGCGTCATTAACCGTAGGTCTATTACTCTTGATCGATTTAATAAAATCTTTAATGGTCAAGTCTGGCTCCTGAAGTTCGTCCGTTCCAATATCCATCCAGCTCATTTCCCTAGCACCATCATCTCCTGGAGAGCAAGGTAAAAACTTCTCCTTACCGTCCGCATCTGATATCACGGGCTTAAAGTGGGTAGCCTGTTGAATCTTACGAATTGGTTGCATTAAAGCATCTCTCACAACGACTGCTATATCATGACCAGAGTACCCATCAGTCATTCCTGCTAAGGTCTTCAAGTCCTGCGGAGTACATTCACAGGGTACGTCACCGATATTTATTTCGAACATTCTGGTTCTAGCTTCAACGTCTGGAAGAGCAATGTAGATACGTCTTTCAAATCTTCTTCTGATGGCTGCGTCCAATTGCCATGGGATATTGGTAGCTCCCAACACCAACACACCGCTTGCATCATTACCCACCCCATTCATTTGCACCAACAATTCGGTTTTAATTCTTCTCAGTGCTTCACTCTCACCTTCTCCACGTGGTCCGCATAAGGCATCCACTTCATCTATGAATATGATGGAAGGCTTACTCTCTCTAGCCATTGTGAAAAGCTGCTTGACCAATCTTTCCGATTCTCCCATCCACTTGGAAACAAGATCCGATGACGATACCGAGAAGAACGTAGAGTTGGCTTCTGTTGCAACTGCCTTGGCCAAGTACGACTTACCGGTACCAGGTGGACCAAAGAGTAAAATACCCGAGGTAGGTTTACGATTTCCCACGAACAACTGGGGAAACTTAACTGGCAAGATAACAGCTTCCTTAAGAGCTTCCTTTGCACCTTCTAACCCAGCAATATCGTCCCAGCTGACATTTGGCTTTTCTGACAAGATGGCCCCAGCCAACGCTCCCCTGAGCTTCTTGGTATCGGCGTCGTCATCGTCACTTCCATCTCCTGCTTTCTTAGCTTTCGTGGACCCAGATGACGAACCTTCAGCGGAAGAGCTATTGTTCAGCTTTTGTTGCTGCTTCTCTAAATGATCCTTCAACTGTTCGGCTCTCGTGAGATACTCTGTGAACTTAGATTTAATGAGGTCCTTGGTTTGCGGGTTCTTCTCATATTTAATGGCAAGCATCAAATAATCAAGTCCATTGTAGTAAAGTTTGTATGCCTCTTCGTGCCTTGTAGCAGTGTCGGCATCGATAGCCTTCTGAACAAGATCGATCCCCTTAGATAAGAAATCTGACATAAACTTGAGGGTGCTGACTTCTGTACGGGAAAATATCTACAAGCTCCAAAAACAATATTTTTGGTTTACTAACTGAATGTAATATGTACCAAATAAAATAAACCCACGCTTACCTTATCTGAGTTACGTCTAATTGGTAAGCAGGCCGCCTTGATTCGATTTACAATGGAGTTTAAAATTTCCGTGCTAGTCCGTTGCCTCTCAGGCCGAGTTGAGCGTTTTCGGTCAGTGTTGATAGTGGACTATATGCAGGAACGAAGATATATAGTACACACTATGTGGAGCATGAGGGAGGTGATGGGTTCGTAGCAGTGAGTGGTTTAGGCAGAGTGGCTAGAGAGAGGCAAAGAAGTTGTAAATGAATTGAAACTGAAAATTTTGCAAAATTACTCGAAAGCTATGGATTTTTCTGATGATGAGTCTAGTGGTGGGTGCTCTAAAATGCTTCCTTTCTTGCAATTTGCAGCCGTGCGCTTCTTTCACTCTCATTAAACAAAGCATAGGGAACCATGCGAATTTACCAGCAGTTTCAGAAACACACATCCCAAATCCGTCGAGCAAAAGATCTAGTTCGACTGAACAATATGAAATGGTCACTATTCAGTAGTCAATATTCACTACTCACTTCGTCTCATTGCCACAGTTTGCCATTCACGAGTCCAGCTCAATGGGCCCTGGGTGTACCATTTCTCATGATCATGCAGGCAGGAGCAGAGATGTGTAAAAACTGATTTAGAGTACGAGCTATTGCATCTCCACGATAGCAGGCGACTGGGAAAATTATCCACCAGGTACTGTATATGTTTCAGTCTGCATGCTTTACTACTCTTACCTTGAAATGTGCTTTTCACCATAGTTTCCCTTTCGATCTAATTTACCCTACAATCTCGAACTTCACTATCTGCGACACAGTCACACCGGCCCAATGCAGAAATTTCCGCATGGGATTATGCATGCATACGATGCTTACGTACTATCTATATAAGACATGTATCATGCTACAAGATGACTTTTCAGACTTATTGTAAGTGAAAGGTTGCTTCTGAGATTTCAGGTCTTGATTGCTGCTAAATATTGTGATTTTTACAATTAGCTACATTGCATACTCATTGCATTCTCATTGCACTTTCTCACTATAGGTGCACTATATAAAAATTATTCAATTATGAACGAAAAGATGGGCACTGGTGATCCGGAAGTTCTGTCTTTGGCATCAACTACTTCAGACCACTATGAACCTTACATGTGTATGAACGAAAAGATATGCACCGGTGATCCGGAAGTTCTGTCTTTGGAATCAACTACTTCGGACCATTATGAACCTTACATGTATGCCCTTACTCAAGTAACCTTTCCTTCGAAATCGCACCATGGTTCGGACTTATCGAGGATTATTTCCGGTATAAGAGAAGATCAAGAGTTACTGGCTGACTATTTACCAACAGTAGATGCTGAATATAGGCTTGCTAAGAGACTTACACATAACGAAGAGCCGAAAACGGTTAGATCGTTGAAATCAAATGATTCAGAGCGAAAATCTGGTGGAGAACCGGATTTGGAACAGCACCAGGAAGGTTGCGACGAAGATGACGATGGACAGAGAAAAGATGAAGGCTTTGCTTGGGTGGTAGCAATTTGTACTATGCTTGCAGTGTTCAGTACTTGGGGTGCTAGTGCAGGTTACGGTGTTTTCCTCTCATATTACGTTTCGTCAGACGCTTTTTCTGGTGCAAGCCAATACGATTACGCATTGATAGGTGGAATGAATGTCTGCTTTGCTCAATTGTTAGCACCAGTCTGCGTCTTATCTTATAGAGTATTTGGACCATATTACACATCATATTTTGGAATTGCATTGCAAACTTTGGGCTACATACTAGCCTCGTTTGCTACCAAGAGATGGCAATTGTATTGCACACAAGGTTTCATTGTGGGAATATCGTTTCTGTTCGTTTACTTGCCTGGAACATTGATGTTACCTACTTGGTTTGATAAGCGCAGGGCCACAGCTATGGGAATAGCATTTTCGGGATCTGGTCTCGGTGGTGTATTTTTTTCCTTGGTAATTCGTCAACTCATAAGTGTTACAGGAGATCAAAGATGGGCGTTACGAATGTGTGCATTTGTTACAGGATTTGTAGCTATCATCGCATGTAGTATGATGAAACCGAGAAATTATAAACCATTACCTTTGAAGACTACATTGACTAGAGCGTTCATATACAGCAACGTAAGAACCATTTTCTCCACAAATGTGTTTAAAGATTATGCACTTCTCCTTTTGGGACTCTGGTATGGCTTAACCTGTTTGGCTTATATATTGGTGCTTTTTTCTGTTTCGTCATATGCTATCCTGGTTGGTTTAACTGCATTTCAAGGATCTATAATAACTGCCGTGTTAAATGCTTCTCAAACCATTGGAAGGCCAGCTAGTGGATTTCTAGCAGACAAGTTCGGCAGGTTCAATTTTACAATTGCTTCTAGCGTTTATCTTTGTCTTTTGGTGCTCGCATTTTGGATTAATGCTACATCCTTTGGGTCATTGATGGGTTTCAGTATACTAATTGGCTTCAGCATCGGTATAGGGAATGTGTTTTGCCAATCATTGGCATCTGATATCTTGAATGATATGGACAGCTTACCAGCGGCATGGTCAGGGTTGAACATTATTGTCCTGTTCTTTTGCATAGGAGCAGAAGTGGCTGCCTTGGCATTGAAAAAAGATGGAGCTTCTAATGAGTATTTAAATACACAAATATTCGGCGGTGTTTGCTTCTTCGCTTCCGCCATGTTGTTATGTATCATGCGAGAAAATGTTGTGAAGAAAAGGTTAATGGAAAGTCTAGAAAGAGAAAGGAAACTTTACGAGGAAAGGTCTAACTTCAATGGCTATTTAAGGGACAATGCTGCTGTTAAAGGAGAAGAAATAAAAGCAATTGAGACAAGGATTGACAGGTATAAAATTCTTGTCCAGACTAGCTCTCTAAAAATTTACTTCATCAGATTGTTCTATCCAATTAAAGTATAAGTAAGAAGAAGTATATATATAGAGGCATTGTGTATTTTTATAGATTGTGAGATGAAGTTCCAATACCGAGGTGGACTCTCATTTGCAGATTTGATGTTTAATCACTCATGACTATGTATAACAATTTACGTGCATTCTAACTAGTCTGGTTTAAGTCGCTCTAAGTCATGATACTCCTATTTCTAACTAGAATTAAAAAAAAAAGCAAGACGTCGGCAAATAATAAATCATGCCGAAGCAACGGTAGCAGTTTGCTCTTATCCTTACTCAAATGGAAAGACATCGATCAAGGCTGTCATAAGTTTTACAATTAGTAATCATGCTATCTCCGCGGGGATTAAGTCATGATAAGACAAACGTCACAGGAGGAATGAAATTGCATCAAAGGAGTCAAACACGCATGGACTTCATATTTAATTCTATTGACCTAAAGCGTACAAGCACAATTTATTACTGAGCTTAAAAAACTAAGCTCTTCCAGAGCGAGTCAATTTGAGTCATCTTCCTTCTATTGTCTGTTGAGCCTCACCAGATCTGCAATTACATAAGCTCAGGTTGCAACCTCATTCGGACGAATGCAGATCCCCAATATCGGGAATACGGATGCTACCTAATTATATATATTATCTTAAGTTATCGTCGTCGTTTGAATCGATAGTCTGCAAACTTTAATAAGCTCTTACAATGACATATTCTAAGTCTGAAAGAATCGTGTGAAGCGTATTGGGCTTTGTATTCGCTTCACCATCATTTGATTACGTATACTGATAACCGATGAGCAGTAACCAGAACGTGGAACCTACTTCTTTAGGTATAAATGTTACATCGAAACTGTACGACCCTTATCACTTAGATAGAGCAACTGGAGCTCATTGTTCAGAATCTCGGCAAGGCTTTGAATTGTCGAGTATTTATTTCTGTAAAAGAGATAATACCCAAGAGGTCCAAACTGATTATTTACCTGGAGTAGAAGCAGAATATAGTCTTGCGAGAAGCCTTACATGCAATGAAGGGACAAATACTGAAAGGAGTTCCATTCCTATAGTAAATTCGACAGATCAAGCCCAAAAGTCAAAGAGCACGTCTGACTTGGAAAACCAGAGCGAAAGCTCAAATTGTGACGATAAAGATCCACCGAAAGATGAAGGATTCGCGTGGGTGGTAGCAGTATGCGCGATGCTAGCCGTTTTCTGTACCTGGGGCTCTAATGCAGGGTATGGTGTCTTCCTTTCATACTACATTTCATCGGATACGTTCGCTGGGGCAACTCGATACGACTATGCATTGATTGGTGGTATGATTCTCTGCTTTGCCCAGTTGTTAGCACCGGTCTGTGCTTTATGCTATAGGGTATTTGGGCCATTTTACACATCATATTTTGGGGTGGTATTACAGACCTTGGGGTACTTATTAGCATCCTTTGCTACTAAAAGGTGGCAACTATACTGCACTCAGGGGTTTCTAGTGGGCGTATCGTTCCTGTTTGTTTATCTACCTGGAACTTTAATGATATCCACCTGGTTCGAGAAGAGAAAAGCAACAGCCATGGGAATAGCTTTCTCTGGTGTAGGTCTCGGTGGTGTATTTTTTTCCTTGGTAGTTCGAAAGATAATAAGTGAAACAGGAGATCAAAGGTGGGCTCTAAGAATGAGTGCTTTTGTTGCGGGCTCTGTAGCTCTTATTGCTTGTAGTATTATGAAACCAAGGAATTACAAACCTTTACCCTTTAAACTTACATTAAGCAAAGAATTCATCTACACTAATGCTAAGTACATTTTCTCAGTTAGTGTATTCAAAGATTATGCACTTGTCCTATTAGGGGTTTGGTTCGGAATATGTACCATAGGTTATATGTTAGTTCTCTTTACTATTTCGTCATACGGAATACTGGTGGGCTTAAGTGCGTATCAAGGATCCATTTTGACTGCCGTGCTAAATGCCGGCCAAGTCATTGGAAGACCTTCCTGTGGTCTCGTTGCAGACAAGTTTGGCAGATTCAACTTTGCCATTGTCAATTGCCTTGTCATTACTGTATTGATATTAGCATTTTGGATAAACGCTACATCTTTTGGTTCACTATTAGCTTTTAGTGTACTTATGGGTTCGACCATTGGTGTGGGAAGTTTGTTTTGTCAATCATTGGCTTCAGATATTTTGCAGAACATGGAGAATTTACCAGCTGCATGGTCTGGATTGAATATGATTGTCCTGTTGTTCTCTATTGGAACTGAAGTATTTGCATTTGCATTAAAGAAAGATGGAGCAACGAGCCCCTATTTGCATACGCAGATATTCGGAGGTGTTTGTTTCTTCTTTAGTGCTCTACTATTGTGTGTTATGAGGGAGAAGGTTGTCAAAATGAAATTTGTGGCAAGCTTGGACGGAGATAGAAAGCTTCATCGTGAGAAAGCCAGCTTTAAGGAATCTTCGAATGATACCAGTCAAGTTGATATATTTGAGGTAGACAAAATACAATTGAGGATAGACAGGTATGAACTTCTCACTTGCAACAATTCCATAAAGAGTTACTTCGTCAGGATGTTTTATCCAATCAAGGTATAAATAAAAAGAACTAAAAATACGGTGGCATTGTGTATTTTAAATACTGTGGGGTAAAGCTTTAATATACTGTAGGTGAACACTCTTTTGCAAATTTACTGTTTGAATCAGTATGGCTATGTATTACTGTGTATTCTATTCTTGTGCATTACAACTCTATTAAGCTCAACCGCCTCAGTCATGATCTTATATTCCAACTAAATAAATTAATTTAAATATAGGCAAATAATACATAATCTACAAGTACCGAAATAGCTTACCCTTGTTATTACGCAGACGGAGAATCACCTAATTAAGTCCGTCCTCTACTTTACAATTAGCAATAATGGTTATGGTAGAGATACGGAAATGATGAAATATGCATTCCAGACGTGTGTAGACTTGTGTCAAACGATTTGAGCACTCAATGGTTTCTTACTTGTTAAATATCTTGCATTACATTGTATCGAAGTATGTAAACAAAATATAAGACTGATATGAGCGCGGTTACGCATTCTGGTAGAAATTGAGTCGTTTTCTTTGTTATCTGGTGAACCTCACAAGTCTAATTTGCACCTAATTATCTTCATTTGCAACCTCACTCGGGCTAAATACAGAAATTTCCGACACTTCGCTTAATGTTGCATATTCATATCTTACCTAAAGATGTCAATGTAGATTAAATTTGAAGGGCGTTAATTATAACAAGACTATTTCCGTGATAGGATCTTCACGAAATAGATTCATGTAAAGCGTTTTCGGCAATTAAGTAATCGGTACTACACTTGTTTAAGATATTAACCTAAATCTTAGTGATAAGTAATGAGTAGTACGAAGGACGAGGATTCTGCCTCTTTAGAAACAAACGGTACCTCAAAGGTCTACGAGCCTTATCATCTAGACACCACTGTTGAAGCACATTATTCAAAATCTCATCAAGGGTCCGAATTGTTGAAAATTTTCTCCTCTGCTAAAGATGGTCATGAGTTTCAAACAGATTACTTACCAAGAGCAGAAGCTGAACATAGTCTTGCGAGAAGACTTACAAATAATGAAGGGACACAGACAGAAAGCAATTACATTGCTTCAATCAAATCGACAGATCAAGCCCAAAAGTCAAAGAATACGTCTGACTTGGAAAACCAGAGCGAAAGCTCAAATTGTGACGATAAAGATCCACCGAAAGATGAAGGCTTTGCATGGGTGGTAGCAGTATGTGCGATGCTCGTCGAATTCTGTACTTGGGGCTCTAATGCAGGGTATGGTGTCTTCCTTTCATACTACATTTCATCGGGAACATTCGCTGGTGCAACTCAGTACGATTATGCATTGATAGGTGGTATGATTCTCTGTTTTGCTCAATTCTTAGCACCGGTCTGTGTCTTATGTTATAGGGTATTTGGACCATTCTATACAACATATTTTGGAATAATGTTACAAACGTTGGGATACTTATTGGCGTCCTTTGCTACTAAAAGATGGCAGTTGTATTGTACACAGGGCTTTCTCGTAGGCGTATCGGTCCTGTTTGTTTATTTACCTGCGACATTAATGCTATCTACTTGGTTCGAAAAGAGAAAAGCAACGGCCATGGGAATAGCGGTCTCCGGTTCAGGCCTCGGTGGTGTATTCTTTTCTTTGGTAGTTCAAAAGATAATGAGTGAAACAGGAGACCAAAAATGGGCATTAAGAATGTGTGCCTTTGTTTCAGGGTTTGTAGCTCTTATTGCTTGTAGCATTATGAAACCAAGGAATTACAAACCTTTGCCATTAAAAGTCACTTTGACGAAGGAATTCATTTTCGGTAATGCTAAAACTATATTCTCAGTAAGCGTGTTTAGAGATTATGCACTTGTCTTATTGGGGATTTGGTTCGGAATATCTGTATTAGGCTACATGCTAGTTCTCTTTTCAATCTCGTCCTACGGAATACTGGTGGGCTTAAGTGCGAATCAAGGATCTATTTTGACAGCTGTAATGAATGCTGGTCAAGTCATCGGGAGACCTTCCTGTGGCTTCATGGCCGATAAATTTGGTAGATTCAACTTCACCATTATCAATTGTCTCGTCGTTACTGTATTGATATTAGCATTTTGGATAAATTCAACCTCGTTCGGTGCATTGTTAGCTTTCAGTGTAATTATTGGCTCGACCATTGGCGTGGGAAGTTTATATTGTCAATCATTGGCATCGGACATTTTGCAGGATATGGAGAATTTACCAGCTGCATGGTCTGGATTGAACATTATTGTCCTGTTCTTTTGTATTGGAACTGAAGATATTGCGTTTGCATTAAAAAAGGATGGAGCAGTCAATCCGTATTTGCATACGCAGATATTTGGAGGTGTTTGCTTTTTTGTTAGTGCCTTATTATTATGCATTATGAGGGAGAAGGTGGTTAGAAAGAGAATTGTAGCGAGTTTGGATGGAGATAGAAAACTTCACTTTGAACAGTCCAGCTTGAAGCGCTGTTTAAAGGGATTCAGTCAAGCTGAATCCGAGTTGGAGAGAATACAAATGAGGATAGACAGATATGAACTTCTCACTCACCACAGCTCTATAAAATATTACTTCATAAGGATGTTTTACCCCATGATAGTGTAGATAATAACAGGAAGTGATAAGTAAATAGAATTTGAATAGAATTTGCAGCCGTGAATTGCAACCCTGCATCATGCAGGATGTACTAACTACTAACTTGAATGCATGAATCTTACTCTGTCTACCATGTAACTGTAGCTATGCAGTATAAAAATAAGCTTTCAGAATTAGCAATAGGGCAGAAGGAAGAACATCTACAAGCTGGAAGCCTATCCAAAAAGATACAAAGAATAATGCTGAACTCGTATCGATGTTATTTTATCTTGTTGATCATTCACACGGCTATAGGATCCACAATAGCAAAACAATTATTCACACGTATCTTCATAACCACGATTACTAATGCTGAGTGTCAAAAATGTGGGTTATCAAAAAGGGTCTTTGGGGAAGAAGTTGCGGTACCATTTCACCGCAAAAAAATAAATCTTCGACAAAGGTACAATATGACAATTGCATCATAGTTATGACTATATCTAAGTAAAGAATATTCTTACTAATTATCTTTCAGATTAAGGTTTCGAGGCAGCCTTTCGTTGTGCCTTAGATCATCCCCACTAATTTCGCACCCTCGGAGACTTCCCTCGGAGGCTTACCTGAGTCACAGCTGGCGCGGGCAGATGGCTAGAAATCCCGCCTTTATATATATATACGAGACTCGCATGCATGGACCTAAGGCTGTCAAATGTGCTATAAAATTCGAAGTGTGTTAGCTTTGTTCTTTAGTATTACCTATTCTAGACCTACAAGCTGAAGCGTGCTAGGTAAGAATCTTTTCAGCTTATTTATTACATATATTTGCATCCAGCCACAAATTCTGCGACACTTTATCACGAAGTCCAAAGGAGTTAAGCACGGCTAGGCATAAGGCTATTTCATATTTTTTTTAACTCAAATATTATCATCTGTGATGAGCCATCACCATGACGCAGAAACTCTGTCATTGGATACCAATGGTAGCTCCAAAGCTTACGAGACTTATCGAATAGACTCAACGACAGAAGCATATCGGTCCAAATCGCAGCAAGGTTCGGAATTATCTAGAATCATCTCCGGCATAAGAGATGATCAAGACATTCAAGCTGATTATCTTCCAACTGCAGATGTGGAATATAGCCTTGCAAAGAGACTTACACACAACGAGGAGGCTAGAACGGAAAAAAATTCGATCAAGTCAGTAAATTCCAATGACCAAGAACTCGAGTCCAATAAAAATGGTGCTGGAGCTGGAGCCTTGGAGCAACAATCCGCAAGCTCTGAGGAAGAGGAAGTAGGTCCTCAAAAAGATAAAGGATTCGCGTGGGTGGTAGCAATATGTACCATGCTTGCGGTATTCAGTACTTGGGGTGCTAGCGCAGGTTACGGTGTTTTTCTTTCTTTTTACGTTTCATCGGATGCTTTTGCTGGTGCTAATCAGTATGATTACGCATTGATTGGTGGAATGGTTGTTTGCTTTGCTCAATTGTTAGCACCAGTCTGCGTCTTATCCTATAGGGTATTTGGTCCATTCTACACTTCATATTTTGGAATTGCATTACAAACCTTGGGCTACATACTAGCATCATTTGCTACCAAGAGGTGGCAGTTGTTCTGCACGCAAGGATTCATCGTGGGAGTATCGTTTCTGTTTGTTTATTTACCCGGAACCTTAATGTTACCTACTTGGTTTGATAAGAAAAGGGCAACTGCCATGGGAATAGCGGTCTCTGGTGCAGGTCTTGGAGGTGTTTTCTTCTCCTTGGTTATTCGTAAACTCATCAGTGTCACTGGGGATCAAAGATGGGCTTTGAGAATGTGTGCATTCGTTACGGGATTTGTAGCAATAATTGCTTGTAGCATAATGAAACCAAGAAACCACAAACCTTTGCCATTAAAAGTCACTTTAACGAGGGAATTCATATTCAGTAATGCTAAAACCATATTCTCTGTAAGCGTGTTTAGAGATTATGCACTTGTCCTTCTAGGGATCTGGTTTGGGATTTGCCTCTTGGGGTATATTTTAGTACTCTTTTCAGTTTCTTCGTATGGTATTCTGGTTGGCTTAAGTGCGTTTCAGGGATCCATTTTGACTGCTGTAATGAACGCTGGTCAATTCATTGGAAGACCTTCTTGTGGGTTTATAGCAGATAAATTTGGTAGGTTTAACTTCACCATTGTCAACTGTCTTGTCATTACTATATTGATATTGGCATTTTGGATAAATGCAACTTCCTTCGGTGCATTGATGGTATTTAGCGTACTTATTGGCTTGACCATTGGTGTGGGAAGTTTGTTTTGTCAATCGTTGGCTTCAGATATTTTGCAGAACATGGAGAACTTACCAGCTGCATGGTCTGGATTGAATATAGTTGTCCTGTTGTTTTGTATTGGAGCTGAAGTTATTGCATTAGCATTGAAGGAAGATGAGGCTGCTAACCCATATTTGCATTCTCAAGTATTTGGTGGTGTATGCTTCTTTAGTGCAGCCGTCTTATTGTGCATCATGAGGGAAAGGGTAGTTAGAAAAAGGCTAGTTGAAAGATTGCTGACAGAGAGGTCACTTCACGATCAAAAAACGAACTCTAAGGGATATTTAAAGGAAAGGGACGAAGCTGACATTGAAGAGATAGAGCAAATAGAGGGGCGAATCGCAAGATATGAAATACTTGTGAATATTAGATCGGTGAAGCTTTTCTTTATAAGAATGTTTTATCCGATCAAGATATAAATTAGTGCAAGGTAACCAACATGTAAATAATATTGTGAACATCTATGGAACAAATACATGTAGACATAACAAAATAAATGTAATAAGAATACTATTATAACTGAGAGCCCGGTAGAAGGGCCAATGGATAGAAACTCATAGCTCATATATATCAAACCTCTGCATTATAATGGCATTAATCGCCGCGTCCTCCTCCACCCCCTTACATCTAATAGCACTGGAGCAGCAGATTTGGGGCTAGATAACCTTGTATGGATAAGAATTAATCTATTGGCAAAAGACCAAACAATATTTAATCATAGAAAATGCAACCTCTATAAAAGTGTGAATAGCGCCGCACGAGAAAAGTTCTTCGAAGTATATTAGCACCTATGGCTAAACACCTTGCTGTACATCAGAGTAGTCAACCTACAGCACATTGACAGGTGCCGAGACAGTTGGCTTGTCGGCAGTATATCGTCCTGTCTCGTGCACCACAGATTTTGGACAATCTTCATTTTTCCTTCTCTACATGAGCTTACTAAGAAATCAAGATAATATGCAGAAGGTTATCTTAACAGGTTGGAATTAGAAACTCATTCTCAGCCACGAATTGCAACCTGCATCATGCAGGAAATACAATCTTCAGTGCATGAATCTACTCAGTCAACCATGTAACAGAAGCTATGCAATATTATAAGTAAGCCTCCATAAATGGCTAAGAAGCAGTTGAAGTACATCAACAGGCGACAATATGAAGTGTGTGACGTTTGCTTCTTGTTGATCATTCTCCTAGCTCTATATTTCACCACAGCAATTGTACCTCGCATGACCGTTGATAAACACGATTACGCAATGCAGCAAGTCACTTGTGGCCATTTTGTAAAAGTTTCGCTCGTGAAGAAAACGGCATATCACTTCACCTCAAGGAGTTAATACTTCAAAAGCAGGTGCAACATAAAAATTGTGTCATAGTTATGACCTTATCATCATCATAAGTTTATGAAGTATGTCACTAACTAGCTTAAATCAATGATTTTAGTTAGCCTGTCATCTAGCTAGAGAACGTTTCTGCTTACTTCGGACTAACGGCTGGAGCCTTATCTGAGTCACGGCCCTATATGCATACGAGCCTCTCATGCATGGACCTAAGGCTGCTGAATGCAACCAATTTGGAATGTGTTACTTCGGTCTGTGATACTGCCTACTCCAGACCTACAAGTTGAAACGTGCTAGGTAGGAATCCACTCAGCTACTTCATTACTTATATTTGCGTCCAGCCACATTTCTCTGCGACAACTATCTCCATGTCAAACAGAAATTAAAGACGACTGGATATAAAGTTCTTTTATCTTTTTTAACTAAAATCGTAATGAGCCATCACTATGACGCTGAAAGTCTGTCTTTGGATTCAAGTGTTTCGGACCACTATGAACCGTACATGTTTGCCCTCGTACAAGACGTCTTTCGATCAAAATCACGTCAAGGTTCTGAATTGTCTAGATTCATTACTGGTATAAGAAAGGATCAAGAGTTACTGGCTGACTATTTACCAACAGTGGATGCAGAGTATAGTCTTGTGAAGAGACTCACACATAATGAAGAGGCTAGAACTGAAAGGAATTCAATCAGATCACTAAAGCCCAATGATCAGGAACGTAGGTCTACTAACGATAGTGAAGGAGCCGGAGATTTGGAACAACAATCCAGAAGCTCTGATGAAGACGATGAAGGTCCTCCAAAAGATAAAGGATTCGCGTGGGTGGTAGCAATATGTACTATGCTTGCAACATTCAGTACATGGGGAGCTAGTTCTGGTTACGGTGTCTTCCTTTCATTTTACGTTTCATCGGATGCTTTTGCTGGTGCTAATCAGTATGATTACGCATTGATTGGTGGAATAGTTGTTTGTTTTGGTCAAATGTTTGCACCGGTCTCCGTCTTATTTTATAGGGTACTTGGACCATTCTATACATCATATTTTGGGATAGCATTACAAACCCTAGGTTACTTACTAGCATCATTTGCTACTAAGAGATGGCAGTTGTATTGTACACAAGGATTCATGGTAGGAGCATCGTTTCTGTTCGTCTTTTTGCCTGGGACATTAATGTTACCTACCTGGTTCGATAAGCGCAGGGCCACAGCTATGGGAATAGCGGTCTCCGGTTCAGGTCTCGGTGGGGTATTCTTTTCATTAGTAATTCGTAGAATTATTGCTGAAACAGGAGATCAAAGATGGGCTTTGAGAATGTGTGCATTCGTTACGGGATTTGTAGCTATAATTGCTTGTAGCATAATGAAACCAAGAAACCACAAACCCTTGCCATTAAAAGTCACTTTAACAAAGGAATTCATCCTCGGTAATGCTAAAACCATATTCTCAGCAAGTGTGTTTAGAGATTATGCACTTGTCCTATTAGGGATCTGGTTTGGTCTTACCCTCCTAGGGTATACTTTAATACTTTTCTCACTTTCATCGTATGGTATTCTGGTCGGCTTAAGTGCGTTTGAAGGATCGATTTTGACTGCTGTAATGAATGCTGGTCAAGTCATCGGGAGACCTTCCTGTGGATTCATGGCTGATAAATTTGGTAGATTTAACTTCACCATTGTCAACTGTCTTGTTGTTACTATCTTCATATTGGCGTATTGGATAAATGCAGCTTCCTTCGGTTCATTGCTACCTTTCAGTATACTTATTGGCTCGACTATGGGTGTTGCAACTTTATTTTGTCAACCATTGGCTTCAGATATATTGCAGGACATGGAAAAATTACCAGCTGCATGGTCTGGATTGAATATAATTGTCCTGTTCTTTTGTATTGGAGCTGAAGTTATTGCATTAGCATTGAAGGAAGATGAGGCTGCTAACCCATATTTGCATACGCAGATATTTGCCGGTGTTTGTTTCTTTTCTAGCGCTTTATTATTGTGCATTATGAGGGAGAAGGTAGTGAGAAAAAGATTGGTGGAAAGATTGCTAACAGAGAGGACACTTTACGATGAAAAATCGAATTGTGAGAGATATTTAAAGGAAAGGAACCAAGCTAGCATGGAAGAGATAGAGGAAAAGGAGGAGAAGATCGCAAGATATGAAATACTTGTGAATGTTAGATCGTTGAAGTTTTTCTTTATAAGAATGTTTTATCCGATCAAAATATAAACAAGTGCAAAGAAATCAATATGTAACTAAGATTGTGAACATCTTGGAACAATATTTAAATATATAGATATGCCAAATTTCATATAATAAAATATTATACTTATTAGAGAAGATCCGTCGAGTGACTGACTCATAGACGACTAAGGAGCTACGGAACGTGTTAATGACAATGCTAACTTTATTGAAGAACTAAAGAAATTTGCACCCAATAGTTTGAAAATGCAACATCTTTAAAAGTGTGAAGTACGCCGCACGGAGAAAAATTCTTTAAAAAAAAATAAAAAGTGAAAATTTGATCCTCTAGTATGCAGTACGCGAGTGGCAGTATAGTAGCATGTATTAGCACTTACTAGTGCTTTAGAGTATTCAATCCAAAGCACGTCTATGGGTACCTCTATAGTTAATTTACTGGCAGTGTATCGTCCTCACTCTCGCACCACATCTTTTGATCCTCCTTCCTTCATCTCTCCTCCTTCTCTACATGAACTTAGGGACATGGTTTTATCGCTCTACAATATTTGTAACAACTTTTTAATAATTTTTTTTCCAAACTTAATATTAAGAAATGACTTGAATAAGATAATACACAGGGAGCTATCTTAACGGTTAGATTTAGCAACTCTTTCTAATTCATCCTTCTTTTTGATAGCGTAAGAGGTAGAAGAACCCTTAGCAGCGTTAATTAATTCTTCAGCCAAACATTCAGCAACAGTCTTGATGTTTCTGAAGGCAGCTTCTCTAGCACCAATGGTCAATAAAGAGACAGCTTGGTTGACTCTTCTTAATGGGGAGACATCAACAGCTTGTCTTCTGACGGTACCAGAAGAACCGATTCTGGTGGAGTCTTCTCTACAACCGGAGTTGACAATAGCGTCAACAACAACTTGAAGTGGGTTTTGTTCGGTTAAAACGTGGATGATTTCTAAAGCGTGCTTGACGATTCTGACAGCCTTCAATTTCTTACCGTTGTTTCTACCGTTCATCATTAAAGAGTTGGTTAATCTTTCAACAACTGGACATTGAGCCTTTCTGAATCTCTTGGCAGCGTATCTACCGGCGGTGTGAGAGACAAAAACTGGTTGTCTGATTTGAATGTAATCAACTAAGGAAACATCCTTGACTTCAACATCTTCAAATGACCACTTGTTGAACAACTTAACTTCTTGTTGAGCAGCTTGGACATCAGCTGGGATGGCAGTAGCTAATTCAACTAACTGTAATTCTTCTTGGACAACTGGTTGTTCTTCAACGTATTGTTCTTCGACGTCAGACATATTTACTGTTGCTTTATGATGTGAATATAACTAAAACTTTGAAAAAAATTTCCCTTTCAATTAAAAATCTATTCAATATGAAATTTTTCGAATGCTTTGGTGGTAGTAGGCGGAAGTTTTGCACAGGGCGCACTGGGACGAAAAGGGAGAGAAAAAAAAAAATTATGAAGAAAAAAGGACTATGTGCAGGTGGGAGTGTACCTGGGAAGGATTGGATCTGGCGAGATGCGACTGCTTTTCGTGGGGATGATCTAGGGCTGTTGCCCTGGTCATGTGACTGGATGGAAGAGGTCAGAACGGAGCTGTTCGCATCACGGAGGAATATGCACTACTGGGGAAAAGTGAAAAAAAAACACACGGCGGCTGGGAGAACGATAAAGTATCCCGGCAATATCAAGCGGTGAAAATTAGAAGCGTACATTGATAATGGTGGGTAGGGTGTTGTTTTGTCTTTTGTTTTCGCCCTTGTTTTTCATCTCGCTGTTTCAGGGCCAATCAACACGCTACAAAAGGTTACAGAGAAACATATAGAATAGGAAGATAGAGAAGAAATAGACCGCAGAACACAGAGTGTAAGTCTGTAGTCTATGCCTGGGCTACTCCGTGCGCAGCGCTATCGGAACTTCGCACTTGATCCTGCTCGGTGTCGGCACTTCCCCACGTAATTTCGTACGACTTGGTGGTATCTCCGGAAAATAAATTTTCACAGAGTGAAAGAAAATAAAAAAAAAATAAGGAAAAAGAAATAAAGAAGAAATTATTTGTCAAATAAGGCTAGCCTAATCCCCACACTATCAGCCCGCTGTCGCCGTCTAGAGATTAAAGTTTCGAAGCAATGAACTAATGAAACGAGAAACTGCAGCCCGGATAAGAACTTAAATGTAAATCGAAGGCCGCTAGTCTCCACTTTAGATCTGAAGTCTCTCTTGCTCTCTCTCTTGCTCTTTCTCTTCGTTTATCTCTTTCTCTATCTTTCAGTAGCTCCGATGCCTGTCCCGCCTTTCCGTACAGCCTTTCTAAGCTCTGAATCATCTCTGAATTTTCTTTTTTTTTCTTTCTTTTTAGGACTGTTACTCCCTGCACCTTCTGACTGATACGCCTAATATCGTGCATATGCATTATTTCAAAATATTCCTGTTGCGGGCCGGCCTGCTTATGTTAGTCACCAGCTATGTTCCACATACTCCCTTGGTAAGCAAAGCGGGGGATTAAAACCGTTCTATCTTTATATATACACATATATATATAGGACTGTTTCCTTCCTGTTGTCTGAGCCGCAAAAGAGACACTTGATATCTAGCCACAATATGAGTGATAGAATGCTGAAAGAATCTCTTCATGATTCCTCAAGCGAGAAGCTTGCGAATACTAATGTGGACGAATATGATACTAGAACTGCTGAAGAGCAAGTTGCTGAGGCTGCTGAAAAATACGGTGTCAACCATAAGAAATTGATGTGGAAAATCGACTTGTGTGTCGTTCCTCCATTTTGCTTACTCTACTTCCTTTCCTTCTTGGACAGAGTGAATATTTCCAATGCCAACGTTTATGGACTTTCTACGGATTTGAACTTGGTGGGGAACCAGTATAACACTTGTTTGACATTATTTTTCGTTCCTTACGTGTTTTTCGAAGTTTTCTCCAACTATGCCTTAAAATTCATCCCTCCACATAGGTGGCTTTCTGGGTGTATCATGGCCTTCGGAGCTGTGAGTATTGGTATGGGGTTTGTGAAGAATTTTGGTGGGTTAGCCGCTTGTCGTTTTCTCTTGGGTGTTTTCGAAAGTGGTTCGTTCCCAGCGCTTTTCTATATCTTAGCTAACTTCTACGAGAAGGGAGAAGCGCAAAGAAGATTCTCCGGATTTTTCTCTGTCACTGCTTTGGCTGGTGCAGCAGGTGGTGCTATTGCTTACAGAATGAACGATTTGGATGGTAAGCACGGTTTGGAATCTTGGAGATGGATTTTCATTATCGATGGTATCGTCACTTGTGCTGGTGCTATCTTACTTTATTTCACCATTGCTGATTTCCCAGAACAAGCTAAATTCTTGAATGACAATGAAAGAAAGTTCCTTAAAGAGAAGTTGGCCATTCACTCAGGAACTGAGTCTGGATTCGAAATCAAAGATACTCCAAAAGACGTTTTGGGATGTTTTAAGGATTACTTGATTTGGTTACCAGCTTTAGCTTACTTCGGGTTAATTATTCCATCATACGGTTACGCATACTTCGCTGCTACCATCATCAAGCAAATGGGTTACACTGCAGTGTCTGCTCAACAGCATTCAGTCTATCCATGGTTAGCAGCTTTTGGTTTAATCAACACCACATCCTTTATCAGTGATAGATTTAAGATAAGATTACCATTCGCCATTGGTTCATCTTTATTAGCCATTGCTGGATTGGCAATGGTGTACGCTTCTACTGATCCTCACACAAGGTACGCAGGATGTTTCCTTACCGCATCTGGTTTATATTCAGCTATGCCCTTATTGGTCTGCTGGTCATCATTGAACTTCGGTGGCCATTTAAGAAAGGGTGTGGGTACTGCATGGCAAATTGGTTTTGGTAACATTGGTGGTATCATTGCAACTTTTGTTTTCCTCGCCAAAGACGCTCCAAAGTATGGTCCAGGTTTAATTGTTGGTATCTCATTTGTATGTTTCTCCATTTTAATGATGTTACTTTACTTTTTCTCCGTTTATAGATTAAATGGGGCAAAGAAGACTGAAGCCTACCAGACCAAGTTCGCTGCATTGTCGGACAGGCAAAGGGTGCAATTGGGTGACAGAAATCCAACCTTCACTTATTTGTACTAAGAGTATCACTTTCATACTACTTTTGCTACTACTGACAATGGTACAAGAAACTAATAATAATAATAATCATAATAATACTTCATAGTAAAGAATGTTAATAGTATTCATAATAATATCAATAGCTCATGATTTAGACTGTTCTAGACTACAAAACAAAATAGTAAATGCCGAAGTAATGACCCTACAAGATATCCTAATGTAAGCTAAATACCGTACTACACTAGCAAACCTGCGTCGATCTAAACCGATACAAAGAGACCGAACAGGAAATGCATCGCTAATCTCGGAAATAAGCCTCCTTTGTACTAGTAGGTTGGCCAGGGATCTCATCCCACAGTTCTTCGGGTGCTACTGGATTGATCTAATTGAGAGCGCTCCTGCACGCAACTTAAATTTATAAAGTCATTTAAACTACGAGAAAGCCAAGGATAGAGGGCAGTGCCCATTAAAAAATACATGATTAGAATTGTATATAATTACATATATATATATATATAGGAAGTGAAAAACCAGAGTCGTGATCTGAGAAGAATACCAATCATCCATTTATAATTTTATTATAGAGTGCATTTAAATTAAGCCAAGCCTATTGTTCATTTCATATTGGCTTTTTATTTTTGTGATATTTTTCGTCTCCTTAGCATAGACTTAATTTTTTGAGATCCAAACTCTTTTTATCGATAGAGTACGAACCATTGTTACGAACTAGTACTATAAATGTCTAAACAAGAATACACTCCCCCCACAGGTCAACCGCCAAGTTGGAGCGAAGCTGGCGGAAGCAGCAATAACCATGCTGGCTACGTCCCACAGGCACAACCTTCTTACAATCAAAATTACCAACAAAGGGGCTACCAACCTCAATACCAACAGGGCCCACCACAAGGATATTATCAGCAACAGCAGGGATATCCACCACAACAAGGTGGCTATCCCCCACAACAAGGGGGGTACTACCAGCAACAACAGCCCGTATATGTACAACAACAGAGGCAGAGTAACAATGATGGTTGTTTAATGGCATGTTTGGCTGCGTTGTGTATCTGTTGTACTCTTGACGTTTTATTCTGAGGTGGAGAGCATAGTGAAAAAAAGGCTAATGAAGAAAATTGTTCAAATGAAAAAAAAAAAAGATAAAAACGAATTCAATTACCACAAGGGTTTAAAAGAAAGGAAAAGATTGGTTTAGACTGTAGTTATAATCTAAATGGACATCAAAATGCTTTTTTTATAGTAGTAATAGTATAAGATAGTTAATGAGTAATGTGTCGATAAATGTATGACCGAAACATGGTGCACTCTTTGTAGGGAATCTCAGCCTGTGAGGCTCAAGCATTTATTTTTTGGATTTTGGTTGCGTTCGATCTGAGGGAGCAGTGAACAGAATGGTCTTCAGGCTCCCTCTCAGAAGAAGATACATGGCATCTTAGAGATGTAAGCGAGTCATACTAAATGCATGTATTTATAAATTTTCTAGCTATGTACTTATCTTCTTTGACTCATAGCTTCTCTAGTCATATTGGTTCTGATGGTGCAGATTTTAGGAATGTTTTAATTTTTCTCTTTATTATTTTTTTTTTTATTTTTCATTTTTGATTTGGGTGCAAAAAAGACTTACCAACCAAATGACCATACTCCATTGGAGACCCAGTCAATATCAACATTAGATGACGTCTGACCAAATTTCTTCATCATTGGTAGGATTCCCAATTGCTCATCACCATTACTGAAAAATTCAACTTTTTTAGAGTCTGCTGGAAGATGGCTGTTGACAAAGTTCAACAAATAATCGTGTAAGACAGGAACTGGAATCGTGGTTGGTAAATCGTTAACAGCTGCATAGATATAATCCTTCTCTGGTAGTTGTCTGTGGCGGGCAACATATCCAGCTACTTGGAAGAGAATATCCAAGTCCTGGAAATTGTGGCCGCCTAGGTCGTTTATACCTGTGAATGAAGATCCACGACGACGTGGAGCCCCAGCTCCTCCTCCAACCCCTGCTCCGGACTCAAAAACAGAGCTGAAGAAATCTGATTTAAGCTCTCCCATAGCTATAATTACCAATTTATGCTCCAATAATGTACTCCAGAGTACGTAATGGGTCTTTTGCTGTAACTCGTTAGTTAACACTGCACCTTGAATGTCAGCATACTTGGTGGCTAGTTCGGCATTTGATTTCGAGGCTTTTGCAAATTCAATGCTTACAGTGGCACGAATGTCAAACGTCAGAAATTCTGGCTTGATTGCAACTTTAGGAGTGGCCAGATGAAGGATCGAAGATTTCCTTCTCAATTCAGACTTTTCTTGTTGGACTTTGCCTGCTTCGCTGATAGAGCCCAAGGACAATAATTCGGTTGCACTCAGCAACTTATTGACCGACAAGATATCAGACATGTTAGCTAAAGAAGATTGTGATCTACCCGAACCAAGTTCACTATGGGAGATGTTTTTATTCAATTCAGTGACAATTTCAAGTTCCTTTGTTTGGAAAATAAATTCAATGAGACCTAAATCTTGAGGGTTACTCTTTTTGAGGAACCTCAACTTCTTGCCGCCTGGTCCCTGATTAGCAGAAGTCCCTTCAGCTCCATCTAGTAAGACTTTCAACAATTCTTCGCTATTTGGATTTGGTGCCAGAGGAATCTTATAGACTTCCAAGGGGAATTCTTTGAATCCAAACCTTTCGTAGAATGTGCCAATGATAGAGTAAAGATACCAGAAGTATTTTTTACTCAAATAGTAATGTGCCAAAGAGGTATCAATCTTGCCATTCAGATCAGTGACCATAGTCTTAAAGTTGTCCTTCTTTTCCGGTTTACTCAAAGCAATGTGCTGATCGATGATTTCTTGCTCAGTGGATTCAATGGCCCTTTTGATTAAACTCTCTGCGAGACCTTTTCCTCTCTGTTTGGCAACTGTGAAAACAAAAGAGACTAATAACATTGTGATATGATCTACTCCAATCGATTCTGCACTGGGAGGTGCAGACGACGAAATGGCACCTGCCCTATCAGCATTTTTATAGTAGCCTTTCTCTCGATGAACTATGACGATGCTTAGAATATCGTTTGACTTACGATCTCTAACAAAGTGCGCCTTTGGCTTCTTACCATTCTTTTCAAGCTTTTTGAAATAATTCAAGTACTCATCTGCAAATTGAGTAACGGTTAAGTTTCCAGCCCACTCTTCTCCAGCTACTGAGAATAGCTCATGAAGAACTTCAGGAACCGTGGTAGAATGAAAGGTAGTCATGGTTTAATTACTTACGTTTTCTTTTTAAAAATTCAATTTTTCTTTTTCTTTTGGTCAATTCTCTACTTAATGAGCATTAACTGTCTGGCTGGTAGTACGGCTCTCCTTTACTAGTAAGTAGTAGCTGAAGTACAACTGGCTCTCCTTATTAATAAGCAGTAGCTGAAGATAGCGAAATGCGGAGACGCAGCAACGATAAGGTAAAACCCCTGCATATTACTGACACGTGACATTCTCCTCATAGAGCAGGCTCCTTCTCCGACTCCGTAGCTACCGACCGTTCTGCCGAGATAAAGTGTTAGTGTTCCAGCCCAAGTAGAGGGTTCTGCATTGAATACCTTGACTGGAAAAGGATAGAAAATTGAACGTTTTTGGAATGAGAGACCAATTGGTGGATAAAAAGTGTGCATCTCTTAGTGGAATCTTTGTGTGATTTTATGCGATTGACCAACTGGGGACTATTGCAATCCTTCATAGGCCTGCTAGAAAAAGTACTTAATATCGGTTATACGTATGTCAAATATTACACTGTATGTTCAAAGTGAGGATTGGTTTATAGTGGGTAGCTTTCATAGTTGTCTTTTCTGTTATTAGATGTATATTTAGGGGAGCTTTTACCATTCTTCAAATTTGCAAATCTTATATTTTAATTGCAAACTACATCTGAAGGTGAATATTCTATATACTCTTTACTCTTCAATTCACGTAGAAAAACCATTTGGAGGCAAATTGGAGCCGCTACTTAAAAGATAACCAAGATCGAAATACTCTCCTACTTACATTCACCAATATTTCACATGAAGTACTTATTGTAAGTTCCACTAGCTATCCCAGAGGTTGCAGAAGGTCCTGCATACACTTCAACAATTTAGCGCTTATTTGTAACATTTGGTGATGGACTTGACTGACGCCCATGCTGCTTTTCTTGAAGCTCTTCCGGTTTCGCTCTTCTTTTCCTGCAGTGGAATCTCCAGATACACTGGTCACTGCATATTTCCTCTTCTCTACACACGCTAAGCACAAATTTGTTTTCGCTATTATTCAATTTAGAGAGGATGGGATAAATCGCACAGATCTTCTATCTATTTAACACTAAGTGTATGCTCTTCAAATCTACTGCCAAGTCTGTATTGCAAGCACTCACTTAGAATCTAACGAGAACATACTAAACCGTTGAAGGATGCAGCTCTGTACAGAATGCCTCACTGTACTGCATCTTTATACATTTTTAGCAGGTTATATGCAGAAAGTACGCATCATGTCAAGACTTTTTGAGTAATCGCCGCACCCTGTGCCGGGGCTGCAACAGAAAAGAAAAAAAAAAAGAAAAGAGGATGCAAATAACCAAGATGAATCACCAAGAAAAATCTGGTCCAGTTATTTTTAAATAGTGTAGATTCCCAATAAAATAAAACTAGAACTCTTGTCTTATATCAAGACCTCTTTAAAAAAATAAAGACTTTATTTTCTCTCGATTAAGAAACAAATCAGTTCTATAAATGTCCAGCATTACATCGAAGACTTCCAATCGGAAGGATTCGTTTGAGCAAGCTTCCAAAGAAATACCCTCTAAGTGGCAGGGTTTCAAAGATTCATTCAAGAGAGCAGAGTCCTCTTCGAGCCCAACAACGCAAAACCTCACAGATGTAGAGAAGGCAATTGAGCAGACCGCAAAATCTCCTCTTAAGAAGAACCTTAAGAAGAGACAGTTGCAAATGATTGCGATAGGTGGGGCCATCGGAACAGGGTTATTCATTGGTTCAGGAACTGCATTAAGAACAGGGGGACCTGCAGCTTTACTAATAGGATGGGGAATAGTGGCAACTTTCTTGTATTGTACAATGCAAGCTATGGCTGAATTAGTTGCACTTTTCCCTGTGTCAGGTTCCTTTTCAACATATGCTACCAGATTCATTGAACCTTCTTGGGGATTTGCAGTTGGTTGGAATTATGCTATATTCTGGGTTATCGTTTTACCCTTGGAATTGGTTGCATGCTCGTTGACCATTAAATTTTGGGAATCAAGTATTAATTCGGTTGCATGGGTTGCAATCTTTTACGTTTTCATTATGGTTCTCAATTTATGTGGTAATAAGGGATTCGGTGAAGCTGAATTTATCTTCTCCATAATTAAAGTTGTTGCCATTATCGGATTCAATATATTAGCTATTGTCATTATTTGTGGTGGTAGTCCAAAGGGCGGTTACGTTGGCGCCAAATACTGGCACGATCCTGGTGCATTCACTGCTGGATTCAAGGGTGTGGTGACAGTGTTTATTACTGCAACATATTCATTTGCTGGGACCGAATTAGTTGGATTAACCGCCGCTGAATCCGAAGGAAACCCTAGAATTGTCTTACCAAAGGCCATCAAACAAGTTTTTTACCGTATCATTATATTTTACATGCTTACTCTTACATTGGTCGGTTTCTTAGTTCCTTCAAACTCCACAGAGCTTATTGGATCATCATCAGACTCCCTGGCATCTCCATTCGTCATTGCAATCAGGAATGGTGGAATTCAAGCCTTACCATCTATATTTAACGCAGTCGTATTAATCTCTCTTTTATCAATTGGTAACGCATCTGTATATGGATTTTCAAGAACTATTGTTGCCTTGGGAGAACAAGGTTTGGCTCCTTCAATTTTTGCATACATTGATAGAGAAGGTAGACCATTAGTTGGATTTCTACTTTGTGCTATTGTGGGGCTATTATCATTTGTTGCTGCATCTCCAGTGCAAAGTACTGTTTTAGCTTGGTTGTTGGCATTGGCCGGTTTATCCACCTTATTTACCTGGTTTTCGATCTGTGTTGCACATGTAAGATTTAGAATGGCACTTAAGCATCAAGGAAGATCAACTGAGGAATTACCTTACATCGCCAAGACTGGAATGTGGGGGTCAATATATTCAGCTGTCATGTTAGTTATCGTTTTATGCTTACAATTTTGGGTTTCATTATACCCAATTGGAGAGTCACCCAATGCATCAACCTTTTTCGAAAACTACATTGGTGCTGTGGTCGTCTTGGTTTTCTATGTCGGCCATAAGCTTTATACCAAAAACTTGAAGATCATAATTCCGGTCAATGAATTGGATATTGATTCTGGCCGTCGTGATACAGATCTTGATAAATTACAACAAGAAATTCTAGAAGAAAAGGAAAAATTAGCAGCACAACCATGGTACATTAGACTTAGAGCATTCTTATTTTAAATAGAAACTATAGCATTAATTAAAAGACTCATAAATATAAATATGTTAGTTATAGACTCACTATATTAAAACACTTTGTTTGCGTAAGATGTCTTTATCCAAGTGGAAGAAGTTTATACCCAAAAGTAGATCTGCGGTCAAGATACATATCCCATTAATCAAAAATCCAACGTATAAGTGATTATGTTCTGCGAGTTTTCCAGTAAAGACAGGACCTATGCATCTTGCAAAAGTCTTTGCAACATTTACGATACCCATGACTTTAGTCAAATCCGTCAGTGGCATAACGGAAGTGAGTAAAACTTGCCTTGGCACAACGTCCATAGTGGATGTTGCACAATGCAATATTAATAATGTGGAAGCAACAATATAATTTGATGATATTGAGATTAATATGAAAAACACGGCCGACGGAGCTTGCGTGAACACCATAGCTCTAGTTGGACCCAAAGTTTTTGCCAAGTACGCTGAGGGCAATGAGGAAGCTGAGTCTATAGCATTAGTGAAAAAGAATAACGTACCCAAGCCGGTAGCGGAAATTGCAAATGCCATTTTAAAATAATAAACAACCCAAGCAGATGGCATGAAACCGTACCCCATAGAGTCTAACATAAATATCACCAAAAACTTCGGAAGATAAAATCTGGCAGTCGAGGAAAGTCCAGACAATCCCAATAGGCCAAAAGTATTTTCATTGTGGACTTCTTGAGTCAAGTCTTCTTGTATATCACTATCATCCAATAGGGAAGAGGTCTCTGTGGTTGGAGCCAGAGCAGAATTAATTGAGTCATTGCTATTGAACTGGACTTCACAGTTTACCGAAAGGAACAACATAACACCAAATTTCAAAAGGGCAATAATAGTATAAACCATAAAGACTGCTCTATAGCATTGATTTAAGTCCCATTCCAATTGTAAGTGGCAATAGTCTACCGTAACACCACTGATAAGTGATCCGATGGCAGCTCCGGCCGTTGCGAACAAACCGTAGAACGCGAAAACTTCTGGTCTATGTACATGGGGGGTTAGATGAGCAATGGATGCCTCTTCTACAGACTTAAAAGGGCCAGTTTCATCACCAGAGGGAGAAATAACCCCCAAAATTGCAGCTATCAATAACACTACGAAGTGCGAGCTCACCAGAAAAACAGCACCCGATACGAACATCATCAACGCTCCGATTATCATCACCAACCTCCGGCCAATTTTGTCGGCATGCCAAGTGAGCAAATAGGATATAATAGTATCGCCAACCAAGGTTAGCGTCATAAATAAACCAATATTAGTTTCGGACACATCGAGGGATTTCAAGAATAATGTTAGAACTTGGTTGGTCAAACCAAAGCTTGCCATTCTTAGGAAAACGGAGATCCATAGCAAGCGAACATCTTTGGATGATTCTCTGAATGAGAAAAGTAAGTGCATGTATATAGAAGTATAGGTTTATGCAATGGAACAAATACCACCTTATAAGTTGGCACTCAAGTATAAGTAATGGACCGTTTTTCTAAGGCAAGGCTGTGAAGAACCAATTGTGAAAAATATAAAAAATCCCAGAAATTCTTCCGATGCTAGAACACTGTCAAATCCGTAAATCTGCGTTCTTTGCCGCTGATATATACAAAAGCCACTAGCACCGACACCGAGTAATATACGCCGCTCCTACGAAAATGTATGGCAATCGAGCGCAAGCGAAAAGGTTTACCTACATGCCAGTAGAATATTGTTCTCAAACGTCACTATTCCGTCTTCAGCAATTGCAACAATGTAATATAGCAGAATGCGCGAAATGTCACTTTTAGCTTTAGTATGGGACATCAGTCGCTAAAATTGTTTAATCGCAAAAAATAAACTATGTGTGTACATTTAATCAAAGAAGGGTAATAAACGACGGTAGTGTGACTTTCGTACAACAATGGCACCAAAAAAGTAATTTTTCAGAGTACAGTATGCGCATGCTTCAAAGAAACAGGGAAGAAGTAACTTGCTGAGAGAAGTACGCTAAACCAAAAAGAAAAAAGCTATTGACCGATCGAGAAGTGTAAATTGGTGATGATAGCGTAGGGTGCTTTTTTTTTGCACCCAATTCTTTCACTAGGGAGCCACACACCTATGAGTAGAACTACTTCATGATCCAGAAGTACACCACGGCAATACACATTTTTGGAAAGTGGAGCCAAGAAAAGAACACCACCAGCCACCGAATCAGACTACCTTCGGCTGAACACCGTTACGACGCTGCGATACAGTAACACACCACTACAAGATTCCCAAGACTACTGCTTACCTTCTCCCTCACCGCCAAACACCCTCATCAGATCCAGACGTGCATATAAACATCTTCCTTATTTTTTTTTTTTTTTATTATTGCAATTTTTTTATGGCTCTATCCTCCTGAATCGGATCCATTGTACCTCTGCTTAGCAAGACAGGACAGAAGACTAGGGAGCTGATATGAATGAGTCTCGACAGACATCGCTAGACAATTTGGCCCACATAGCAAACATGTCACACGAGCTTCTGGTTCTCAACCAGCAGCTCCGAGAAGAAGCAGACAAAAACCAGAACCCACTGCAACAGCTAGCCCAGCAGCAGATAGCCCCCCAACAACCACCACAGCATCTTCCGCAGCGATTAGCGACATTCCCAGTTAAGGCTGAACCACCGCAAGCATTAATACCCCCCTTACAACAGCATCAGATACAGCAACAGCAACAGAATCACATACAACAGCAGCAACAGCATCAACAGCAGCAACACATACAGCACCAAAACAACCATCCAAATCATCATGTTCAGCAACAGCAACAAGAGAACAGCAACAAACGGTCCGCTCCTATCAAGGTCAAAAGAATGGCATGTGTAGAGTGCAGACAGCAGAAATCTCGTTGTGATGCCCACCAAAGAATTCCCTGTACTAGATGCTCCAAGAAGGGACTCCAATGTAACTTGAAATCTGACTATAAAAGGACAGACAAGAGAGCAAGAATCGCTCAGATAGAGAAGGAATTTTCTATCTTAAAGAATACTTTGACGAATGTCCAGGCAAAAGAATTACTTCTGAAGGTTCCATCATTAGTTGGTACTAATTTTGCATCCACGCAATTTCCTCCACCTCCAGGACAGCCCCAAACAAATCAACAGCCAACGAACTATGCTAGCAACGATTGGCCAGTATCGGTATCACCACATCCTGGAAATCCTACGTTGCATTCAAATAGCACCTCTGAGGCGAATAACTCACTTCCAAATACCCCTTCCATTCAAAAGTTGATGAACCCTCCTGCTTCAAATGAACTCCCGATGGCAGCATCCAGCTCCTATAACAGTGGTCTTAACAACCGTAACAGTAAAAATGAAAATGGATTTAACATCAATAATGAGATCCCGGAGGGAATGTACCACCCTGATTCTAAAATTATTCTCACAGATGAGCTACTTGCATGTGAAGAGAAATCTATTGACTCCGTAACTATATCGCCTGAGACTATAAAGGCACTCTACATTGAATATGTAGAGTATTATCATGTGATACTACCAGTTGTTGATATCAAAAGGGGCCCAGAAAGTATATATAGACTCTGTCCATCATTGTTTTGGGTGATGATGTTCGTTTCTCTTAGAAGATTTCCAGGGGACCATGATAAAGCCATGCTCATCAAACTTTCTCCCATTGTTAAAGATATACTTGCAGAAATCTCGATTTCTCCAATCACTCGTTATAACCCTACAGAAGAAGATGAACCTATTTTAAATGCATCTTCTGTATTCTCAGTACAAGCATTTCTTTTGTACACATTCTGGCCCCCAATCACCTCATCTTTGAGTGCCGATTCATCATGGAATACAATAGGAGCAGCATTATTCCAAGCGATCAGAATCGGACTACACACCAGTCTGGCTACCAATCCGGACACAAAGTTAGATAAGGCACAAGAGAATACCAGAACATGGATATGCTGCAATATTGTCTCTCAAACAATTGCAACATCCTTTGGGTTCCCAGCTTTTGTCCAATTCGATTCCAGTGTCTGGAGTGCTTTCAGACCTGAAAGTCCCATACAGTTACCAAAGTCTATAAAATACATGATGGAAATTGCTCATTTCGAAGACCAAGTTGGGAAGACTTTGAATACCAATCCCTTGGATCCATATGGTTTGGCAGATCCTACGGAGAGGCTTCCATTACTAAAAGTCTTACTTAGACAATTAGATGAATTGGAAATAAAAATTGCCAAGTATGACTTATCATTGTCATCAGATCAAAACGGATTAAGAAAGTTCCAGCTATTATCAGCAAGAATTTCTCTTTTGACGTACTACTTTATGGATTCTTCAAGAATAGCCGATTTCGAATTACAGAAGGGTTTAGTGCAAGTGTATAATGCGGCTGTTGGACTTGTTAGTCATGCTCAACTATGCCAGGCCAAAGACAAGAAGTTCGTAAAATATCTCCCAGGGGTCTATATCCTAAATATATGGCAAGCATCGTGTATTATTGGGAAACTTGCTCACTCACCTTTAAAGAAGGTTATTGATTTGGGATCTGGGAAACAAAGTTATCAGGCTGCGATAACTTTAGCTGCAAAAGCATCCATTTTAAAGCATGATATGGCGCATAGATCTAGTGGAATCATGAGAAATATGTGGCAGCTATTCAGAACCTTGGATGCAAAGAAGCTTACTGGTTTGAGCATTACTATTCGAACCAGGATGTCTGCTTCAGTGTTCTTTGATTGCTTATTTTTATTAAGAGAGCAAGTGGGTATGATCAAATTAAACAGCAAAAGTAAAAATGAGAATTCTGCCTCGAATAATGGCAATATAGATTCCAACGGTTCGAGAGCAGGTGATAATCCGAAAAGATCAGGAACTACTTCTGGCTCCGTATCAGACGATGAAGATGATGATTCTGATAATGATGACCGGGATTTCTCCAATGAAGAAGCCATCGCATCCGACGATAATAATGAAGATGAAACAAAGAAGGATGGCGAAGGAAGTTCGCACACTACTCCTGGCAGCAACACTTCAAGTAAAACCAAGAAGCAGAGATCGCTATCTAATACTATGAATGCGGAGTCAAAGGCAAGGAAGATTATTAGAACTATTCCTCTAGACCCTCAACCGATTACGGCACAACGCGGAAAGCGCCTGAGCATATTCAATGTGGTGAATCAAACACCGCTGTCTGAATCACTGTATGGGGTGAATCCGTCTCCTGATACATTCAGAGATCCAAATTCACCAGTAATAAAGAAAACTCCTATCTCCAACCAAAGGCAGGCAAGTATCCCACAGCAGAATCCACAGTATCAACCACAAAATCAGCATGTATTACAAAGTAGAACCCAAATACCTGCAGTAAGTCACAATACGCAATATAACCAACCATTCCCCCCACAAGACCAATTTAAACAATTTCAATCTGCACCTAATTCATTCCAAACACCAACAACTAACAACCCGAATTCCAACAATGTGTCCAATGCAACATTATCTGAAATAGTACTCAACGAATCACCCCTTCAAGGTGGACTTGAAGGCTTGGAATTCAATGGTATGGATATAAGCACCGACTTACTCTGGAAGGATGTAGATAGCGTCATGAATGATTTTGGATTCCATACGTAAATAGTGTAAAATACAACTAATCAATATATGTACCATATTAACTGCCCATGAGCTAAACCTGTTTCCTGTAAGTTTAGTAACTTAGATTGTTGAAAAGAAAAAAAAAAAAAAAGGAACACTAATCTCAAACTCTAAAGTCCACCTCTACTTATCTCTAGCATCAAGTGGGGCATTCTATACTGTAATCAGCGAGGTAGTACAGATCGAAGCACTGCTGATGCTTTCTAACCAAGCGATAAATGCTGCAAATATTACATAAGCGAAATGCACACGATAGATTTTTTCCTAGCGCTCCTGCGCTTGTCAAGTAGAGGGCAAAAAAAAAAAAAGATCAAAACGTCGTGTATACACCAGCGTGCGCTCACCGAAACTAGATGAAAAATTTCGATTCATTTTTTTGTATGGAGCCAAAGGAACTGGATTGGAGGTTACATTAATCACATTCAAGAACCAGTTCAGTACCCTGTAGCAGATACATACCAGAAGAAAGATGTCCTACGACGATATTGAAAATGCCACACCAGATATTGTGATTGGTGGACAAGAAGAACCAGAATACGATGTTCAATATGAACATGACGTAGAATCAGAAGATGAATTGGAAGAGGAAAATAATACCCAAGCTGCTTCCTCAGAGGGTGGCGTCAAGGAAAAGAAATCCGTCGCTTTTGCCTTAGAAGAGGACGAAGAATTCGATGAAGAAGCAGCCAAGAGAGAATTTGAAGAAGGTGGTGGTTTACCAGAACAATCAGATAGCCCAGACTTCGCTTCATTGACTCCCCTCTCAGCAGAGATTATTAATAGACAAGCTACTATTAACATTGGTACTATTGGTCATGTTGCGCACGGTAAATCCACCGTTGTCAGAGCCATTTCCGGTGTGCAAACTGTTCGTTTCAAGGATGAATTGGAAAGAAATATTACTATCAAATTGGGTTATGCCAATGCTAAGATTTACAAGTGTGATGATGAATCATGTCCAGAGCCAGATTGTTACAAATCATTTAAATCCGATAAGGAAATTAGGCCTAAGTGTCAAAGACCAGGCTGTAACGGTAGATATTCCCTCGTAAGACATGTGTCCTTTGTGGATTGTCCAGGTCACGATATCTTGATGAGTACTATGTTGTCTGGTGCCGCCGTTATGGACGCCGCCTTGTTGTTAGTTGCAGGTAATGAATCATGTCCTCAACCCCAAACCTCTGAACATCTTGCGGCTATTGAAATTATGAAGTTGAAGCATGTGATTATCTTACAAAATAAGGTTGATTTAATGAGAGAAGAGCTGGCTTTGGAACATGAAAAGTCTATTTCTAAGTTTATCAGAGGTACCATAGCAGATGGTGCACCAATTGTTCCAATCTCTGCACAATTGAAATATAATATTGATGCTGTTAATGAATTTATCGTGAAAACCATCCCAGTACCATTAAGAGATTTTATGGCTACTCCAAGACTTATTGTTATCAGATCTTTCGATGTTAATAAACCAGGTGCTGAAATCGATGAATTGAAGGGTGGTGTTGCCGGTGGTTCCATTTTGAACGGTGTGTTCAAGATTGGAGATGAAATTGAAATCAGACCAGGTATTGTCACCAAGGATGACAATGGTAAGATTCAATGTAAGCCTATTTTCTCTAACGTTGTTTCATTATTTGCAGAACACAACGATTTGAAATTCGCCGTTCCAGGTGGGTTAATCGGTGTAGGTACTAAAGTTGATCCAACCTTGTGTAGAGCTGATAGATTAGTTGGTCAAGTTGTTGGTGCAAAGGGTAATTTACCATCAATTTTAACTGACATTGAAATCAATTACTTCCTTTTGAGAAGATTGTTAGGTGTTAAGACTGATGGACAGAAGCAAGGTGCTAAGGTCCGTAACTTGGTTGTTGGTGAAGTTTTGATGGTGAATATCGGATCCACCGCAACTGGTGCTAGAGTTATTGCTGTGAAGGCTGATATGGCTCGTTTACAGTTGACTTCTCCAGTTTGTACTGAAGTAAATGAAAAGATTGCATTATCTAGACGTATAGAAAAGCATTGGCGTTTGATTGGTTGGGCCACTATTAAGAAGGGTACCACTTTAGAACCTATTGCATAGATTTCACTAATTAGCCACGCCATTACGTCATAAAATTCAACAAAAGTCCACAACACCCTTAACCCACTCCCCTCCTCCAAGTGTTTGTATTTATAGCTACTTGTATACAAAGTAAACCACAATTTAAGTAAAATTTTTACATTTAGAATATAATCTGTTTGAAGTTGTGTATTTATTCTTAAAGTATTTATATGGAGAGAGCATCCAATGTTGCCATAGCGTCATTGAAAATCTTACTCTCTAGAAACTTCGGAAGCGAGTCATCCTCTAACAAGGCGTATATGCTTTTGCTTACACCAAAGAAGACTTTACTTTTCTTCTCCAAAGTGTGAAACCTTCTCTCTATCGCGGTTTCATCATCTTCCGTATCTTCAATTTTATCCATCACTTCAATCGCTTGTTTGCGCAACTCAAAGTCAATGTTGATGACATGAGGAGCATCCTCTGCTAAAAAATTAACATATACTTGGCATGCCATTGTTTCCAAATCATTCAACTTCTTATTCAACATTGATAATATCAGCGAATTATCAGATTCCTTTGATTTCAAGTAAATGATTCTACAAGTTTTCACCTGCGAATGAAACTCCTTCAAGAGTTGATATACTTGCAAGTTTTCAACACAGAACTCTGATTCTAAATGCTCTTTGAATAGTAATCTTAACCCAGGGTCCTTTAAAGTGGTAGCTAAGTTAACAGAGACTTTGGAAGCCTGAGAGTCGCCCAAATTGCCGGTACCAATGCCATTAAACTCAGAGTTTATTTCATACTCCTTTGGTCTCCTCTTGTCGTCTTCAGGTTTGTTCCAATGGCAAATAGTTTCTCCAAGTTTACTCAACTTATAATATGCATTTCTTGCGGGCACAAAGCTGTCACAATTTGATTTGGAGCCTTTCGATATAATTGGCTCGACTAATTGCAACTTCAAAAGCAAGTTTGCAATTCCAATTCCTTGGTTAGGGTTGTAAATCTCTGTACAGTCACACAACCATTGAAGTATAGCTTTTCCGGTGAAGCTGTACGGAATATTTACATGACCTCCTCCTTTCTCGAAGTAGTACTGTTTATTCTCAAAGACCCTAACACCTGAAGATGAAATATAGTATTGTACATGGGAATCTGATTCGGGATTTGTGAAATACTTGTGGTGAAATGGAAACTTAGCGACCAGCTCACTGTCAATAATAGTAGTGGTGGGGATACTTGATGTTGAAGCGTTTCGAAAGTCTGGCAATCCTATTTCTTGGTTTGAGTCTGAAATCTTATAATGGTTCTTAAGGTTTGTAATGTATATGTTTGAGTTGGTGCTAGAGATTGAATTTAAATTGGAATCCTCATCACTCAGTTCTCCATCCTGCCACATACCTAACTTCAATTTCCTTTTGATAGGGGGGATTGACTCTGCTTTCGCCAGAGGAGACCAAACACGGGGCAGATCTCCCATCATAGTTATGAAAATGAAATTGATCAAATATTTAGAGTATAGGATCTTATCACTAGTCGGATCTCTGTCAAACTTCAACAAATACATCGAATTGAAATTCGAAAATAGAATTGGAGGGTAATTTTTCACATCCATTCCAACTCTTTCAGCAAAATTCTGTAGTATACATGTTCCCTTTGGTGTAGGTTGAAGTGCAACTGAATGATTTGGCTCGGATCTAGTTCTGTCAGCCGGAGCGTGGAGAAAATGCCCCAGGTAGAATTTCTTTAAAAGAGCAAAACCTAATTCTGGGTTTATAGAATACTCCATGGACGTGACAGTTTTGCTCTGCTCCACTGTGAACTTCAACACTTTTAAAACCAGCAAGGCATTAGCGACTTGAAACAGGTAGGGGTATGTTTTTGTGAAACTGAAAGTACCTCTCTGCGTTTCCCTTTCCTTCAAATTCAAACAAATTATCATTATGGAGAAAATATTAGTTAGTTCGGAATCGAATATCTTTCCATCTGGCGTGGTACTTAGCTTTGTCATACTATTCTCATGCAAAGTAGTCGGGCCCGCCCTCGCCATTTTCTCGAGAATTTCAAATATTCCCTATACTACTGCCATGGCTCGAGGTCTACGTAAACCTCTATATATATATCTATGTACACATTGAGTGTCAGTCATCTCTGCCCTACTATTATCAAGTAGGCTTGTTTCAGATTGTAAGCTCATGCGTTTCTGAATAAAAAATGTGGTACTTTATGAGTTCGAGCCGCACGGCAGAAAGAAATGAAGCGGGACCATTTCGAACTTGGAACGATAAGTCAAAGTAAAGGTTGCTTTATAACTCTTATGAAACCATTGTAAGGACAGTAGAATGCATATTTACTACAATCTTGTTAGCTTTTTGGCGAAATGAAACTCATCCACTATGTCGCCCAATTCGCCCAACGTTACATCTATGTGCACCATATGACTTTCTTCAATGACACCTGCATTATAGCCTGCAGTAGCCTTTTCGATATTTGGTTCGAGTAATAGCTCGAGTTTATACAAGTTCTCCCAGCAATTCTTCAAAATGTTGACCGACCATATTCTTTGGTTAATTTTAAAGTTGGTGATAATTTGGTTATCTGCGGAGTTTGTTGATGAAGCAACAGATGTCGCAGATATATTGTACTGTTTCATCATTTCTTCATATTCCCTATAAGCGAGATTAAAATTTATAACTTGCAAAGATGACTTCTCTATCCAACGGGCAGCTGCAATAATTATTAAAAGCTCCAATTCTGAAAGTGACTTAACAATCGACTGTATGTTGTTAATAGACTGGATAGAAGTATATACTGAAAAATTCTCCTGCATAGGAAATGGGTGTGAGATACTGGTTATGGCTGCAATTGCTGGTATAACCGAGTTGTTGAACTCCTTATAGTTCTTTGATGTGTAGTAGTTTGTAATAACTAGTTTTCTTAACATTGAGGTACCTTGCTTTAAGCTGTTGAATGAATATTCGATGTACCTATTCCACAATTCCCCATAGCTTGGATTTCTCAAGCCATTAATCACATCAACATCTACAATTAAGCCTAGCTTGGCATTCGACCAAAATTCTTCTATAGATCGTGCTTTGTTTATAGATATAATTCTTTGACTAAACCTCAGTCTCACTCTCTTTTCTAATAATTCTCTTGCTGTTACTTTCGAAGAAATCCCAATAATGCAAACTGGAGTGCTTGAACTTTGAGACAAGTCAAAGAGATTATAAAGCAACGTTTGCCTGCTGCTTAGAGTAAATTTCTCAAACTCCTCAATGACAAAGATGATCGAAACTGTACGAGTTTCTTCTTCGTTGTGTTTCTTTTCATTCTTGTCTAGGATAGAAAGGATATTTGCGAAAGTGTCGCTCAATGATCTTTGCTCGAAATTGGCATATTCAATGTCACTATTACGTTTTTTGCCATTGTTATTCGGTTCACTTTCTTCTCTTACACGTCTTAGGTTTTTATCTAGTTGTCTGGCAATTTCCCTTAATGCAGTGTTTTCATCCGTTTGGTGATATGCGTTCAATTTCACCACTATGAATTCATTCAGGTATTTCTTTTCCAATTCACGTAATGCTCTTTGAACTATGGCAGTCTTACCCAGTGCTCGAGGTCCTATTAATAGCGCTGAGTGACCCTCGTTATCTTTTATAGTGTGTTCAAACATTCTATATACCTCGTCATACTTCTCTACAAGACTCGATTGCAACAAATTCGGGAAATTGTCATTCTTACCAATTAGCTGATCTAATACCGTCTTTTTAATTTTAACCACGTCTTCTATATTGGGGTTGAAGTTTGGAACGTTTTCAAGAATCGGTGCGTATTCTGGATAGTTCTCTATGGAATATGAAAGCAGGACAGGAGGAGCAGCACTAAGCGACAGAAAAGGCTTCTCTGGCTTTTCTACAGGTGTTGATTGATTGAACTTCTGAAGAAACTTAAGCGCTTTGGCAAGCGATGGTTTTTTAGAATTTTTAGAAGGATCCACACCCTGTTTACTTGATGGTGCTGCCGGTGGAGTTTTCGTGCTTCCAGCGGCACCTACATTCTCTTGCCCATCAGACAACGAATTTATTAACTTGATTTTTTTCAAGTTCATCATGATCTGATTGCCACTTCTCTTTCTATCATTTTCTGCATCGTCAATGGTTATTTTCTTTGTTTCATCTTCTACTTTCTCTTCGTCAGTAGGTGCTTTCTTATTTCGCCTTTCCGCATCTAACAACTTCCTCTGCAATCTAATTTGCTTGACCAATTTATCCTCCTTTGCTTCTTCTTCCAGAATTTTGAGAATTGGTTCAAATTCATCCTCAAAGTCCATCTTTCCCTCAACAATGGGCTACACTATACAAATTACAATTATAAGGCGATTACGTATAAATAAACGTCGACTCTTTCACTCTTACTTAGCTCTGAAAATTGATTCTGGCTCTCTTTTAGATTTTTCAATGAGCACGCGCCAGATCTGAATCTTGATGGAGAGACTCGAAATTTTACCCCAAATTAATTATTTCACTAGCACTCTTTTCGGAGTGTTACAGTATAAGCTGAGTCCCAAACACATTCCCAATGCCCTCTGAACTCTTACCCGAATCAGTTACAAACCTCTTAAAATCAACAAGATTTTTGCACTTGGCCACATGCCATGAAAACATCCCTCATGTCTCCCTTATGAATTACACTTACTTCCGAGACCCCGAAAGTGATTACATTATTATCACAACCCCAAGAAACACAACCAAGTTTGAAAATATCATTGCAAACCCAAATGTGTCGTTATTGGTACACGACTGGATATCGGCGAAGGCAACTACATCCCAGCCAGAAGAGATCAGAGAGGATACCGCTAGTACTTCTAGTGGTAGGAGAAATTCGTTGTATGAATTGCTTACTAACTTGAACAAGACAGAAATTAGCAGTGTGTCAGTAATGATAAGCGGGAAGGCCCAAATTTTAGATCAAAGCTCGGAGAAATTTGACTTCTATAAATCTTTACATTCAAACAATTCTCTGATTGACCAAAACCAAGCTAAAAACTACATCGAATGCGCTGACAATGCTTTAATCGTCATCAAGATCGAAGGTTGTAAGGTAACTGATACTGATAACAATATCCAAGAGTATCAAAAGTGACCTCAAGTTGGAGAATGACAAAAAGTAGAATATCAACTAGTGAAATGAAAATAATTAGTTTAAAGTAAGAAATAAATGACACTAATGCTGTAATATGAACTCTGTAAGTATGTAGGTAAGAGATCCAACGTTGTAGCATCAATGGGCCTTGCGAAATTAGCATCATTTGTAGGATTACATTAGCAAGATGAGTTACCTAAAAAAAAAACTGCTGGTCCCAGGAATCGAACCTGGGTTTGTTCGGCCACAACGAACTGTACTAACCACTATACGAGACCAGCTGGTCGCGAAGATGAGAAACAGGAATCAGTCTAGGAGGTAAGAGGTAAGACCTAAGAGCCAATGTTTGTCATAAAGATATGGGATAGTGTGGAAAGAATTCGAATATAAAGAGCGGAATGCGGAGACAGGGGAGTTCTCGTGCTCTTGCGGTACCGCTACAATTGTCCTAAGTTCGAGCACACGCATAACTTTAGCTATTGGTAATCCTGACAATTTTCATTAAGACCAAGGATCCAACTACTGCAGCTCATATTTTGCATCACAAATTGCTCCACGGCATAACTTCTTCAAAGAGCCATCATATTGACACTCAAGCAACTCGGACAGCTTACCGATCAGTGTCCTAGTTCTACTCTATTGTAGATCATCTGTCACCAACATGCCGGAATGCTTACGCATAAATTTGAGTTTGCTGCACGGAACTTTCATTTTATTAATATTACTAAGGTCTGAGCCTCACGCATTACATGAATTTACAAATTCTCGATGCGGCGGGATTGGGCGAAGACCTGTCGGTCGACCCCAGACATATAAATGGAATGAAGTAGCAATACTCCGATAGTTCAGTTTTCTATTCGGTTAGGATTACAAATAACGGAGGATTGGCCTATATAAATGTTGAAACTTTTTTTGATATTGATACTCTCCATTGTTTTTTTTGTGAACTATAGAAACGGCGAAGAAGCAGACGATAATACAAAAGCTATGGGAAAGAGAAGCACACTGAAATTGATCCACGCCGTCGAGCAGGCAGAAGGAGCCGGAGCACGAGTCAGGAGATCTGTAGGGACTATGAACAACAGAAAATTCAATCCCTTCTTGTTGCTTGATCATTTTTCAGTCAGCTCAGATGCTGGATTCCCTCAGCATGGTCACAGTGGACAGGAGACCATTACGTTGGTGTTGAAAGGAGCCATGGCCCACGAAGATTTTACGGGATCTAAGGGTATTTTGTATCCTGGAGATTTGCAGTTCATGACTGCCGGAAAGGGTGTTGTGCACTCAGAAATGCCCGTTCAACTAGAGGACAGCAGTGAGAAGACTATGACCGAAGGTATTCAACTCTGGGTCGACTTGCCCAAAGCTTTAAGAGAAACGAAACCAAGATATAGAGATTTGAGGTCTTGGGAGATTCCTGAGGTGTCCACGGCAGATGGTAAAGTAAACGTGAAAGTTATTTCTGGTAAGTCGTATGGTGTTGAATCTGCCAAGGATTTAGCTTACACCCCAGTACAGTATTACTATGTGACCATTCAGCCAAATGGAACCTACACACAAAAGGTACCTACTGACTATAATTTCTTCCTTTACGTGTTGAATGGTCAAAAGGCCGTTGTGAACGATGATACTTATGTTCCTAAACACCACACTCTCTTTTTCGAGGAAGATGGGGATGAAGTTGAGGTGACGAACCAAGGTTCAGACGAAATTGAATTGGTCTTAGTTGGTGGAGAAGTGTTGAAACAGGAGAGTGTGCAATACGGTCCCTTTGTTGCGGACTCAGAGGCTCACATCAAAAAGAAGTTTATGGACTACCAATATGCTAAGAATGGGTTTGAGCAAGTCAGAACTTGGGAGTCCTTGATATCTGCTGGTGTTACTGCTGATATGGTGGACGAATTAGGAGGAAACTTAGAAGAAAGGAAAGAAACTGAGCGCAAGCACTTGGAAGAGAAAGCGAAACGCAGTGAGGGCCTGGTGAGAGATGAGTTGTAGCGTGACGGAGTATAGAAACGCCGAAAAAAAACCCACCCAAAAAAGCAAAAAGCGATCATCTCAAATCTTCAGCGTACTATGTATAGATATTTCATTGTTAATGACGAAAGAAAGACAAGAATAGTCAAAGACAGCATGTAGAATCTTCTTATCAGCACTAGTACTACTCCATAGCACTGTGTGCAACCACTGCGGTCCATATGCAGTACCACATACAGAACACCCGCGTCTCTCAAAACACGCTCGGGATTTGGGATGACAAAAGGTAAATAGAGAGAACAGTCATCTAGTGTTCTTCGTTTTTGCAGCAAAGTAGTATCCATTTCACAGTATGACAAATAGCCCCAATATTGCAGAACAAGCATATCTTGACTTGTGCGAAAAGATCATCAATCAGGGTGAAAACCGCCCAGATAGAACTGGCACTGGTACCAGATCACTATTCGCGCCTCCACAGCTTCGCTTTGATTTATCAGATGATACCATCCCCTTGCTTACCACCAAACGTGTTTTCTCCAAGGCAATTATCCACGAGCTACTTTGGTTTGTTGCTGGATCGACTGACGCTAAATTGCTTACAGAGAAGGGGGTGAAGATTTGGGAAGGTAATGGATCAAGAGAATACTTGGATTCATTAGGATTGACTCATCGCAGAGAGGGAGACTTAGGTCCAGTGTATGGGTTCCAGTGGAGACATTTCGGAGCAGAATATAAGGACTGTGATGCTGACTACTCAGGCCAAGGCTTTGATCAACTCCAAGATATCATAAACAAGTTGAAGACTAATCCTTACGATAGGAGAATCATAATGTCTGCTTGGAACCCACCAGACTTCAAGAAAATGGCGCTCCCACCGTGCCATGTGTTCTGTCAATTCTACGTTAACTTCCCTGAAGGAGGAGCCAGGCCCAAGTTATCATGCTTACTCTACCAAAGATCTTGTGACATGGGTTTGGGAGTTCCTTTCAACATTGCTTCTTACGCCTTACTTACCAAAATGATCGCCCATATTGTTGACATGGACTGTGGCGAGTTCATTCACACATTGGGAGATGCTCACGTCTACTTGGACCATATAGATGCTTTAAAGGAACAATTAACCAGAACACCACGCGATTTCCCCAAGTTGTTGATTAAGGAAGAGAGGAAGTCCAAAATCAAATCTATTGATGACTTCAAGTTTGAAGACTTCGAAATTGTAGACTACAATCCTCACGCACAGATAAAGATGAAAATGAGTGTTTAATGTGAGTATTATATACATATATTATGAATATAGAAAGAATAATATTATCGATGTGTGTATGTATGTACCTTAGAGCATGCTGTGTCTTCTGAGGTCCGAAGCCTGGATCCTTCTCTTGTATGTTTTCCTGATAGGAGGTGCTCTGTTTTCTGCTTCATCGTCAAAATCAAATATTGAAAGGTCTTCTGGCTGTTTGTTCAAGATCTTAGACTGAATTTTCGACTGAATCGTGTCTCTGTTGTTGATATCTACCATTTGTAATGGTTCCCGTTTGGTGGACGGAAGCTCCGATTTAACTTCGATCTTCTTGCTCTTCGTTTCTTTCAACGCTTGGGTTAGCTGTTGTGGCTCGGGCGTGCTTTCCTTTAGATTCTTCTTTATTATTGGTTCGTTGCCTACTGCAGTGACCAACCATTCCGTTTCCCTACGCATTTTTTTGTTCAAACTTGGTGTCTTATAATCTACTTCTTTTCTGGCTCTCCTTGGACGACTGGGCATATCGCTGAATACTTGAAATTCTTTCTCATTCTTATTTTTGTCTTCATTCAGTATTTCTGAAACCAGGGTTGGTGCCTCATTGGATATTCTTGATTCGGCACTTTTCGTCTCTATGTGTTCGTGGTCATTAACTACTGAAGCTCTTCTCCTTTTTGTCTTTGATTCATTTGGAAGTATTGAAGATCTCTTACCAGAAGATAGGCTTGCTTCTGTAGATATCCACTTTCTCTTACTGGAAGCTAGGTTGGGTTCCGGGGCCAACGACTTACTCCTCGCAGGAAATAAACTTAGTTCAGGCTCAGATGTGATCGACTTCCCACTTTCAGCAACCTTTGGCTCTGAAGTGGTCAGACTGATACCAGTTTCTGTATTATCCATTTCTCTTCTCTCAGAATGTACTGAAATTGAAGGTTCTCCTTGTGTTCTTTTCTTCCTTTGCCCAGCCGCTTCAATTTCCAGCACCAGCTTCACAGGACTCTCACTTTCTTCTTCGAGAAGTGGCTCAATACTGCGCTGCTTGTTTATTCCAGACTTATCATTTACTGGAGTTATTACAGCAGATTCACTAGGTCTCACTGCAATCGTTTCTTCACCACCCGTTTGCTTAAATACCTTCAATTTGGGATTAGAGGGCAAATCCTCCAGACTTCTTATATCTTCGAACATTTGAAAGATATCATCAAATTTTTCATAAAGGCCGTCTTCAATCTTGAGAAGTTTTCTATGTAAGGTGTCCTTAATTGCTCCGTCTTTCAAGGATTTCTGTCTTCTCATCGAGACATTCTCACTGATAAGTTCACTCAATCTTGATTCCATGCTCGATAGCTTTGATAGCATTATAGAGTTATTCTTAGCTAATGTCTGATTTTGCATAGAATATTTTCTTTTCAACTGCTCATGCTCCATTTCTGAATGGGATGTAGACAACTCCGGCTGAGAATGGTGAATTGGAGGCAGCTTTGGTGCTACACTTGAGATGCCCTTTGACTCTGTCTCATCATCACCAAGTAAGCTTCGGGATAATCCACTTGAGGTGGACGGTGGGGTGGATTTTCTACGGTTTTTCGCTTGATTTTTTAGCTCCACCATTGAAGGTGAATCGAGAGAGGGTCTAGCCATGACAACAAATACACCCAGCTTCGTAGTGCGTTAGTTCCTCTTCCTTTTGACAGAAGGTGGAATTGAAGAGCTGATCTTTGTTTGTCTGAGTTGCACAAATGTAAACAGTCCGTGCGGCTCAAAACAAACAGTAGAGTTTTCAGTTCACATGCAGGACACACAGACACTAAACATAAACATACGAAAGGCCTAAGCAAAGAAAAACAGGGCACCAGTCTTCAAGAAGGTTATAGAACGTAGTACTGGACGAAAAGTAAGATATAACAACAATATGGATAGAGTGAGCTGGAAGTCGTCTCACATACAGCAGAAAATTGCCGAGAAAAGGGCAGAGTTGGAGCATTTGAATGAAATCAAAAGGAATAGCGGAATACTCACAGGTCAGTTGGAAACGCTTCTGAGTAAATTAAATGATATTGCAGACGGAACAGAAGCTGTTGCGCTAGTTCTTTCAAACTGGCAAAATGTAGTCAGCGCGGTGTCATTAGCATCACTAGGATTGTACAAATATGGTCAGAAGGACTATGAGACCGGTACTCCCTTACCTGAGTACCTTGTAAGAATAAAACTAGAGAAAGACGACGCGCCCGAGATTCAGGAATCCGAGGAAGAGGAAGATGTGGGTGAAGACGCTGAAGAAAACATAGAAATACAAAGTGATAAAGAATGAGAAGTAGAAAACATAGAAATACCAAGTGTAGCAGAATACCTAAAAATGATAACTGGAGTGACATAGTGGTAAGTAGCTTAAACGCATTGAGTACTTTTCAATGCTCTACAAAATACGCTAGTTTGAATTATTCCTAGTCTAAATTTTCATTTTCATTTCCATTTTCATCTAGATTTATACATTGCCAACTTCCAGCTTTATGGATTTTACCCATGTTGGTAAGTTGTTCTCGCGTATATAAACGCTGAGCTTAGAAAGTAAATCTGTGGTCAAATCATCATGGGAAGTAATGACCAGCTGGTCTCCTCCTAAGATAGCATCTAACTGCTGCACGAGGTCATTGTCAGTGCCGATCTTTTGGAAAGTCTTGAACAAAATACTGTTTGTGAATTTCAACTTTACACCTTCATCGGTTTCATTTTCAGTGAGCGTAATTTCGCCCCACTTGTCAGTAATGGTTAACAATCTTAACCAGACTAGTCTGCATTGCTCTCTATATATAGAATCATTAGTTATTAATGATGTAATTCTTAATGCATAGGCAAAATTCTTACCAGAATTGATTGTAGGTTTCAACAAAGTTAACAAGTCGATCAATTGGACTGGCGTCAACAACTTCTTCGTCGAGAGGCGGCTAAGAGGCTCTTCAATTAAAGATTTGAATTGCACCGAGTCGATCAATTCATTGCTGAAATGTTTGGAAACATAGTTGAAAGTCAACAAATCATCCCCTTCTACGTTATTTCCAGCGATTGATCTCAGCAACTCACGGTACAATTTATTCTGTATTCTAATTGCAACCAAGTTGTTATTTGAATCAGTCAACGACTCTTCAGTGTCAACTATCATATCCACGTCGTTGTTGGGTGACTGTGCAGCCGCAATAGCAGATAGCTTTGCCAATGAGAATTTCAATTCCTTATTTTCAATCCTTTCATCTGCATATTCAAGAGACGAGGTTCTCAATGTACTGGATCCAGCAACAAAGTTTCCATCCAAGAAGTCTCTTATCCAGGATATTTGGCAAGTCTTTCTAGGGTTTTCTTGGAAGTACTTCATTAGGAAAGGTCTGTAATTTTCAAACTCGAGTAGCAAGGAGTTTATCTTATCATTTGCCAAGTAAAAATCGTACAAGCTTGAAGCAAATTCATAGCCAAATTTATCAAAGTACTCGTCATACGCCAACATTCCTCTATTCTCTTCCGAAGCTAATACAACTACCAAAGAAGACAAGTCATGGTACTTTTCACAGATTCTAATTGCTTCAACTTCCAAACCCCTAGAGAGTAAAGATTTAATCCAATGGGTTTTGCTACTGTTGTACCACTTCAAGTAATCCTTCAATTGTTGTTGGTTGGCCAGATCGAAATGTTGCATATACTGCACAGCACTGGTAACAAAATAATATAATGCTTCACATAATTGGCTGTTGTTTGTTTTCAACTTCTCGCTGGTAATTTCCAAATCTTTAGAAGTACCACCACAATAAATTGTCCTGAAGATTTCTTCCACGTTTATTATGAGGTCAGTGTCGAAAATCCATAACTTTCTCGATTCTATTTCGGGTTCTTGAAGAATGTACTGTTCTTCGTATCTGAATACCCCAAAATACAAAGTATTAACCAACAATTCATTGACAAGGGTGAGAGAAATATTTTCATTCACAAGCGTGGCAACAAAGTCATTCAAAACTTGGTTGACATATTGTAACTTATGATTTAGGAAAAATCTAACCGGGTCTGATACGGCTTCTTGATTGGAAATGTTAACGTATTTTTGAATGATTCGTTTCAATATTTCTAGAACTTTACCACCATTGACTTCCACAAATGTCCATAATTGTAGCCCTACCGCTATTTTCTCTAACTTCTCGACAATGTTTGACACAAGTACATTCCAAATCTCTGGAAAGTTCCTTTTAACATAAGATATAAGTGACTGAAACAAAGACATCTTGAGATTTAAGAAATCCTTTATGGACGGTAAAAAAACCGGTAAGTACGGTGAAGTAGAATTCAATATGCTGTCAATGATTTGTGCACATGCCAATTTTATTGACTTATGAGAGCAAGATTCAACATCCAATAAGTCGAAATCAAGCTCGTCTGATGAATTGGAAAAAAATATTCCTTGCTCGATATGTGACATTATAGTTGCAATCGGATTTTCAGCGTCGTCCTCTGGATCGACATCAATCTCCATCCCAGATGCTGCACCGGTTTCTCCGAATTTTTCCACTCTTAACACCCCTGAGTTGTTGGTAAGTAGAATGATAGATGGGTTACTGTCGCTAGATTCATCTTCATAACCTTGGCCAACGATCTGAACCGAAGGCTTTAAACGGATTATGTCTTCCCATCTTCTCTGGTTGTAGTAATATGGCGAGGAGTTGGATTCAATATAAGAGGGATTCACGTCAGTAAGTATAATGGAGTTTCCAATAATAACAAAGGCAACATTTCCTGGCTTGGGGAGGAATAATCTTGGCTTGACTGAAGGAATGTTGAAGCTCTTGTTCAACTTGTGAGTTCCATAGTACAACACCCCGGTTTTATTTATCTTCAAGGTCACTAAGGCATATTCAGACTTTTCTCCTGCTCCAGCGCCCATAGAAGGTTCAATTTCACATAATGCTATATGGATATCCTTTAAGGGTTTGCTTTCTTCTTGACGTAATGGCCAGATATCAAGTAAATTGATTTTGTTTGATGACCCTGGCAAGCTGTAGCCTTCGATGCTACTTTCTATGCAAGTGGATATATATTGCTTGAACGAATGCTTTTTGTCAATTATAGCTCCAGAGTCTGGAGTCACCAATTGGAGACTGAAGAAATAGTAGCCACCTTGGTTGTCCTGAATGAAAATCTCTTGGGCCATGCCCTGATCCAAGATATCAGATGTCTTAATGCTGACAATCTCCTCATTCAAATCCTTGGAATAGACGTCTGAGGACGATCCAGACCTCGACGAGAATATATTTGACAATAAGCCAAGCGTGTTCCCCAGTACTGGTGGTATAAGCTCTGTTAAAGACAATCTTGGCTTGCTGAAGAAGTCCTTAAAGCCAACAAGGACACATCTCTTCAACGACGTGGCAATCACAATTCCCGCAGGTTCTACATTTTCTGCTAAGGTGATGTACTCTCCGTGAGAAGTCTTCAACGGTACAGTCAATTCCAACAGCTTGTTGTTGATAAGGCCCAAGGCAGGAGCATGTTGCACACTCTCGTAAAATTTGACATGTCCTGAAGTGGAATCAATGATCATTAAACCTGGGTCGTCGGTGTAAGTGTTTATTGGCTTGGTTAAGATTGCTAATGGTGGCAATGGTGACCCGTTTGCAGAATCTTCTCGTACTGGGAACTGGATTGAGAGTGGTGTCGCATCTGTCGACTTGTAGCTCCACACGTTGATACTGTCGTTGTTAATAACAAGGGAATAGCTCGAGAAGTGATCGGTGTATCCGTTCAATATTCCTCCAGGAGACGACCCTGATGAAGCTATAGAAGATGCGCTGAGTATAGAAGGGGATGCAGGGAGTTTGGAAACACAGTATTTGGATGTTTTAGTCAATTCGATAATGCCGTTGCTCTTGGCTGATGAACTGAGATCGATCGATCCGTATGCAGTGGAATGGTGCTCCACCGATTTACCACCAGAAGCTTCCTTTCGCTCAGACTTTCTGGGTCTGAAGAGTGATTTCTGATCTACCATCTGTAAACTAGGAATGAATTGGCTCTACGAAGATGGTTGTGCCTGCTTTGTCGGTGTTGTAGCATCCAGTAGCTAAAAAATGAAAACAAAGAAAGTGAAAAAAAGATTAGAGGTACTGTATGCAGGACACGAAGATGTGCCAAAGTATTGTGTGATGGGAACCATAGATGGGGGAGGTCTTGGTGCTAGTGGTGGTTTGGCAGTGCTGCTGGCTATTTCCAGTGTGGAATGTCAACATTCATGAAGGCCAATAAGTCGATACATCGCATGGTTATTTCTTGTCTTTTGCAATCTCGCGCTCTCTCTTCTAGCTCTTGCCTACAGTTTGTTCACTACTTATGTCAACTAATAATATTCTAATAATATACAAGGAAGAAGAAGCGGTTGTCCTGGTGGTAAAAACATGCAGATCTATTGCTTTACAACGGATCCCTTTTGTTTTAATATTAATTTCAAAGTTGTTGCTTCATTTCCTCTTTGGATAACTCTAGCTCCCTTGTTCCACACTATTCTCCATATTTATGCTTTATATATGTCTTCAATTCAAAATTTTCTTTAATTCAGCAACAATTTGATTCAATTCAATTTAATCCAATTCAATTTAATCCAATTCAATTCGTTATTCAAATTCATTCTTCAAACTCAATTTTTTTGTCTTTTTGGTTGTGGTTCCTCGTCGGCACTCACAAACTCTTCGTCGTCATTGTCTACTTCAACCTGGTCATACTTAGCCTTCAAACCCTTCATCTTTCTGGTTTGCAACTTACCCAAGTCTTGGTTACCAACGTGGATTCTACCTATCTTGTCACCCATGAAGTCAGTATTGACGTTCTTCTTAACTCTGGCTTCCAATTCCTTAGGCTTAGACAAGGCATCCTTTTCAACTTCCGGAGCTGGAGAGATTCTCCTACCAATCTTGAAATCAAACCTTGGTCCAATTTCATCGATTTCTACTCTTGGAACCTTTTGGTTGGATCTGTAAGTCTTCAATTTGTATACTCTGAAGTGTAACATTGGCAAGGTAGTAGAGTTAGGGTCTTCTATTTCACCAGTGGATAATGCTATGATATGTTGTAAACCTGCGACGTCTTGTAAGTCTGTCTCGTCTCCTCTGTAGAAATCCATAAACAAGGACTTGATATGTTGGAAAGCAGGGTGGTGGTCGAATGCTGGACCGTTGAATACAAACATTGGCTTCAAACCTATGGTGAAAGTCAATTTCTTGAAGTCTTGCAATAACTTACAGTCGTCAGCCTGAATGGATAATTCAACCATATCGTATACCTTGTGGTTGAAAAATCTGGCAAAGGTCAAGTTGTTAGGTCTTTTCTTATTGTTCGATGAGAATACCATTAATGAGGTATCGTTCTTCTCGGAGAAGAATTCCAATTCGGCTGCTTCTTCGAATGGTCTGATCTCATTCTTCTTTGAGAATTTCTTACAATGAGGCTTCTTAAGTGCCATCAAATCACACATGGCATCATGCAAAAGTTTATTACTGGTGGATCCAGGAACGAAAAGGGCGGATTTGGTATTTTCCACCAACTTAGCTTCCTTTTTAGCCAAAGCTCTTTTGGAACGAGCGTTCTTTGGTTTACTATGGAAGAATGTTAGTATGCAAAAGATGCTTTTTAGTTTTTTTTTTTCATACTTCTCACTAAGAGGAAGGCACTTCCGTGCCGATGAGACCATGATACATACACTGTTCTAATCATTATATCAATTACCGTGGAGTAGTTATCAAGAGTACTCTTCTATTTGTGATGGAATCTTTTTTTTTTTTGGGAATGAGCATCGCAAGATTTTACAGAAATTTTCCAGCGGTCACGTGATCATCTATATTATCTAGTGAAGGGGAAAAGCTGAAGGAAGACGTTGGGGAGATATTCAGTTGAAGGGCAGAATTTAAGGGACAAGGAGCTATAAGGCGGGGCTGCCAAAAGTGGCGAAGCTTTAGCTGGTAGAAGTAGATTTCGAAGGCTGAGAGGGGATGGCTGTACTGTGCTTTACAAAACTTATCTTAGCGTTCGATGTACTGTTTAAAGACTAAAAAAGAAAGGTCGTACCCGGATTCGAACCGGGGTTGTCCGGATCAAAACCGAAAGTGATAACCACTACACTATACAACCTGTAATTATTTCGAAAAATGAACGTTGGTGTTGTGAGACCATCTGCAGCACCTTCGTTCCTCCGCCAGCTTGTTAAGTGTAAGAGCAAATATGGTAATGATGATGTGGGAAGTATACTTGATTTTCTACTCAGTTTCTCAATGGAGCTTCCAGTTCACATTCAAATTCTCTTCTAAGCCACTTACAGAATTGGTGCATCCTAGTCTTTTGCTTGATCTGACCAGGGTTTCTTTGTCATTGGTAGCAACTCTACAAATGCATCACAGTAAATAGGACTGCACATAACACCCTTATTAATTCCTGCCTGTTCCAGACTCGGAGATTACTAAAGTTGGGTGCAAATACGAGCAATATAAATACGTCTTCTTCCCTACTTATCGGCGTAGAATAGTCCTGCAATAGTGATCTAAGAAGAAGTAACTATCTTACATTCACCTTAGCTTAACTATGTCATTTCAATCAGCAACATTGAAGACAGAATACGTCCCATTGAACCAGATCAGAAGACCCATCCCTCCTGTTCTTGATCTTCAAAAAATAGACGCTATGGAATCTACGTTGAAAGGTACACCCATGGCATCTGCTACATGCGGAATAGATGATATTCAAAGTGGGGAGCTCCCACCTGTAGATGTGTTTTTAGTCCGCCAACAAGGAAAGTCGTACTACTTTGCATTTGGTGGTTGCCATAGATTCCAAGCTTACGATAGATTGAGTGAAGGTGGGAAGAAAGAAGTACAGGTCAAGTGTAGAATACTACCTGCAACTAAACAGACCTTGAAACTATATTTAGGGTCATCCGTAGATGAAATGTTTGATTGATAACATTAAAATTAAATTCATAATATACAGTACAATTATATACCAAGACTATAGACGTATGTCAATATAAGTGATCTCAAGATAGATACAAAGTTAAAGAAAGAGAATGCCGTTTGTAAAAGTGGTTGTTTAAGCCCAGATTTGCAATTGGTCATAGAAGTCAATTCTTTTACCCTTGGAATCATGTAATGAGTGGGCTACATAGTAACGAACTTCGTCCACCATGACTGGGTTACCACAGGTAACAAATGCTACTGAGCCTGACGATTCTTCAATTTCAGTTTTGACGAGTTTGTCCAATGCTGGCCTTCCTTCTAAGAAGGTGACATGGTTCAACCCAACTCGTATCTTGTGGATAATATCAGCATCGACATTCTCAGTAGTGCTAAAGTTTATGGAGCTACTTTTCTTCTCGACTTCTTCACTTTGTTCAGTGCTAACATTTTCATCTAAATCATGTTCTATGACTTCATCGTCAGTCTTCTCCACGTGGAACGCTGACCTAGTGACATGGACAGTGCATTGGACGTTAGTGTTCTTGAGAGCTGCAATTTCGTCATAAAACCAGAATAATGAATTGTAATCCTTGATGATCCAGTGCAAGTTGACAGCCTTCTTGGAGTTACCGACTGCTCTGGTTGCCAAGTCCATACACTCAGAGTAAATACCTGGAATACCATTACCACCAGCGATGAATACAGCAGTGTCAGAAGTCCTGGCTGCTGTTGGTTCACCGTATGGACCTTCAAAAGTTACTCTGATTTGTGCAGTCTTGCCAGGATGAGCTGTTAAGTATTGATAAAGTCCATGAGTGACACCACCTTTAACTTTACAGTACACAACAATGTTCTCAGCATCCACTGTTGAGGTGAATGTAAATGGGTGAGATTGCCAAAAGCATGAAGGCCTAAGGAAGTGAACGAAGGCATGACCACCTGGAGTTGCTGGCCAGAACTTTGGTCTGCGTACGACAACCTTCAATGTTTCGTTAGCCAAGAGTGATACCTCAGCTTTAGGGAAACCGAAATGAAGAAGTCTAAGGATTCTAACACCTCTATCAAAGGACCAAAGTGCAACAGAGGGATAGAGGAACCAGACATAACCCAAGGTGACAACGTGAATCCAAGTTCCTGCAATAAAGAGAGCAGCCATGATGATATGACCAAGTAAGAAGAGCTCGTACCAATTTCTTCTAAGATATAAGAAACTTTGAATCCAGATAACTCCACCTGCCACAGTACCAACACCACCCCAAAGCAAGTAAGTTTCAGCGTATTCCATTGCTAATTCGTCATAAAAGATCAAATCTTTGGTATAGACAGCACTGTGAACGATCACTAAGACTAATGTTACTCTTGATAACCATCTATGATAAGTGATAAAGGTAGCATAGTTCCAACCAGTAAGCCAGAGTAAGAAATTGTTTCTTCCAGCAAAGAGGATGAGCAATGGCATGAGGATAACGGAAACAATTCCAGTTCTGTCTGCAGAGTATCTCCACATGGCTTCCTTTCTTGTAGGCCATTCAGGATCACCTTCAGACCAATGGTAGTTAATAGCATTGACCAAGGTAGTTACAAGGATAAATCCGAATATAACCACTGATTCGAGTCTTGATGGAACCAAAAACTTTATGAATCTCAAGTAGGTAACTTCCTTATCCTTGTGCTTTCCACCAAGAGCTGGGAGAGTGACGTTTGCTCTCCAAAAGTTGGAAATTGGTCCAGTACACCATTTCATGAAGCCTGGGAATAAAAACTTTGACCAATTGAATATAATGGCAAGTAAGAAGACTAAGGCCCAGTATCCTAAGATACCAGCTCCATAATACAAGGAATCGTTGTAGTTACCAAGGAAAGCTTCATAAGACTTAAGTTCTGGACCTAAGAGTGATAAATCAAGAAGAATTGGATAGTCGATCACCTCGGTTGTGTTAAAGTCAGGATCAGCGGAAACGTTTACAGCGTTCTTGGTAAAGTTTTCGTATGCACCATACCAAGTTGCATTGTCAATAGTGTACGCATAGTACTCGGCACAATAACTCCATATTTCTTTCTCATCACCATTTGGAGGGTTTCCGTAATTAATACAACCTGCTAAAGTAGCCATAGCCCATGGATTATGACAAGAACAAGCATAGTCATCAGCATCACACCAAGTAGCACTATATGCCATGACGTCTGTGCACGAATAGTACATCAATATACCTTTGCCATACCAGTAGAAGTCTTCCTCACTGGTGGCTAATACTTTCGCTACTAACGCAAAAAGTGAAAGATAAGACTTCAACAACATTAGTGAATAACGATTATCGTTTCAAATTTGGTTGCAATATCATTGCCAATTATTTTCCATACATTTACTCTCCTTATATAGATCTATACCAGTCGGGTACGGTTCCAGCCAATGGTTGCACCCTCTTTTGGTAAGGCAATTAATTTTTTTGATTGGTGATACCTTATTTGTGCTGCAGCAAGATGATACATATGCTTATGCATTAAAACATGCATTACCACAATATTTGCCAAGAATTTGAAACCTTTCAAATTCCGTAATTGGGTTGGTTTTGACATCAAAAAGCTCTTAGGGTACCTTGACACCAGGGCTTGACCTTCTAAGCAATGAAATTGCTAAGAGACAAGAAAAATTGGGATATGTCAAATGCAAAATACTTTTAGAACAAGAGTTGTTGCTTGTATAGCTCAACAGACTATGCATGACGAATACGACAGTCAAAGACCGAGCGATGGAAAGCCGAAGTAAACATATTACTCTTCTTATTTCCCCACTTGGTAATTATACCTATTGTCGCTATTCTCAGGGGGGCTAATCCAATGAAACAATATTGATTAGGTGCCGAAGCTCGGGAAGGTTTGAAAAAAATCAAAAGTGACCCAATGAAAAATTTTCAACAATAGAGGGAGGCCATAAGCTTTAGCCTTCATATGCAATGCTTGCAGCGTAAATGATAAAATTTTCTCCCGAAATGGTGCAAGGTGCGGTTCGCCCTGGCTCCCTGATTCCAGTATCAAACAATAGGACGGACCGTGATGAGAAGGCTATTCCAAATTCGATGAATACTGGGGTTCCATTTCATGACTCCGTATAGTTAATACGTGCCTTAACAATGAGATTCAGCTAAAGGTTATTAGATTAGATTGACCTCTATTGTCTCTGCTAGTGAACCGTAGTTTTTTCTTGACAGTACATCTTTCATAAATCGTAACTGATATTTTTTGGTTGAACATTTTATTTTTTAGCTTTTGCACTGTCGCTTGGTGTAATTGTTACATAAACATTTTTGGCTAAGGCGCCTCCATGCAAGTTGATCTGATCAGATAACTTTACAGTGCGAAAATTAAGCATTATCTATAAAATCTACAGAGAAACTTTTAACTATTCCGTGGCAGAATAATAATAGTGGAATGTGCAACAAATTTTCATATTTAAAAGCAATTTAGGGAGAGTATAGCTATAGAAAGAGGATATTATAAAGCTGATTCATCAGCGTAGAGAAGAATCTAACTCATTTTGGAAATTATTATTTTGTTTTTTTCTGGTTTAATTTTTTTTGGTACGGTAGAAAATTTTTTAAGCTTCTGGGGCTCATTCAAAGTCCACTGCTAAAGGTGTAAGTGAATTCATACTTACGCGCGGCTCATCTGCACGCATGTTTCCCTCTGATGATTCCTCATTAATCAATGTTCTTAATGTAGCTCTCTTCAGCATTCTTGCCCGTTGCCATGACTCTGGGATGGGGAGCTTACCGTTTTTTTCTTCGTAAATAAGCAGGTAGAATGTGGCAATAATTGCTATCCAATACAAATTATAAGAAATTACACTTCCAATAGTCGCACTATTGGTCCAACCTAAAATTGCAGTCATCAACATCCAAAATGCCCCGTCGTCTTGTAACTCTCCATTGCAACAGTTAACGTGCCAAACACTGGTTTGGATATCGTAAGATCCCGGACCGTGTCCAGTTTCACTCACGTCAAACCCATCGCATAAATTGATAAATCTCTGCAACTCAAAATTCCATACACCCTTTGAAAGAAGTCCAGCAGCTACCAAGTATAATAAGATGGAAGACGAAACAAGGAACCACTGTAAGGAAAGAGAATTACCCAGACGATAAAGCAACACCCCTATCAAAGTTCCCATTACAAGAGCAACAATCACAGAATTTATTATTGCGGTGAATGAGGTATTTTCGTTAATGCCGATACCCCCGATGAATACAATTGCTTCCATACCTTCACGTAATGTAGTTATAAATGGCAAGATGAACATAAAATATTTTTCGCTCCATAAATTAGATTTCTTAGATTTGAGGTAGTTAGAATTGTTTATGGCGTTGTGAAGCTTAGCTCTCCATTTAGCTTGCATCTTGTTGATTCTCAAGAGCTTAATACCCATCACCGAAATGATAACACTGGCCAAAATGGAAAACGTTCCCTCCCAATAGTGTTCAGTGATAGTCCAGAGGTCGCTACCTAAATGATAGAATACCCATAAGATTCCTGCACCGATAATTAAACACGATACTAATCCGAGTAATCCTCCAACCCAGATTTGCAATTTAAGGTACTTGGCTAACCTATTCATTTCAGCTGCATCCTTGACTATCTGTTGCTCTTCTTCATCCTCCGGTAGTTGTACTTGTTCACTCTGTTGCACTGATACAAAAAGTGCTTGAGTCTCCTCTTCTCCACTAGCTATTCTACGATTGGTGGCGGTTTTCCTTGTGCTTAAAAAATTTCGGTGAACAAACGAGAGTAACACCGAAATGATTATCGCAGACTCTATAGTTTCTCTTAGGACAATGAGAAATACCTGAACGGAGAAGTAATCTTCAAACTCTTTCATCTTAACTGGTTATGAATACACCTACGTCAATATTTTCTAATTTGAATCAATCAATTTCTGTTTTAAATATTTAAAACTATGGTGTCAAGGCTTTTAGTGCCGCACAAGGTGAACATGTTTCTCTATGCAACCGCGTCATTTTTCATTTATCTGATCGATCTGATAAAAATTTGCGGTCCGAAGTTCGGGAAACGAGCGAAGAAAATCTTAGACAAGCTTTAATGCCTAGCCACAAGTTTGAAGTATTATTTCAACTATAAACATACGAGAATGCACTCTGTAGTAACATGTAGGGAAATTTCAGGAAAGAAAGATTACGAAGGTAACAAAACCGCTAAGATATTCGCTTAATAGTAAGGGCATTTGCATGGCCCTGGTGTTTGAAATATGCTTTCTTTCTATTAACTATATACAGTACTAAACTGGGGCTGAAAAGAAAAGTTAAGTCGTGCTCATCTCTTCTCGTCGTTCCCTCCGTCAGGTCTCCTTCGCTTCTGATCCGGTCTCTGTCTGCGGGACATAAACATCCCCCTTGGCTGCAGCGGGACAAACTTAGGCCTTTCCTCGAAGGAAGAGGAGTAGGGACGCTTGGTTCCTTGAATTTGACTGTGTTCGCCATACTCTCTGGACTTACCTACTGGAATGTACGAGTCACGTGCTCCTCCATCGTACCTACTGGTGTACGAATCTCTCTGGTTACTATTGGAAGTATGGTGGTTTCTTTGTGGAAACGGTGCACTAGCACTTGGACGAGTCAAATTTGAGTGGCTCGGTGCCTGCTTCATCATCTTGAATCTCTCAGAGTCTATTTCATGACTTTCCTCAAACTTAGGCAACTCGCCAGGTTTCATAGGCAAGGGCTCATTCCTGAAGTACTCGTGGTCCAATGCGTCTAAGGCGTTCATTCTTTTATACGGATCCAATTCTAGTAAACCAGATAACAAGCTGATTCCATCGGGCGTGATTAACTTGGAAAACCTGCTCTCCAACGATCTCTTACATGTAATACCAATGCTGAAATCAGCTTTATTAGGCAAGTTAATAGCCTCGGGCCATGCAATCGTGGTTGGTGCTCCTACCAATTCAAATACCAACTGGGCCTGGTGCGAGTCAGATTTGCCTACCAATATTGGTTGGTGGGTAAACAACTCACCGAATACACACCCTATTCCCCAGAGGTCAACAGCTGTAGTGTACTTCTTCTCTCCTAGCAATAATTCAGGTGGCCTGTACCATCTGGTTACAACTAAGCCCGTATACATTCTTTCACCACCTCCAGGACCTGAACCTAGTTTCGGTACCTTGCCATGATACACCCTTGCTAACCCAAAATCCGCAATTTTCAATATCCCATCAAAGTCAACTAAAATATTGGCAGCTTTAATGTCTCTGTGTAGAAACTTTTGCTTATGGATATACTGGATCCCTCTGAGTAGCTGCTGCATGAAGCACTTGATATGGGGAACCTCTAAGTGCACGTTTGGGTTCTTTAGCAACCCTACAAGGTCCGAACACATATAAGGAGAAACTGTATAAAAACAACCCCTTTGGTGAATCACATCCAGAGGATTCGATATTTTGGGAGATTCATATACCATGTCAACCAATTCGAGGATATTTTTATGGTGTAATTGTTTCAATATTGTTATCTCTCTCATCGCCGTTATAGGGAATCCTTCCTTGGCAGAATGGTTGAGTAGCTGCTTCAATGCCACAAGTTTATTTGACTCGACATTTTTTGCCTTCTGTACCACACCAAAGGTTCCCTGTCCAAGCTTTTGTATAACTTGATACTTACTCAAGTTACTCATTTCCCTAAATTTATGGCTAGAAGAGCTGGTATGTGGGTTGGGGTTAGGGTTGGAACTGGAACTGGAGCCTGAAGAGAGCGGTGGTGTAGCAGTCAGAAATTTCTTTGTATCTACTCTATCGCCATTGGATGAGTTGCTGCGTTTACGAGGAATGCCTGAGGTATCCCGTGAGCTAGCCTTTTCATCAATAATCTCGCCCATGATTACCTTAGGACCTCTCCATTAGGTACCCTTGGTGTCTCCTGGTAGATCGATTTTTTTTGGGGATAAGCTTATGTTGATATTGGTACGCGCACTACCGAGATGCTGCATATCAGAGCGCCATTCCTAGCAGTCAAGCGACCTGCCAGCGTCACTAGTGTGATTATTGTTAATTAAATAAATATATAATTATATGCAATATGACTATATTTGGCTGAATCTGGCTACTTTGCTATTACACAACAGATCTTTGCGCCTGTTTAGAAAACTTGGATGCTTTCTTTCTTTCTGCAGATAACTTTCTAGCTTCCCTAACATTAAAACCGTGTGATAACAATTCCGTGGTCTCTTCCAATTGTAAACCTGCAACTTCTGGATATAAGAAGAAGATAAACAAAAAGGAAATGAGACATAAACCGGCAAAAAAGGAAAATGTACCTGTTGGCGTGATATTCTCTAACATGGTCAAAAACGTTGATGCGATAACTAAGGAGCCCGCCCAGTTTGTACAGGCAGCATACATGGCACCCATAGATCTAACGTTTACATCTGAGAACAATTCAACACCAGTCCAGGCACTGTTACCAATACCAATTGCATAACTTGCAACGAAAAGGACCATACCGATAATAACAATGACTCCCCAAGCGGTAATACCCTTGGCAGCAACGTCGACATTGCTTCCATTGGTGAATTTGACTCCCAAGAAGTGGAATGCAATGGCACAGATAACCAAAGATCCGCACATACATGGGATAGCAAAGAGTAAAATTCTTCTTCTACCAACTTTATCAATTATGCACAATGCTACCATGGTAAATACGAAATTGGTTGCGGCAACGATGATTGAGACAGCAGTAGCATTATCAAAACCAATTGTTTCAAAAATGGTAGTACTGAAGTACATCAAGGAGTTGAAGCCTGTGAATTGCTGGATGCCTTGAAGTCCACATGCTAAGATCAATGCTCTGAAGTTTGCAGGAGTCTTATGGATTATTTTGATGGAGTTCCAAGCTTGCTGCAAGGGGTTTGAGCCTGGAACACGGGAGTTGGAAGTCACCATTTCATCAACCACTGCTAGAACATAAGATTCTGGGACTTCATTGTGTGTTTGTCTGATAACCTTTTTGGCCATTTCAACGTCTCCTTGCATGATGTAGAATCTTGGAGTATCAGGTAAAAACCAAAACAAGACAAATTGGATTACTGGAGGTACCATGCAAAGACCAACGGAGACTCTCCAACCATGCTTGACGTTAGTTAACCCCCAATTAATGAAGTAAGCAACTAACTGACCACCGGTAATGAACAAGGTATTGGTCACTATAAGACGACCTCTATACTTTGAAGGAGCTAATTCACTCAACATTAGGGGAGAGATCAAAGAGGCAATACCGACACCAAAGCCCAACACAAATCTACCAACAATCATGGTCCAGACGGTGTGAGCAACGACTTGTATTATAGTTCCGACAACGAAAATAATATTGGATCCGAGAAGGACCTTCTTTCTTCCGATGAAATTAGCCAAAACACCACCAAGGATTGCACCTATGAAAGCACCCAAGGAAGTAGCTGACGTTATGAATTCCTTTTCTCCATAGGTAAGAGCCTTGTTACTTAAGTCCGTACCAACCATGACCAATGCAGATGAAATGTAACCGGTATCGTAACCAAACATAAATCCTGAGATGGATGACACTAACGTCAAGACAATGACCATTCTCAGGGGAGTGGTGCTTGACTCAGAGAAGGTCGACTCGACCTCCGCTGGCGTATTTATTAATGCATCTGAGGACGACTGTGGACTAGATTGTGAAAGAGTGGAAGACACATCCACAGGAGTGGTGTCTTTGTAGTTGGAGTTGGATGAGCTCATTAAGGAATATATGGATGGATCAGTGAGCGAAACTGTGTGGGTCCGATATTGTGAAAATGCGTCTGAAAAACCGTACAGATGAACGACAAAGAGAGTGATCCGAAGAAAAGGTTATTACAACTATTTTAATCAATATATCTTCAAGCTTCAAAATGGGATAATCTTCCTAAAAAATGTGCTGTTGTTTTCTTTGCTCTTCCTTTTTTTTGCAAAGTGCGGATGGCTCTTTTATATAGAGCGCGAGGCGACGTTCGGCGAGATTCGGCGGGACGCTGAAAATTACGCCGGATGAGAATGTTACATAAGCAACTCGGAGTATAGTGAAAGGCGCGGCGGGAGGAAGAGACTGCTCGAAGTAGGACAGGTAGTGATGCAGCGTAGTGGTTCTGCAGTGAAAGTGGGTTGTGGTATTGATCGAGTATCGTTATCGTAAAGGTGTATGAAAATTGGGGATACACTTTTAGACAGAGAATGCTTGCTTTGTGACTTATGCTTAGGTATTCCTCGATTTTTTTATTACTTGTTTTGTTCACTTGCTGTGAGTGTGGGGGAGATCTCCTCTTTTAAGTGCATCCGCATTATATTCAGATCAGAAGGGCTTCCACACTAGGTTTTCAGGAGGAGGTTCTGAAATTGGTGGGAACTAGAGCCGCCCTACATATGAGCTACAGTCTTACTGGGTCTTATCTAGAGTGTGTGACAGCACAGGGACCAAAAAAATTGCACTATTCACGGTCACTCTAGAGACACCGTTGCTTGGCTTCGTCGTCTTACATTTGCTTTACATGCGCATTATTTTTCACTCATATTTTATAACATTCATACATAATACTGTTCAAAGGAACCTATACAGAACAATTACTTTTTGTTATCACCAAAGATCTTGTCTGAAACCTGTTGGGTTTTAGATTTATCGTGACTTGGAGTAGCATGTCCAACAAAATTGTCTAAGGAGCCCTTAATTTTATCTCCAAAGTGCTCTGGAGTACTCTTTTCGGAGTTTGGCTTGATTTTATCGTGAATCTTATCGGAAATATCTTGTCTACCGGCGTCTGACATGTTTAATTTAGTAGTAATAGAGTAATAATAGAATTAGTAGCAGTAGTAGTAGGACTTGCGGCAGAAGTAGATGAACCAAAGTCTAACACGTACTCTTTTATAGTCTTCAAAATAATGACCTTTGCAATTCAATTAATTATACTTCTGACAAGTCTGCAGTTAGCTACGGTATGATTGCTACGGAATGAAGGCTATTTTCTGTATGGTCATTGTTTATAGTTTAAACAATAATTCAAACCATGCAATGATATTTGGCACGTTAACCACATTTTAAGCTTTGCATTCTTACTTCTCAAACGTGTCTAGTTGGTCAAATGCCCGAGCCTTGCAGGATACTACGCTGCTTGACACAGTACTACCGCTGTGGTCGATGAGAAACTAATACACTTTAAGAAAAAGGGAAAAAAAAAAAAAAAAATAAACTATGCCAATCCTCATTACTTTGCCTACAACACCAAATCACGGGATTTTCATATACTTTCATAATTTTCATTATTTTGAATATTAATTTCATCTTTCCGCTAGAAAATTTGGAGCCATGAAAAGTATTTGAACCATTTAGGTTCTACTAATACACATTTAGAATTTGCAATTCGAACCGGACTGGAACCATCAAATGGGAACGTTTCCAATGTTCCATCGATGACTACTTTTCTGCCCTTAGCCTCTACAACTTTTGCTCTCAAGACTAGCGTGCTATTTGGAGGAGCTTGGTTTTCGAAATTTATTGACAACTTCGCGGTAACTCCTTTCTTTGATGGTAGCTGAGGGAACCCACAGAAACACAACCCTTCATCTAATATTGTAGATATTATCCCGTTGTGGATTTGACCATCTTGGCTGATCAATTCTGATCCCAAATGGTAAAAACTTGTAAGATCACCAGTGCTTTCGCTTATGAAAAGCACTGGGTCTATCTCCATCAAATTGGGTCCGAAGAGAATCCCACTTCCTACATGGTTATCATGATGCTGCGGTGGGAACGATTCGCTCTTTATTATTCTTGTAATTGATTCATCATTGGCTAGCTTTTGGAATTCTTCAGTTTTGGTTAACTCCTCGAGCACCGATGTGTTGAATGACGCCAATCTTCTGTCCGAATAACTATTTTTCCTCCATTCTTTTGGAAATAAGAGGTAGCCCGCGGAAAGTCCAACTACAGGTAGAGTTAATCTGGTAAGTAATCTAATCATAGTGCTTGGTAATACCTATGATACTTGGTGTCTTCGTCACCTCTCAAGGTTAACATTCCTGCTTCCCCATAAAAGCGCAGAAGGATCAAGAAAACTAATGCTACTGTGTGCAGGAACGCATCATCTCGATATATATGTGCACCAAGAATAGTTGAGATGGACTTCGGAGTCTTATTTCGGTTTCTAACTTATCTTGATAAAGGAGTACAGTATGTCTAGAGATAGATCACCTGAAAGAAGGACCGGAAGTGCTGAGCTAAAGAGAAGGAACGACTCTCATGACTTTGATCTACCAAAAATCTCTATAGACTACAAGTTTGGTGATGCAGGATCGTCCTGGAGGATGATCAAGTTGAAGAGAACTCTTGAAGCGATCAAAGAAAGAAGCTCAAAGTCGAAAACGGACATCATTTTGGAAAGATATGGGACAGAAATCGAGTATGACGTTGCAACTCAAGAGAGAAATGAATTAGATCAAAGAAAGAACAAACCTAAGAGCCATTGGATTTACGAGCCGATTGCAACCATTAAACAAGCGGTGAATAATCAACTTTCGCTAAAAGAACTTATACAACAGGAACGCAATTTCGCCTTTGACGAAGATTCTGCAAAGGCAATATTAAAAGATTCCACGTATTCTAATGATACTGATTACCAGGATGAAAATGCCGCCAAGCTCGCCTCCTTCGTGAATTCCGGTAAGATAAGAATGCTGCAGAATGGCCAAGCACAACAGGATCCAAAAGTATTGCAGAGAATTATGAAAAATTTGGATAGGTGTGAACTATGTAACAAGTCTGAAGTCTTACCTATTTCTATGGGCCAATATACCTACCTAACATTGTTGCCATACAATAGTTACAATAAATTGTACCCATCAAATACAAGCGTGATTGTTGTCGACGAACATTACAATAATACGCTCTATTGTGAGGACGAAGAGTGGGATGAAATCGAAAATTTCATGAAAACTTTGGCCATATACTATTATAAAGAGTACAACAAGGGTGTAATATTCATTGAAAACGCGGTAGAGCCAATTAAGTATCAAAAAAACCATGCCCATATACTAGCTGTGCCAGTCCCGTTGTCTATAATGGCACAGAGTGAAGGATATTTCAGGGAAGGAATACTTTCTAACTCAGATGAGCTAGATGATCAGCATAGTTCCATACTAAACACGAAAGAGAAAAGTAAAGAATATCCTGGAAGTAACAGAAGACAGGTTGGGTTTAAGCAACTAATTGCTAAAGAGGCTCCATATTATCACGTCTGGTTCAATTTAGACGGAGGAATAGGGCACATAGTACAGGATTTTCATCAATGGCCCAAGTATGATTTGTTCACCAGACAAATAGTAGGCGAAGGTTTGCTCAAGTGTGATGATCCTACCCAGATCAACAATTCTAAAGATTACAAGAAATGGGTTAGTTCGGCACATAAAGGTGAAGAAAAGGAGAGGGTTGAGAAGTTCAGGAAGAAGTGGGATGTCTACGATTGGACCAAACCTGCAACTTAGACATACGCCAGCATCACGTGTAGTATAATGTACATATCAAAAATTCCAATACTTCAAAACGCTCTGTTTAAGGTTTGACATCATTGCAATAGTTTTTTTTGTTCTTGATGCGTATAGTTTTTTTTTTTTTTTCTTTTGTATTGATCTGACTTTCTGTAAATCTTTTTGTAGCAGTCTAGTTGTTTGTAGGTTAGCACTCTCTGTAAATAACAATACACATAAGTGGCATATTCCAACTTGAAATATCATGTTCAAGAAGGACTTTCTGTCTTTAAATCGAGGGAGAAGACGCCCGACAAGCAATGGCTTTCAAACTATAAATAACTTAGAAGACAACAATCTTCGCCTCATTCAGTCATCTCCAATATCATCGCCAAAGAATTCGGTTGATATCCAATTAGAAAAGTCAAAGAAAATACGACAAGAATTAGATAGTTTAGATAAGAATGGTAGCAATAAGGATAGCAAGCACATCGATAGCACGCATGCATTAATGATAAAAGACATCTTTCACAAGAGAATCAGTATAGGCTTACATAAGCTAGATGAAACTCCAAGGTGCCATTTAATCATCAAAAGCTTGGACCACAATGGGAAAAGAATACAGAAAGAGAGCTCTAGTAATCTCATGATCAATATCTCTAGCAATGGGCAGTTCATATTCTTTACATTGGGCCCGAAATTTATCAAAGGGCTAACAATAGACCTAGTAAAACATGTGAAGAGCATCACGTTCTCCATGCTCAATAGAAGTCTTCTTATAGAGCTTCAAGAAGGATCGGGTTACGTCTATATCACTTACATAACTTCAACATGGGATTTTGTAGATCAATTGAAATCAATTTATAAGAAAAATGGTGGAGTTGAACATATTGGTACAAACGATGAGCTCTTGAAGAAGATGCGACTAATAGATTCAGAGAGAACTCCCAATGGGAAAGCTGATAGTAGTTCAGCACCCTCGAGTACTAATGTCACTCCTACTCGAACGATCACACCTATAGATCCCAGCAAGATGTATGGCAGTAGAACGACGAGGTCGGTTTCCAGATTGACAGGTGGTTTAGATCCACACAGCTCTCCATCATACAAACTCAATAGTTCGGATTCTGACTCAGAAAATGTAGATACTATGAAAACAAAGAAAGAGGAAACCCCTGAGCCATTTACGCCGTCATTGAGTTATAAGTTTCTCGATTCTAAGAAATTTACAATTACAAACTCGGATTTCAAGACGCTATACAACAATGACTGGATCAATGACTCCGTTATTGACTTCTTCATCAAATATGATATCGACCAGGCCGTTAAGAATAATTCGTTTAAACAAGATGAAATATTTGCTTTCAACTCATTTTTCTTTAACAAGCTTATGACGAAAAGCAAGGATACACCTTCACTAAAAGATGGGGAAGAAATCGTGTCACTGGACAAAGATACTCTTCCTGATTATTACGGTAACATCAAGAGATGGTTAAACAAAATCGATTTGATGAAGTATCCATACGTGATAATTCCAATTAACGAAAATTTGCATTGGTATTGTTGTGTGGTTAAAGGACTACCAGAATTATTAAGTAGAGCAACTAAATTGAAAGAACGGATGAAAGAAATGGATGGCTTCGACTTCAAGAGTAGTGAAGAAGTTATTAAGGAAGTCTTTCGAGTAGAGATATTCATCTTCGACTCTCTCTCTCAAAAGCACTCAAATATTCACTATCCATTGAAAAAGTTCATTATAGACTATTGCAAAGATAAGTATGATTTAGAAGTTACAAAGGAGCAATTTCGAACTATTAACGCTAGAGTTCCAAAGCAAAATAACTTCAATGACTGCGGGATCCATGTGATCTATAACGTGAGGAAGTTATTGAGTGACGCGGCCCAATGTGAAAGACTCTGGAAGTCTGGGAACTCGCTATCACGATATCAATCTAAGTTATTTTTCAAGGCATCAGAGAGGAATGGAATGAGACAAACATTAAGAGAGACTTTAAAAAGGTTACAGAAAGAAGAAAATAGTGCAACTGAAAGTAATGGGAATGACAACGCTGACGAAGAAGAGGATATTGAAATTATTGAGATGGAATTGCCAAAATTAGTAAATGAACCACAAAAGAAGTCACCTAAAGCCATGAAGACAAGACCTGTGGATGATACAGAAGTTCTAGAAAAAGTATTAGAAATTTTAGGCGGTATCAGTGATAAACACACGCTTGATCCTAAGAGTACATCTTTCCTTCAAACCATTATATCTAACAAATTCATTCGAAGAGATCTCTCGGGCAAGAAATTGAGCAAGCTAGGAGTTGAAATATTGAATCAAATCTACCCCAATGACAATGAGATCGATGCAGAGGAGCTCAACTTAGTAGCTGATTTTGCAATCAAGATTAGTGGCTTTGATATACTTCTGGAAAGAAAGAAGATATCTGATGAGTTTTTCACATTTCTTAAAGAAAAATTGAAGATTTCACCCGAAGATTCGACTTCTCCAGCTTCTGCCACAGCTACAAAAGTCACTCCTACAAGAGCTAAAGATGAAACCACTGGCTCTGATAGTTCGACCATTTCAAAAGGTTCGCGCCCAAAGGATGAAACTTTTGTCATTCAACATTACCTGGATAATGAAGATTTGAACCAAAGTGTCAATGAACTACAAATATCGGAGACTGGAGCCGAAAGAGCCAAGGGCTTGAGCTCTACTCCAATAAAGTCTCCTGCACTGATAGCGAACAGTTCTCCATTGGAAGACAAAAATAATAGAGAGCACTACAAAAGCTTTCCCAATAAAAGAAGGAAATTAATAGACTAGCATAGGTAAATACATATATATATAGAGAAAAGTATTGCATTGGATAAATAACCAACCAGTAACAGACCCATGGCTTTACCCATGGTACACGTAGGAAGGAACGGAACACACGCAACTATATGCAGGAACAATAACAAACAAATATTTATTTTGGCACTTCTGTGCATGCGCTCCACAAAGAAGCCCACAAGCGTAAAAGTATTGAAAGCATTGAAGTCGTAGGCGATATAAGCAGCTTGATTTGAGATTTATTTACTGTGGTGTACGTCGTTAATTATGTCAGGAACACCATCTCCAAATAAGGAGGCGTTTGGGAAAGAAGCTGAGGCGAAAAGGTCAAGACCGACGCTGTGGGATCCAGCTGCTTTCTCACCTCAGTTGAGCCAGCACACACCACTATCTTACACATTAGAAGATGATTTGTCTACGATATCGATATCTCGTCAGCTCGAGAGTTACTTTTCACCATTGATGAACGAAAGTTCCGATTTATTTACACTTCAAAGCAGCTACATCCCACTAGTAATTAAGAAGATGGAATTGCTACACGAGAATGAAAATGAGACCAATGAAGGTGATGAAACGAGTGGGAACGATGGTTGGAGTGAAGATTATGACTTTTGGATCTCGTACCTTCAAGATCCCAACGATAAAATTGTGAGAAATCGCCATGTTAAAGTGCTTGAAAACCACATCTGTCATGGGATTCCATCTAGTCTTCGTGCTGCAATCTATATAAAGACCTTGCAGGTTCGTTATAAGTTTAATAAGGAATCATATGCCAGTCTTTTGAAAAAGGCTAACAATTCCCTGACAGTGAGAAACCAACAGGCGTATTTTGAAAACCTAACGTCTGTGGACCTGTCATTAAAGGATATACTAAAGATATTCAACTATTACAATGCAGAGGTGAAATCTGTAAACGGTGCAAGATTGGAACAGATAAACAATAGAGATTCATCGGGAACAGATCTAAATTCAACGTTTGAGAGTACGAGTCATCTACCACCTTCTAATTTCGTGGTGAGCGTGGGTAAGTTGATTAGAGAACAGATAGGAAACGGAAAAGTGGGTTCAGGTTCTACCTTGGATAATGAGGAGATCCTTTTCCTCCTACTCAAGTTTAACAAGATGTTCTCAGTTAATTTGATTAAAGATGAGTTTTTCTATAAGATAAATAGATCATTGGAACTGGATTCTTCCACTTCCCAATCATTTATTCACATTGGCAAACAGGGAATCAATTTGGTTTTAGTCTACAAGAAAATGATATTCAACTTCTTTCAAGACCAAATCACCAAGAATAGGATTGAACTATTGGATTTTTTGGTATTTGAAGGGTTTGATTTCTTCATAAGAATGATAGTTTCCATATTTTCGTTGAACAGTGAACAAATATTAAGATTAGAAGGGGACGATTTGAACCAGTTTTTGAATGATGAGGAAAAGTTTTTTGAAGTTATAAATGGAAGAACCGATATCAGCATGGGTGAATATTTGGAGAGTGTACTTAAATTTGAACCTAATTTGATTAAATTTGAGAACGAGTACCATTTACTTCACGCTAATTCATTGAACAATAATAACAACGAGCTTGTGAACTTGAAAGAAATCAACGATGAGCTTCTAACTAAGATTCGCGATGTCAAAATACAGTTAGAAAACTTAAAGCAAACTCATGATGAAATTATACAGCAAAGCAGCTCATACAAAGACCAATTAAAAGTAGCTTCTGATGAAAGAGACCAGTTGACCAAATTGAAAGATCATTTGAAGCAGAAGTATGAGAATTTAAGTATGAAGGAAAACGTGAGAAATGCAAGGAAGGCCAACGAAGATTTCCTGAAGAGAAGTGCAGAGCTTGAGGTTCAAATAGAGCAGTTGAAATTGAGCAACGAGGAGAAGAGGGGGAAGATTGCGAAAATAAGCGAACAAAAGAAATAGATGTGAGTGGCTGGAGAGAGGTGTGTCAGTGATTAGAGAGAGAGAGAGAGTGTGTGTGTGTGTGTGTGAGAGACATACAGAGACGGAGATGCCACTACTCCGAGAGTGAAACATGCGGATATATATAAAGAAGGCAATCGAATTGCTCACCACATCACAATATCTAGTATATATTAATTATGAATGTAACCGACCCATCTGTCCCTATGGCATAACTATTAACTATCCACCATGTTCCTCTCACCATGTTCTTTGGCACGAACCTGATCTCCACTAAACAACTGCGCGACCACATGACGATCTAGTGATTGATTTTTTTTTTTTTTCTGTCTTTTTTTTTTTCTTCATGGCTCTGATCATTTGTGGTTCCATATTTTGCTCTAAGGTGTCAGCCAGTGGTTATAAGAACTCTGTGTGGGCATATTAAGTAGCTCTCGCTTGTATCGTTTGTAAGTATGCAAGAAGAAAAACCTGGAGTAGGAATCGTCGGCGCTGGTCTTGTTGGGTGCCTTGCTGCATTGGCATTCGCTGCTAAGGGCTACTCAGTATCTTTGTTTGAGCTTAGGCCAGACCCAAGTACCATTCCCCAGAAGCAAAAAAACTTTAGATCCATAAACCTTGCTGTAAGCGATAGGGGTATCAGGGCATTGAGATATGTGGACGAGGAAATGGCATCCAGAGTGTTGGAGAATGTCATTCCCATGTATGGTAGAATGATCCATGACTTGAAGGGTAACCAGGAGTCTCAGAACTACGGGCTCTTCGGAGAAAGTATAAACTCTATAGATCGTTCATATTTGAACGACCTTTTACTCGATGAGATAAAGAGAAACGATTATATCAATATCAACTTCAATTACAAATTGTCAAATGTTGATAACTTGAATAGTCACCCAACGTTGACCTTCCAAGATGAGAATAGCGAATTGAAAACGTATGAGTTTGACTATGTTGTTGGAGCAGATGGGGCACATTCCCAGTTTAGATATCAAATGCAAAAGTCAATGAGAATGAACTTCAGTCAGGAGTATGTTGATATGCAATATTTGGAATTATCTATCCCGGCGAAGAATGATGCTGGTGAGTTCCACTATAGCCCAAATCATCTCCACATTTGGCCAAGACATGATTTCATGTTGATTGCACTTGCTAATAAGGAGGGTTCTTTTACGGTTACATTTTTCAGCCCTTGGAAGATCATTGAGCTGTTCCAAAATAAGGATGAATGGTTGGCATTCTTCACTGAGAATTTCCCAGATGCTGTTAAATTGATAGGAGAGGAAGAGTTGAAAGAAGCTTTTGATAAGAATCCAAGGGGTTCATTAATGCAGGTGGGTGTGTATCCATATCATCACCCCAGTGGTAGAGCAATTTTGATCGGTGACGCTGCTCATCTGATGGTCCCCTTCTATGGACAAGGTATGAACTGTGGGTTTGAAGATGTTAGGGTACTAATGGAATTGATAGAATCTCAGGCTGGTGACACTTCAGCGGCGTTCAGAAAATACTCAGAAGAAAGGCATGAGGATTTAAAGAGCATCTGCAAATTGGCAATGGATAATTATCATGAGATGTCTTCAAAAGTTACGAGCAAATGGTTTTTAATGAGGAAAAAGATAGACTACGCCTTAGGAAAATTGGGCAATGGCAAGTACTTCCAATGGATTCCGATGTATACCATGATCTCATTCAGAGGCGATATACCTTATTCAAAGGCTGTTGCAATTGAAGAGAGACAGGCCAAAATTTTGGGCAGAATCGAAATAGGAACGTTGGCTTTAGTTCTTGGAGTTGGATTAGCAAAGGCTCTACACCATATAAGAAAATAGAGGAAATTACAGAGAAACTACATCTAAGTAAACATTGTTTCCATAATCATTAATTATATTATTACTATTAATATCATTCTCAAAGTTTTACCATCTTTCTTTTTTCGATTTTTATTCGTAGTCAGTAATATCTCGTATTCGGTTTAATTAGTGTCTTGATGACTTTATTCGACATGGGAAACTTCAGTCTTTTCATTCCATTCTGGATTGGTAACAGCCAATCTTTGATGTCTGTACAATGGAGGAAGAGGTGGAACTTCTCTTCTGAAGACGTGTCTTTGGATGTTGTTCCACATGTGATGAGTTTGCCATTTAGCGTGCTTCGTAGCACTAACTGAGAACACTTCATCTAATTCTTCCAAAGTCAATCCCTTAGTTTCTGGAAGGAACCACAATACCAAGAAGAAACCAACAATATTCCAGGCAGCGTACCACCCAAAAGCACCTTGAGGCTTGAAAGCTCTCAATAATGATGGCCATGTTAAGGCTAAAATAAAATTAAAGAACCAACAAGTTGCAGTTGCAAAACCCATACCCAAATCACGAATGTACAATGGGAATGCCTCAGCTGAATATGTGAATGGAACTGGACCTTCACCTGATGAGTAGACACAAGCGAATAAGTAAATACCTGTGACAACACATCCTGCTCTTCCTTGAATATCTGTGATCCAGAAACCGAAACCTGTCATTAACAAGAAGATAGCCATCAAAGGGAAAGTAGTCAACAACAAATTACGTCTACCGAAAGTATCAATGGTGTAAAAGGCAGGAATGGCAAAAGTAAAATTGATCATACCGAAACCCCACGATGCAATCAATGAAGAAATAACACCCATGTTAGATTCAATGAAAATAGTTGAGGAATAGTAGGCAATAACGTTGATACCACAGAATTGTTGCATGAACATAACAATCCAAGCACCAAGTGCACCATTTCTGTTACGTCTAATAGTAAACATTTCCTTCATACGTTGGAATGTAGAAACACCAGCGTAAGCATGTTCTTCCTTTAACAAAACGTATTGGTAAAAGCAATCTCTTGCAGCAGAAATCTTATCGTGTCTTAATTGACATAAGGATTCAAAAGCTTCTAAGTGTCTATCCTTACCCATTAACCAACGAGGAGATTCGGGAACAAATGGGACTTGTATCAAGACAATAATAGCAGGAATACAAGCAGAACCCAACATTAATCTCCAATTAAGACCGTCACCAATACCATGGCTACCAACATAGTAGAAAGCTAAAACTGCAACGTAACCAAACATAATACCAACGGCTGTGAAAAATTGCCACATCATAACCAAAGCACCTCTGATATGAGCAGGGGTACATTCTGATGCATAAGCTGGAACAGTAGCAGATTTAATACCGATACCGAATCCTAAGAAGAATCTGGCAATAAATAAGTGCCACCAATTATTTACCAAGGCACTCCATACACAAGTAATGAACGAAATGAAACAAGTCCAGAAAATAGTCCATTTTCTACCAAACCTTCTGTTCATTGGATCAGCTAACCAACATGCGATCACGGAACAACACAAGTAAGGAGAACCATTAACCAACCCTTCTAACCAAGAGTCTCTCATAGTACCTCCTCCAATTCCTAATTCTTTAGGGTAGAAAATATTAGCACCATTGATAACGGACTCATCCATACCTTGAACAGCAGCCGCCATGGAACCCAATGCAATAACCCCAAAAAGCTTTGCTGGAACGTGCCACTTCTTTGTAGCCTCCAAATTAAGGGCAATCTTTTCATCTTCGCTCAAGACGTTCATAGAATTGAATTCAGCTGGAGTACGAGCTAATGCTGCAGCTCTGGCAAATAACTCAGTGTCAAGATCGTGCTTGCTAGCATAATTTCTACCCATTTGCATAACCTGTTCTTCGGTATATTGAGTTAAAATGTTACCGGCTTCATCGTTCATTTCATCGGCTCCCTTGGGTTTACCTGATTCAACATCACTGTGAAACTTATTCTTTTCGCTAGCTGAAGATGAAGAAGTGTGTTCGAAGAATCCATCATCTCCGTGAGGTTGAGCTGGAGCCACTGGCTCGCTTGTAACTTTCTCGCTCATTGTATTACGATATCTCTAAATGAAATTCACGCTAAAGATTAATCCGAAGATGCAGATCTATGTCTTTATATATTTCTATATTCCTGTTTATCGGATTTAAACAAGACGCAAAAAGTAAACTTTGACGATTGCTATTGCAGCTTTTAGTGTAAAGCAATGACGAAGCTAAATAAAGAAAAGTAAATAAAACGATAATTAAATGCCAAAAAACTTTAGATGGAAATCAATTCTTATCTATCACTCTTTGTTACTATCAGACTTATTTTGCCAGGAACTAGATTCCACTACAGGAGGAATTTCACTCTCTATTTATATCTATTGTCATAATGTAGAGTATTTTGGAACACGGGATGATCATCTTCTGCATTTTCGATTGTACATGCGTACCAAAAAGTTCTCCTCTCCCCCACCTTGTTAAGAGAGGTTTCTTGTATCGCAGGGCTGCATGCATATTTTGCCCCACGAAAAATTTGAAGCCTGAAAAAGAAACTTCCCGGTATTAAGTAAACTATTCCTATGTATAGTATTGCGATTTTTACAAGTTCTCCTGCATATTTTTACTCCATTTTTTTTTTTTTTTTTGTTACTGTTTTTAGCTTTTAATTCCTCAAACTGATGCTACGGGTTTACTTTATGCGGGTATTTCCTCTCTATGTTGCTGGAATCCATAATTCTTCCCCACCTTATAAAGTTCCAAACGTGACCATTCAAGAAAAATCACCAGAGATAAGGAACAGTAGTTGTGGGTTCGGATTTATTCAGAAGCCTGAAGTGGTGATCGTGTTTAACTTTCCCTAGTTCTAGGTTCCTGTCACTTTACTCTTTCATACTGCTCGATTTCCACCTTACAGGAGTCCAATCAATTTAGGTACATAAATTTGTAATTATTTTTTGGATATTTTTCAGGCTATTTTCCTGATTTTCTGGGCTTCTTCGTCATAATATTCGGAAGAATTGAATTTCCAGAAATATTTCGAGAAAGGTGCGCCATGTCTAAGAAGAAAATACGAGGCAATAACAACGGGTTCAAAATTTGGACTCGAAATTTGGCGGCTCACAATGATCTAAGATACTAGATAAGTGAAATGAAACTTGCCTCGGACTATGATTCCGAACTGGAATGATACTGAACGATTGAACCAGTTTGAATAGTTTCGCTGGGGAGAAAAAAGCAACCGAATTTCGACATACGTCATGGTTTCGTAGTCCGCATCCTGGTCAAAATACTTCAAAATACTACGCCAGCAAAAGGCTGTCTCTCGTCCAGTTAGCAGAGGGCTACCATGTATACAGGGCTTCGAACCTTCCGAGAATTTAATCCAGTGCTGCAGGACAGAAAGTAAGGTCTCAACACAAAGGAAGAAGAAACTACACATTTGTTGAAGGAGGGGAATGTTTTACCAAAATTCCAGGTAATTACTCCATATTGGGCACAACAAGATAGCCGTAAGATTACACATACGCACGTCACTAATGAGAGTTCTGGGAATGAAGCGATTCGTGCACAGAACTTGCTACAGTTATCTATTGGGCATTGGGCTCACATAAGGTGCTGAGTCGTATATGCATCTTCATGTTACACATTCGTTCATACATTGTTACACACTTACATGCGACACGCGGAAGCTTTGTCCCCCTGGTATCAAAAAACTGGGGTACGTGTAATTTGTGGCTACTCAATTTTTTATTTCCTTAGCCATTCTTGTTTTGTTGTATCTCCTCTTATTGTGGTATCATTATCCCGCAATCCCTCCGAGCCCAAGAACCTTATTTCCTTTCGTCCCTTCCCTTTCTCTTAGAATGCGTGGGTGGAATCTCGGACAATAGCCCCACAATACGTCAAAGTAACAGCCGATTTTTTTTTAGTATAGATATTTTTTCGTAACTGTATTTCATCACCTACTAGCTCCGAAAGATCTCCCGTTTGTTTCAAAAACAGTCTTTCCTACTGCCCCCGGCTGGCTAAAATGCACACACAATTGAAAAAAATAATCTTGTCCTTAAGTAAAGTCGATAAAAAATAATTAAGGTTAGGGCCCAGGTGCATAAACCTGGGGTATGAAATACTTTCAATGCATAGAATTCTGTTAGAACCATCTCATTGTACATTAGTTTATTATTATACACATACTCCTAGCTGAGTTATGAGAGTTTGCACTATATACTGGCTTAGGTTAAAAATTTATCGTTGTTTTCTTGCTGACTGCTCACTGGCTTCCTTACATAAATATTCCTTGGGCATCGAATCTGGTGTGATCCAATAGAGGTGATGAATTGAATTTCAATTGACCTCTCCTGGATTTCAAACAAATAAAGAAAAAGAAATTCAATTTAATTGATATTTCATTCATTTTTCATTTCCTTTTTCTTTCACCGATTCCATTATAAATTGACTTTTTCAGTTTATGATAAAACGGTTTCTATTCGTTTTTCTTTTCTTTCTAGTGGCTTCTTTACTTCCTCCTGAGGTTTGTTTAAAATCCATGTAATGTTGTCTACTGCGGTCTTCATGAGCCCTACTTATTGTTCCAGGTCCACCCTTTATCTCAAGAAATCTCTCAAGTAAGAACCTAATTTGTTGGCTCCGTCTTCCAATGCATCCTTCAAAACATCTAAATCTTGATTGGCATTACCAGAAAATCTGGCTGCAAAATCTCTAGCTGACGATTCCAAGTCGCCCATTCCATTGCTATTAGATCTGCCGTGGCCACCAGCTCTTGCTCCTCCATTGGCTTCCTCATCTTCTCCAAAGTACGAGGATGATGAAATTGACTGCGCTCCATCAAAGGTTTGCAACTTTGCTCTGGCTTCCTGTTGGGCATTTTCGTCAAATCTTGGTCCTCTACCAAAGAATTCATCTGATGAAATCCCCTTTTGAGTTCCATACTTATTTGTCACTTCTCCAGTGTATTTAACTTCTTTATACTTCTTCTGGTTAGGGTTGGTTGTAACATTAGCACCATTTACCATCCCAAAGCCCAACTTTTGGAACTTTTGGGGTTCTTCCTTGGCAGGCTTTGCTAATGTAATTGGTTTAGTACCTGACGAGTTGTCGTCATCGCCATCAAATTCGTCTTGAGTAGATGATCTACTTATCTTACCAAGTGATAATCCTCCAACTTTCTTCGTGACATCGCTAACAGCAGGCTCCTCCTTCTGTGGGGTGTAACCTAATCTCTTAGCCTCTTCAGCGTCCTTCTTGGCCTTTCTTTCAATCTCATCGAAATCGATATCTTCATCGTCAACCTTGTTAATTCTCTTGGAGGCTAATCTTGAGTTTCTTGGTCCGTTACCTTTGGAGGAGAGAATGGATTTCTTGGCCCCATTGGCACCGTTGGCACCGAGACTTCCACGAGTCGTGGTGGTTCTTGTAGTAACTGGCTTCTTTTTCGTAGCACCCAATGATAAATCGTCAGTGGAGGCAGATGGAGTACCAGCCTTGGATGACAAAGGTGATGGAGTGGAGTTGATGGGTTTGGTCCAGTTCAGGAAGAAATCATCAGTAGAGTCATTGTTGGAGTTGGATTCACTTAATGACAAGATGTCAGTAGAGTCTTCCAAAGTGACCACATCAGGGTGCTTCAATGCGTCTTCTTGAGCCTTCTTTCTCAATCTGTCCTTGTACTTGGTGGCAACAGGAGACGTGTACTTCAAGTTGATATCCACAGTCCCGTTTTTAGCCAAGAACTGTGAGCCTCCATTTTTCAGATAAAAGTCCTTAGCGACTTGGTTACCACCGTACTTGAAATGTCTCAACTGAATTCTCTGCCACGAGTCCAAATTCGAAGATTTGACAAATGAAATGTGAACACCCAAGTTTCTATGCACGGCAGAGCATTCCAAACACAACAAGACTCCAAAGGGGATCGAAGTCCAAGTTGGGTTCTTGTTGGTACAATCGAAGCAAACCTGATTGGCCTGGTTTTGCTTTAATTTGCTGAAAATAAGTGCTGCTTCTTCCTTACTTGCGAAGTTGTCAGACATCTTAATGCTAATATTAGAATATCTTCTTGTTTATCTAACTTATCTAATCAAATCAGACTACACGTTGAAATTCCAGTGTCCGTCTGCCCTTCAACAGAAATTTAGTAACTGGTGGCAGGTCGTGTAGATGGTGACGTGACACAAAACCCGATGATCGGGCGCGCGACCACCAAAAAAAAATATCAAGATGGATGGTGTTGGATGCAGGACAAGAAGACCATACGTCGTTACATGGTGGGAACGGTGCTGGAAGGAAGCTCAGTTGCACCTGAGAGGTAGAGTAGGGTGTCTTGCAGCTCCTATTCTGTCGTTCTACGCTTAGTAGTCACGAGACTTTTCTGTGGTTTATAATATACATTATCTATTAGATTTATGCTGATCATTTTGTTCCCTCCGTTTATATACAAGAGTAGAGGAATATAAATATTTCCATTAGATACCATGAATGTGAAGATGTTTCGTTCCAATCGACTTGGTTAACCATTTTGTACTTTCTTTCCTTCTTCTTTTTTCTTTCTTTCTTACTTTCTTTCTTTCTTTCTTTCTTTCTTTCGTTTTCTCGTTTAGCTTAGTGGAATGGTCTGGATCCTCCACGGGCAAACTCCAAAACCTTCCAACCATCAGTAACCTTGTTGTCCAATTCCTCTGGAATTCTTGTCAAAACCAAAGCATAGGTACTCAACTGAATGCTGTCTTCAGTTCCAGCAGCAATTTCTCCGGTCTTACCATTTCTAAACAAGTTAATTTCCTGAGCTCTGCAACTTACAACCATCACTGGGATATCGTTAGGCTGCAATAACTTACAAGTGACAACATCAACACCTCTAATATCCAAGATCTTACCGTCTGAAAATAATCCCTTTTCAACAAACTGTTTGTTGTTGGCTTGCCAGACATTGAATGGGGCTTCACTGAGCCATTCCTTCAACACCTTATCATCATTCTTGATGTACGAGTCCAACAATTCAGGTACAATGTAGTTGGTTAATGTCTTCTGGAAATCTGTCAATCTGAAAGTAGGGTCCATCATCTTGAATTGTTTGATGACCTTGGCCTGTTCGGTTTCAGCAAAGAATCCTGTAACCTTTTCAATTATAGTTCTGACTAATGCAATGAGTCCGTTCTCAGATTCGTCCCATTTTTCTCTCAAGGTAGCAATACCTCTTCCTACTGGAGTCTTAACTTTGAAGTCCTCCCATTTTTCGTTCATGGAGGGGCCAGTGGACTTGTGTTCAGTGGCAACTAAAGCTCCACCAGCCTCTTCATCTTCCTTGACTGGCTTCCAGACTTGACCAGATGCTAGCTTTCTGGCGAGTTCCTTCTCTCTTAACTTATCTCTTTGTTCCTTAGTAAGAAACCCACCGTATGAGGTGGATGAACCGTCGTCGATGACTTCAGACACATCCTTGTACACCTGAGTCTTTCTGACCGGTTCAAAGGCCTTGTCAGCAAGCTCAGCACTGGTGCTGACGGTGTTTCTGACACCCTTACCTACAGGCGAGTCCCACGCTTTCACAGCAACCCCACCTACTACGTCAGCAGTCTTCTTGACTACCTTTCCAGCGGCAGATGAACCCTTTTGGGCTTGGTCGAAGGCTTCCTTAGCCTTTCTGAAGGCTTCTGAGTCTGCAACTTTCCCGGTTTCATCCTGCAATGCCTTTATGTTTTCTTTGAGCTCAGAGGACTTCTTAACCTCAGCTCTGAACGTATCAAAAAACACTTTCATAGGAGATTGAGGTGGTTGATCGTTGAGTCTCGTTTGTGACGAATGAACATTTCTGGCAACAAGTCTGCTAGCAAGTACAGCGGCTCCAGATGAGCCTGGAGATGCTATTTTTTGGCGAACGATACTTCTACTTATCTGAGTTCTCAACATTGTATAGTTATACAGCTGGATATATGCCTACAAGAAGGAGCTTGAGAGTGGATGCTAAAGAAAGGGTACCTCTTTCTTTCTTTTTTTTTTTTTTTTGCCATTACTCAATGATTCAAAAATTTCACATTGGTGCGGGCACGTCAAAGCCGAAGAGGGCTAACTACTGTGAGAAGAATAGTAGGAATACCTTCGAACAGTGTCAGGTATTCGGCCGTGGGGTGTTTATTTCATTGGTAAAGGTGATTGGCTAAAGTGTGTGGCTGTATTTAGTAGACAGAAAAGTAATAAAACATAAAATAAGGGGTGTACGCTAAGTGGTACTCTAGCTCTCCAACCGCTCTCTGAGTTCCATTTACCCCACGTAATTGAAATAAAAAATAAAGAGCAAAAAAAAAAAAATTATACGCATGGATCCTCCAAGTCAAATGAGATTAAGAGAGATGCCAATGCAGCATGGGAAATGGCAAAGGTCAACGAAATAATCCACATAGCCTGAATTGTAATCATTTGAATACTACATTGTGATCGCTATATCACTGAGCCAAATTAATACGATTTTTTCCTGCATTGTATGCTCTCTGTTGTCACTAAATTATGATATTACCTTAATTGCTTCATTTCCTACACATACGTTTTTGCTCTGGGAATCTCATGCTAAAGAGCTTCTTTTCCCATAATCTTGATTCCTTCATGCACAAATTCGACCCAACCTTCTTCCAGTTTTCGCTGTAGGAAGTTCATGCTGTTGAGACTCGTTTCCCCTGATCTTCATTCCTGCATGTCCGATTTAATCGACCCTTGGTTCAAGTATAAGCTTACCCATAGCAATGTCTGAATGACCCTTTCCATATTCGAAGACTGACTTCCCTCTAACTACAGTCTCCATGACCCTACCTGTAAACTTCAGTCCGTCGTAGGCAGTTAATTTGTTCTTGAAGTAGGTCTTGTTGTTAGCAACAATGTACTCGGCAGTAGGATCGAAGATAAGTAAATCTGCATCATATCCAACTGCAATTTTCCCCTTGGTATGGGACAATCCGACTTGCTTTGAGGTATTCCAGGAACACCATCTTGAGATTTCAGCAATGGTGATTGGAGGATTCAACTTACGACCTTCCGTGTACATAATTGGTAAGCCGAATCCAACTGAGGAGATTCCACCCCAGGCAGAGAAGAAGTCTCCCTTTTCCAAACCTTTTAAATCTGGTGTACACGGGGAGTGGTCAGATACAACTGTGGTGATTAAACCGTTTCTCAAAGCTCTCCAAAGTAACTTACGGTTATCGTCTGTTCTAATTGGAGGACAGCATTTGAAGTGAGTATGGCAGTTGGAAATCTTTTCAGCCGTCAATGAAAGGTAATGGAAACATGTTTCGGCGGTGATAGGTAAGTTTCTGGCCTTAGCAGCTCTAATCAATGGGATTGCCTCGTGAGTAGCTAAATGTACAATGTGCAAGGGGACACCTGTGATCTTAGTAGCACAATTAATGATTTCAGCAATGGCTGTTGTTTCGAAGTTATCTGGTCTTGATGCCAAGAATGAGGCGTACAGAGTAGGATCAATGTTTTCCAAAGAAACATCCACCTGTTGGGCTGCCAAAAGAGGACTATCCATCAGTTCCATGTGCTTTTGTTCTAACTCCAATGCTTTAAGGAAAGGAGATTCGAAATTAGATTTTCTTTTGTTAGCCAAGTTGGCATATTTACCAATCTTTGGCTCTACGGTAGCAAGTAAAGGAGATTTGGATAAAGCCTTGGCCTGGGCATCTGTTAATACTGATTGGTTCATTGATCCGGCATGGTTGTGTGGGAGCTTACAGTTGTCGTGTTCCTCGTGTCTTCTGGATGGATGTGCTGAAAGTAAATCAACAACTGGCTGTGGAGCTCTTGAAATAAATGATGCAGACATTCCGAGATCGATGTCTTCAATATCATTGGACGTGATCTTTGGAAGTGGAATGTCTTTTCCGTTGACGTTACCAGTTCCCACGGAGCCGTTGCTTGTACCATTCCTGTAGTCATCTCTTTCGCCATAGTCGTCATCGACTTCCAAACTGAATTTGGCTTGTTCTTTGTGGGGATGGTGATCATGTACGATCAACTTAGGAGTCTTGTTAAATCCCATATCCTCCACACTCACAGCATGATGGTTCTTTTCGTGAGGTTGCATTTCAGCATGGAACATCAACAAGGTTGGTGAGCCCTTCACTTCAGCCATAGCCTTCAATATATACTTTGGATCAATAGCTGGGAACTCATCAACACCACTATCAATCAAGAAACCCTTGAACCCTCTTACACCCATAGAGATTAAAGGCTTTAAATCGGCCAAATTGGTGGGCACCATTCCACCCCAGAATCCAACGTCCACCCAGGTTTTCCCCTTTGCAGCCTCTATCTTCAAGTTGAAGTTGGCGATAGTGGTTGTAGGAGGGATGGCGTTTAAGGGCATGTCGATCACCGTGGTGACACCCCCAGAGGCAGCAGCCTGGGTACCGGTTGCAAAACCTTCCCACTCAGTTCTACCAGGTTCATTTAAATGGACATGGGCGTCCACAAACCCTGGCATAACCACAAGCGGTGATACGTCACGGTATTGGTCTAGCAACACGTTGTATCTCCTCAAGATCGGATCGTGTGCGCTGAGAACGCTGGGTTCAATGCTGAGAATCTTACCTGACTCTATAGAAAAGATAATGGTAGCTGGAATGATATCGTCCCCGACTAAAACCTTTGTAGATGCAATAGCCTTCGACATAGTATGCGGGTCTCAAATAAACAATAAATAATAACCTAGTTGTACAAAAGAAAGAGATGAGCTAAGAAACGGTTCCTAATATTTGGTGACAGATCAACTTTGATAATCTTCGAACTACCAATTTTTTTTTTTTCTTTTTTTTAACTTCACCGGAATTAGATTGATAATATTTTCTATGTAACCAATAGCCAAAGATGGGTGATGAAATGGTCAATGATCTAATTAATTAATATATATGAGAAGTGGGAAAAAAGAAATTCTTTAATTTTCGACCTTACATATTCCCCACACATCAAACGAAGTTGTCAACCTGTGCTTTACCATCCTATGACTCAATGTGCTAGCGGTGGAATAATGTACGAGAAAGTTAAAGTTTCTTATCTCGAACAGTGCAGCGCGCGGAATTGATTGGCACCTGAACCGAGCCCCATTGAACTTCGGGGAAATCCGAGAACAGGGAAGAGGCGGGAGAAGGTTCCAAATAATCAGAAACATGTACGGTCTCTTGGGGTTTTGCCGCGGCGATTGAGCTGTAAAGGAAAGGAAAGCAGGACTAGCCGAGACTGCAGGAGACAAGAACAGAACAGGTTAATGGGTGATGTTGCTGGAGTCTCCACCTGGTTAGCCACTCTGGAAATCAATGGTAAGCGAAAAAAAAAAAAAAAAAGAGAGAAGCTTGAAATCTGAAGCCTTGATTTTGTGTCATTATTCAAAATTACTGGCCAATCCTTCCTGGTGCCTGATGGAGTTAGTATGGCAAGTAGAGCCCTCCAGCATAGTTATCACAGAGGTACTCTACGCCAAAGCTCTTCTTTGTTTACACTTTTGATCCACGCCGAGATACAAAACTGTGTTTTAGAGGCGTGAAAGTCTTCTTGAGGTAACTTTATGCTACCCATTGCTCCTACTCCCTCTTCTCAGCATCTCCTTTGACTATATTCTCTACACTTTTTGCAATTTGCGTAATTTTTCAATTCAATTTTTCACCACCTAGTCAGATTTTATATAGACAGCATCTAGTACACAATTAATTGCTTTCCCTTCTTACTGTTTTCGATCCCATTTTTATACAACTGAGCAAGATCGTCCTTTGTTGCATCGAAAGCAGTTTCAACGGATGGAGCATCGAGTAATTCTTCATTCTCATACCAGCTAACAATCTGATCTAAAGTCTTTTTCTTTAATTCAGGGTTTCCCTTCAATAACGCAGTGACCCAGAATCCTGCAGAAGTGATATTTTTGAAAATATGCAACGAAGTTGGGATAGTAACTGGTTGCATAGACATACCACCATAAGTAAGCATTAACCCATTGTTACTCAATTTACGAGCAACCCCAGTAGAATTTTTACCACCTACACAGTTAAGGGCTAACTTAACTTCTCCTCCGGTTTCCTTTACCCAACCTTTAATGGTAGGGCCAAAATCTTTCAGACTGTTTTGTTCTTCCGTAATTACCTGCGTAGCACCCAACTCATTTTTCAACTCATTGATCAATGAATCCAAATCGTCTCTGTCTCTAACTACACTAATTGAGTTGAATCCCAATAACTTACCGATCTGAGATGCGTATTTCCCAACTGCGGAATTACCACCATTTTGGATAAACCAATCCTTACCAGGAGCCAATTTAACGTAATGTGTGAGCATCAAGTAAGCGGTAAGTGGGTTTACCGAAATTGTAGCACCTTGATTAACACTTAATCCTGATTTTTTACCCAATGCCTTTGAATCACTAGGATTGTTTAATTTAGTAAGTTGATCTTCAGTGGTCACAGCATGCGTCCTCCATGTACCAAAACAGACATTTGCTGGAATTGCCCAATCTCCAACTTTGAAGTTGCTAATTTTGGAGCCAACTCCGATAATTTCAAATAATCCTTCATTTCCTCCAACAGCAGATGGTTCATCTGTTCCCAATTCAGTGGTCTTTTCCGGTTGAGAAGGGTACACACCTTGAACTTGATTGATATCTGAAGGATTGACAGGTGATCCGAGCGTTTTTAACACAATTGAATTTTCTGGGATGTTTTCATCATCGATTTGGTATGTGTGGGTTTTCAAAACGTCCTTTGGTTCTCCATGTTTAGAGAAGATAACAGCTTGTGCAGTGATCATACTACGAGTTTGGCGAGTGAATAATTTTTGAGATGTTCTAGAAACTGTAGAAGAAAACATAATATAGTAGAAAAGTAAAAAATCTATTCAATTGATATTATTTTCAAGTGGGGTAAGTTCTTTCTTGTAAGAGCAGAGCTGACTATTTGAGCTCTCTTTTCCAGCTTTTAAGTTCCCACCGGTGAGACTTCTCAAAGGAAATTCGCGGGGAGAGACAGCAATTTTCCACGGAACATTGCTGAATGATACGGTAAATTCTCGATTTTCTTAGCGATGCTGGAGCAAATTAGTGGGAAAACTGGAAGTTTTCGGGTTTTAACGCTGCTATTCCACGGAAAAACTCAAGCCAAGTGCCCAAAATGAACGCGAGAGTTGCAACCCAACAAGTAAGTTGAGCTAGCATGATGGATTACTAATGGACTATTTAGTAATGAGACTTAGGCGGAACAAAGATAAGTACTGGTAAGTTCATGTGTTATTATATTATTACTACTACTACTGTTGACACTATAAATGATAAATATTACATAGGATTGCTTGTTGGCGGCGTTAGACATAATAAAAAAAAACATAGTAAATTAAAGGCAACAAGGCCCACACATCCTATATCTTCTACTTCTATTTCTTCAATCTTCCTTCTTTTCCGTATCTTCTTTGGATTGCTTAATCTGACTCAACTTGATTTTCGTATTCTGAACTGTTCCCAATACAAAATAGACTACATTGAAAAAAACTACCCAAAGTTCTGGCTTAATGAAATTTTGCGCAACTGATAATGTCACCAAAGAAGTTACTACTGACGATTTTAACACCACGAGATAATTTTTCTTCAAACCGGCACACACAGCGGTCTTCATATTAAGTAATTCTTGCTTGTAGTCAGCACGGTGATAGTTCTGTATGCCTCCCTTGTGGGGCACGGAAGGGAATGAATAATTATTAATTAATGAAATCCAGGACGTGAAAATTCCAGATAGAATTGGAGTGATGGTGCACAAGGAAGTTGCAATTTGAGCAATTTTCATTTTAACTGATAACTTAGGTCCTTTAAAGATTGTATTAAGAATTCCATAAAGATAATGCGACGTTGGAGTGATAATAAAGGCTCCATAAATCATCATAGTAAGGATTTTAGGAGAAAGTACGTGCTTTACAGTGATACCTTTAATCTTAGCAGTTTTGATATCCTTTGCTAATACAGACGCCAATGTTTCATTGAGTCCCGAGAGTACAGCCGCGGTAACTGACTTCGTTAAAAGTGGATACTTTGCAAGATAGTTCAAATATTGCGCGTTCAATGACATTATTTACCTCTATATAATACTAATACGATTCTATGCGACTGCTATATGCAACGGAACCTTCAAAAAAACAATCCATTCTTTAACTACTCTGGTAGATTGGGGTGGCTTTATAAAGTTTGAGCCATCAGATCCCGATAAGGTTTTGGCACGACTGGGTCGCACTTCCTCAAGCCTGTAGCGTGTAAAATGCAGGCAAACTGGTGTTTACCAACGCAGAAGCGATCACGCGGACCTAATTGCCTAAAATGAAAAAATGTGCAGCAGCATCCGAAGGACTCATATACAGGACCACATATGGAATATGCATAACCATGAAGGACCCCTATTAAATTTTTCAACATATGGATGGGTTTCTTTCCCTAAGTTTAGATCTTTTGAGCCTAATATAGACAGAAATGAACCGCTCTCCGACTTTCTTCGAGAGATACTACATTCTTAGAGGAGAATATGACTATTACACAAATTTTAATGTATCAGCTCGGTACAGCCGCTCAATACTGAGAGTTAACCTCTCCAATGCATTGCGAAACCTAGTTAAGAAGTACCCATGCTTTGCTGTAAGTTTCTTCCGCGTAAACGATAAAGATTTAGAGGAAGATGGTAAAAACTTTGTAATGAAACCTCTTCAACAGGTGAAGTTTGACGATGTTGTAGCATTCCATAAGATCTCCAAGTTTGATGAGACTACGTTAGAGTATATAGATCAATTTGTAGTTAAAGTAGGAATCGAAAACAGTCCTCTTTGGAGAATCATAGTAATGGAAGAAGAGGAAACTGGAAGGCAATACTTGACGTTCTATTGTGATCATGCGATATTTGACGGAACATCGGGTGGATTGTTCCACGATAAGCTTTTGCTTGAGTTGAATGAAGTGGAATCGAATCAAAGTGAGTTGCAATTCGCTGAAAATCTTCATACTTTAGATGATTCTTTTGAAATTCCACATGTTAATGAAGCAGGTTTAGCGTTGTACGATTCTTCAGTACTGTTTGCGTTGTATGAAACAGCCAGTAGACTCCTCGTACCTGGGTGGATAAAGAATTATATTTCTTCAATCTATCAAAACTGGTACCCAAGTAAGTACTACGTTGATGTTTCGAAAAATCCTATGTATAGATATAAGCCAACAAGGAAGAGTACACCAACCAAGTTTAAGCTTTTGAAGTTCTCACCCGCTGAAGTTCGTGGTATGCTTTCCAGATGTAAACAAAACGGTCTCACATTGACTCCATATGTAATTGTCATTGCATTGCAATGTCTACAGGAAACCATTATGAAGGGAACATCACAAGAAGTTGCAACATCTTCTGAATCTGCTCCGATCGAACATTCTTCTGAGACAATCATTGCAATTAATAATCGTAGATTTTTACCTGAAGCTCATGCAGAAGAGTTTGGCCTCATGGTTTCCCCCGTGGAAGTTGCTCTACCTCCATTCCAAAAGTTCGATAAATTGGATGACTTATTCCCCACGATGGCACACGTCGGAAAAGTAATGACATCAGGAATAGAAGCGAATTATGGATCTAAAATAGTCGGTCTTCTTAAGTATGTTAAGGTTGGTGATTTCTTAAAGGAAAAATTAGATCAATCATCGTCCAGACAGACGTTGGATGTTTCAAACTTGGGTAATAAGAGTTATATCCATGGATCTTGGGAAGCCGAGGAGTTCATTTTCTCTCAATCTCAAGGTGTTGGAACTCACTTTGGTATCTCGTTGGTAAGTACCCTGAAACTGGGTCTTAATATTGTTTTTGGGTACTTAGAAGAATATGCTAAGTTCCAAGATGAAACTGAGCTGTTTATTAAATTATACAGACAAAGGCTCTTAGATGAGGATGCCAACCTTAGATAAGCCTTTCGAAGTCTTGCAGTATTTTAAAAGCAAATCATTAATACGACCAACCCACCCGAACATGACATTAGAATATGCTTAACCCTAAATATGTAATTCAACTTATAACCAACCCACCCGAACATTTTACATAAGAATATGGCTAACACCTCAAATATGTATTTCAAAGTCTTGCAGTAATCTAAAAGCAAATCACTAATACAACCAACCCACCCGAACATTTCGACATTAGAATACGCACCTATTCACTAAATTACAGGCCCTTGAATGAACATGCCTAACCAGTAATAAGTAATTCAAATTATTGCAATACTCTGAAGAAAAATCATTAATATACCAACCCAAACATCAGACCTACATTCATTCTTTGGAATATACCTAATTTATTAATAAATACTATGCTACAAGCTGTTCTATCTACCAGTCTATCAACCTCTCTACTTTATCTATCTAACAGTTTATCTACTGTCTTCTCTTATCTATCTACCAGTCTACCCACCTCCTTCTTATTAACTATCTATCAACAAAATCTAATTTACTCGTCACTGCCATCCTCGACATCGTTTTCAATTGCGAAGGCTTCGTTCTGCCCAAAGTTATTTATAAACTGGTTTACCCCATTACTATTGTCTTTTTTACCCTGCTTTACCACAAGCATCAAATTCTTATTTCTCTTGATGGAAAACTCTTCACATTTCTTAATTGTACCGCTAACATGAAGGCATCGCACAATAACTTCTCTTTTTCCAATTCTATTGAGTAACGTTAGCGATGCCATGACTAAGTGAAAGCTTTGCCTCGAACACCGAAGTATCCCTGTCGAAGTCTTATTATTGAAGTATTTGACAGATACCAGCATTCCTGCCGTACCTGCTCCAAAATCTCCGTAGTGGTCTTGCAAAATTTTCCGTATCACCTGCGTCAATGTTTTAGGATTAATCAGAGTGCTTGATGATTGATATAAAGAAAGGAGAGCGCTACGAGGAGAGTCACTAAAAGTATCAAACTCTTCCCCATTAGGCTCAGGAGGGTATAGGATATCAAATAGTATATATCTTTGCTTAAGTCTAACCATGCCACTGTATTATTCTACTAGTTAAAGTATCTGATATTGACTGTTAATTGAAATCAATATATGGAGTATTGGATCTTATGCGATGCGGAATATGCAAAAAAAAAATGCATAGTGTTTTGATACTTGCGAAATTCAAGGTCGCACTTAGAGCCACAGCAGAGTAAGTAGAAGCTGAGCAAGAGTAAGAGGAAGCAAAGAAAAAGGAGAGAAGGAAATGGAAGAAGAAGCAGATACTTTTAAGTTACATTATGGTACATTTTATACAACTAGATACTTTTCCGTTATTTCTCTGGCCAACCTAGAATTGCCGTTGATATTGTAAATCAATGTAAGATTGTAAGCAGCTTCCATCAGCAAGTCATAATCAAGATCATCGATCTTGGCTTGATAGTTCAACACTTTCTCGTAAAAGTTTACAGCTAGCGTAGTCAATCCTAGCATATGGAATAACCTTCCTAAATTATACTCTATCTCTTGTAGTTCATATACAGTCAGGTTCTTCAGCCTGTGCTCCTTATACTGTAAGATGTAACTAACCCCCTGTAACAACTGCATGTGCCTATTGCTACTCAATCTTTGCATAGATCTGTGAACATGTGCCAACCCCAAGACTAAGCAAATCATTGGATCTCGATTGTAATCCTTGTAGGCTCGGTTTAAGTACACTATGGATGAGACATAACTTCTACTACCTCCGAGCAAATTAGCATAAACGTAAAGCAATTCAGCATGTTCCCTGTTAGTACTTGGAATGCTCTTTACATCTGCAGTAATAGTGGCCATTCCTGTTATGTTCTTTTGATAAGTCAATATCGAGTCAAAAGCCTTCAATTGTCTTAAAAAGAATTTTTGGTGATTATAGTTAGAAAATGTCTCCCATGATTCAGCACTTGAAGCAAAGCAGCACATAAAGAACTTATAAATAAAAGGCGAAAATTGATTTGCAGAGAGGAAAAACCTAACATAAGTCATCACAGTTGAGTTGACGTCACGCTGAGCTATTCCAAACATTAATCTCACCAACTTCAAAGTCATTTCCTTGTTTTTATCTTGAACAAAGACACTAACATCGGCAGCAACGTGTATAATTTGAATAGCATACTCAAGGTTATCCTCAAACTTAGCTAAAAGCAATGCGTATTGAACAAAAATCTTGAACCATATGTTGTAATCCAAGCCTCTGTAATCTGTTTTGGAGGTCAATACCAGTCTAGAATATTGTGCGCTCTCATTTGACGTAATACCCTCATGTAAATTTAGAACTCTTGCCATTCGTTCATCAATTCCCATTTCTTTCTTTCTCCTATATAACACAATTCCCTTGAATTCTCTATTCTTATCTCTTGGGAAAAAGCTCCGCACGCTCATGAACATATCCACCAATTGCGATGCCAATCTGATCCACGCAGTGATAGCAACTCTTTCTTGAAGAAGACTTGCAGATTCAAGTCTTTCCATTCTGTGATATATTTCCAAGACTTTCCTCTTAGCATTATTTTCAAATTCTATCTTTTCTTCATCACTTAGCTTGATTAATCTATTTCCATACAGTGGTCTAGTCTTGATAAGTGCAAGATCGAGAACAGGTGCTTGCCCATTTTCATTTTCCTGCTGTTGTGGGAGTAATAACAGCAGGGGTCTAGTTCCTTCTCCAGCTTGTTCTTCGCCAACTTCCTCCCCTACTTCCTTCAACAACAATTGTGAAGCTCCGATGAATCCAAGATGAAAATAAACTTCTGCAAGCGCCACTTTGATATCTACATTCTTGGGATCGGCTCCCAATACAGTTTCGTAGGATCTTGCTGCCTCTTGATAGTCACCAATTTCAAGGTTACATTTTCCTAACAATGACACTAATTGTATACCTTCTTCATGATTCTCTGGGTCGCACATGGACAAAAAGGTTAACGCTTCACGGTAGTATCCATTTGACTCTAATAATCTACCAGCATCCCAATACAAATCTTCGATATTATCTTCTTCCTCTTTGAGGTAATTGAAGTGCCTTATGGCCTCATCCTTCTGACCCAATCCTAACCTTAAGGCTCCTAACTTGAATCGAATATCAATAGGCAACTCATATGCTTTGTCCATTGCCTCTTGTACTTGTTCGTCGAAAGTTCTTTTTTCTAAAATTTGAATCCTTCTGGAATCAAATTCCGAATCATCATCAACATCATCCCACCAAACCTCTTGGATTCTGTTTTGTATCCAACGAGCCAGCAACTTCAAGATTCTTATACCGATTTCATATGAATGCTGTGAAGTGTATAATTCAGTTAAAATATTCAACTCAGACCACGAAAACTTCGGCACATTCTTTTTCTCTGATTTGGTCAAATTGTCATAATTTATATTCATATCTAATACTTCCATGTAAAGCTTAATTGCATCGTTAATACGTTTCTGCTCAACATAAACACTGGCCAATTCTTTTATCACCCCTGTGTCTGTTGGATATGCCAAGTGGACCTTTTGGAAGCCTTCCAAAGCACGTCCATACCTTTTCATCTCTTTATACAACTTGGCTCTACCTAAAATAGAATCCATGTCCTTGTGATTACTGACTTGGATGGCCTTACCATAACAAAATAATGCTTGATCTATGTGACCTAATTGGGCACTCAACTGTGCAACACTTGCCCAGAATTCACCATCCTTCTGGTTTATGTTTGCGGCAAGAAACCAGTAATTACAACATTCATTCAACTTCCCCTGCTGCTTGTATATTTCTCCCAACGTCTTGTACGCACTAAAGTTTTTGTTATCCTTCCTAATTACTTCTCGATACAAGTTTAGGGCAACCTGGAAATCATTCCTTACAAAGGCTTCATTGGCCTGTGAGAGCAATCCCCTAACTTCAGGGTCCAATTCCCTCAAATTGCTCCGCATTTGTCTACGTTTCCAGGATGCAGCATTGGTTGACTTCCTTTTCCTATTTTTAGATTTGAAATTCCCTGCTTGACGTAATGCATCTTTAAAGTCAAACTCCTCATCATACTCATCAGAGTTATCCTCATTAAATTCATATTCTCCATCGTCATCGGAAGAAAGGAAAAACGGTTCTTGTCTCTCTTGGTCATCTTCTGATAATTCGATGTTAAGATCATCCAAATCCATGTTATCATCTGCATTTATATCTTCATCTTCATCTGCAAACACATTTCCTGCCAGTTGTGGGGGTGCCAAATCTTTTCCTTTGGAAGAATTTACCTTATCTCCTTCAGGATTTTCAAAAACATTCGAGGACATACTCAATTTGAGAGTATACTGCAATCCGCTTTCAAAATGATATAATACACTTCAATATAATAATATTATCCTGTAATCTAAAGGATAGAGACGTACTCCAATCTTTAAAATTGTTCTATCAAAATGTAAACACATATAGATATAACGGTACTGCATATAATTATGCAGCATAGCATGAATCCTCGAATTTTTCACAGCCATGCTACTCCAGATGACAGAATAGAGTACATGAAGTAAGGGAATATACAAAGTATTTACGATTTGTATCATTCTTCGAAGATGTTGCTTGTTCACTTTACTGCATACGTTGCAGCAGTAGTGGTTTCAACTTGGGCATCGACAATTGATGTCGGTTTAGAGGCATCATGGAAGAGTACGTCATTTCAATTGAACTTATTGGAAAGTGCTGCTCAATTAAATGAGGAACTCTACTTTTCCACTATCGAGTATATTACTGGAATAAACGAAGATGAGGACGCTGATGACTTTGATGAAGACCAAAAAGTGTCAGATAAGATGCTTTTTGATCACGTTAAGTTGAAGTTAGACTCTTCTTCCTTAGCATTTCTTAATTTTTCAACTATCTATAAAGTGAACTCTCCGAGGATCCAGGCTCATTACGATTACTTTTCCAGTAATCCCGAATTACTTGAAAGAGTCAAGTCGGAATGTTCTACTGACTCCTTTGGCAATCGCATATTGACAGAATCTTCTCCAAATCCTGAAGCATTCTTGCTCTTAAATAACAAGATCTACTGCTCTCCAGATGAAGTGTTTGCATTGCAGACCGATTCGGTTAAGCAAGACTCAATTGAATTACTTCCTTTTGACAGAATTTATGGTGCAAATAGTGATTCGCCACTTCTGGTATTATATGGGGACATTGAATCTGAATTTTTTAGGAAGTTGTTGAAGAATATGTTATTGTCCGCCAAGTCAGGAAAGTTAAGATTCATCTGGAGATATATAAGCTCGAAGGACGAAGCTGATCGTCCCTTTGAAACATTGGCAGGTTATGGAATCGACTTGTCGTTAAAAAGAACAGACTATATTGCTATCGATGATAGAGATGGAACAGAACCTACTGGCGAAGCAGAGAAAATACACTTGACGAAAGAACAATCTTCCCAATTAGGAGAAAGCTTAACTCGGAAATTACTTCAAAATCCTTCTTATACCATCCTACGTGAATATTTGGAAAATTTCCCTAGCAGAATATCAGAAATTGCTTATTTGAGCGTGGATAATGATGAAGTTAAGACTAATATCCTTGCTAATGAGAAAATTGGATTGTCATCGGACTCAATTGGGTTATATGTCAATGGAGCTCCAATTCACAGATTGGAACTAGATTCCTTCTCGTTGGTCAAGAAAATTAAAGTAGAACTTGATATAATTAACCAGTTGATGAGTCTTGGTTTCTCCATCAAACAAAGCAAATTGCTAGTATCGAAATTTTCTTTATTGAGTGCAGTAAAACAAGCACAGTACTATCAAGGTAACACAATGATGGGTAATAACGAAAATAGATATAAGTTATATCAACATAAATTTGAATCCAGCTCTAATTTCGGATCAGGTGGAGTGGTATACTTCAATGACATAGAAGAAGATGATGCTTATAGTGATTACCCTGTAGATAGAATTGAGGCATATTCAGGAGAAACTTTCAGAAAGTTGAAGCAAGGACAAATTCCACCATTAAAAGAAAATATTCACGAATTGATTTTTGCCATAGATATACTTGATAAGGAGCATCTCAAGATATTCTTTTCCTTGTCTAAGTTAATCTTGGATAGGTCATTGCCACAACAATTGGCAATTTTGCCATTATCTCTCTCAGCTTCGCAAAGTTCACTTGAAAGAGACTTAATTGAATCTTTCTACTTTGTTACAAGTTCTGGTAGTCCAAAAGAAGGATTGGCATTTTTGTATAAATACCTCGAAAGTAAGTCAGATGAAGAAACTAATGAGTTGATATCAGAGATCAAAGAGAAGATTCCCGAAAGCTTTGAATTCAAGCCTGTTCACAAAACTACGCAAGATGTATTTTCAATCGATCAAGCATCGGTGATTATTAATGGAGTCATAACATCTTTAAGTTCACCAAATTGGCAAAACTTCATTGGAAAGCAAATCGTGCAAGATGTAACAATAATCCAAAAGCAATTAAAATTAAATAATAAGATCTCGCTGTTGAAGTCTCTCTTGTATGATCAAGCTGGAACAAAAAGAAACTCAAGAATTGTTCCTAGTGATTTATCGACCTTGAAGTATAAATTGATAACCGAAGAGCTTTTGAAAGAATCCATACTTATTAAGAGGAAAGACCTTAATGCTTATCGTCAAGTTAAACCATTCTGGTTAATTGGAAATTTCAATAAGTCAAAGCTTCAAAAGCAGTTAATTACTTTTTTGAAATTAATTAAGAAGGATAGAAATGTTCAATTGAGAATAATAAATGTGAGTAATGAGGACATCTTCAGTGGTCTCGATTTGAGTCAGTTAGCAGAGTCAGAAATAGATGATGTGATCTCAAAAATAGAGAGCTTTTCAAAATCTTCCCTATCAGATGAAGTAAACATAGATAAGTCTAAATTGTTGGCAGACAACAAATTTCCACTGTCCCTTTCATTCGTGCTTTACAACTCAAGATTTTTGAGACTTGATGAATTGCTTGATGAAGATGAATTGCTTCAAGTCATGAAATTTGAATCGGTTCAACGAATTGGAATCATTGAAGAATTACCACTTCTGTATTCAAGTGTTTTCGATGGGAAAACTTTAATTGATATTTTCAAAGCTAGTAACACGAAATTTTCAATTTCAGACTGGTTCGACTTAGTGACTTCTATCATTACCAAATCTTTCTTTGTCGATGAGACCTTATATTTGAATGATGTTTCAAGGTATGATTTTAACATGTTGAATCAAGGAAATTCATTAGTAGTGAGCAAGAATACAAACTTGGACCCCAAAGTTGAGATTCTTCTCATCATAGACCCAATTGATGAATTTGCTCAGTTGGCTGTCTCATTGCTAAATTCTGTTTTAGATTTTGAATTTATAAACATCAAGATCTTATTACAACCTAACTTGATTGCAAGAGACGATGAATCAAGAATCAACATCAATAGAATTTTTAGTGGAGTATATCCAAGTTCTGTTGTCACTTTCGAAGATAATGGTAGAGTAAAATCTTTTGAAAAGTCTCCTGTCACCATCCCCAAAGAAACCCTACTCACAAGCGAATTAATAGTACCTTCCAACTGGATAACTGTGATCAAAAGTGAACCAATTGGTGTTGACCTTGACAATATAAAGTTGGCGACCGACGAAAAGAATATTACAGCTAAATACGAATTGAAAAACTTATTAATTGAAGGGTTTGCTAAAGAAACCATAACTGCAAACTCACCTACTGGAATGTGGTTAGAAATTAATAAGTCTACAGGTAAAGATTCGTGGCTGAATAAAGATACAACAGTTATGTCAACTTTAGGCTATTTTCAATTGCAAGGAACTCCAGGGTTGTGGAACTTGAGAATAAAGCCAGAATCAAGCAGTGCTGAATACTATCTGCTTTTATCAGCAAGCCTAAATGCATTTGATTATAATTCCAAACCTGTCACATCTGTTTCGACTCCAATCTTTTCCTTGAGAGGTAGTGATATTAGAGTTAGAGTTACAAAAAACGCGGGATACGAAGATAAAGCGTTGCTTGATGCTCCAGACTCCAATAAGAATGATAAGTTGAAAAAGAAGAAGAAAAGTGGATTCTTCAGTAGTCTGAATAAAGATGAAGTAGAAAAGGTTGCTGATATCAATATCTTTTCAATTGTGAGCGGCCATTTGTACGAAAGATTTTTAAGTATCATGACAGCTTCAGTTAGGGCACACACTGACCAGACAGTTAAATTCTGGATCATTGAAAATTACATTTCTCTGAACTTTAAAAGCTTACTTCCATATTTATCCCATAAGTATGGGTTTGAGTACGAGCTTATTACGTATAAGTGGCCAAAGTGGTTGCGTCAACAAAGAGAAAAACAGAGGACAATTTGGGGTTACAAAATTTTATTCCTAGATGTAATATTCCCACAAGAACTTGATAAGGTTATATTCGTCGACGCTGATCAAATAGTAAGAACAGATATGAAGGAATTGGTAGATGAAGATCTTGATGGCAAAGTTTATGGATTCACACCAATGTGTGAATCCCGAGAAGAGATGGAAGGTTTTAGATTCTGGAAACAGGGCTACTGGAAGAAAGTACTTGGTGATCAATTGAAGTATCATATAAGTGCACTTTTTGTCGTGGACTTGAAGGAGTTTAAAAAGAGCCAAGCTGGTAACAAATTGAGGTCACATTATCAGAAGCTTTCCTCAGATCTGAGTTCATTGGCTAATTTGGATCAAGATTTGCCCAACAACTTACAGAGGATGATTCCTATCCACAGCCTTAGCCAAGATTGGTTATGGTGTGAAACATGGTGTGCTGATGAAGGTATCAAGAGGGCGAAGACCATTGATTTGTGCAACAATCCATTGACCAAGGAACCCAAGTTGGAGAGAGCGAAGAGACAAATCCCAGAATGGGTAAAATACGACGACGAAGTTAGTGCATTGGTAGAAAAGATGAGAGAAGATATGAAAGAGCAAGAATTGAAAGAGAAGTTGGAGCAAGAAGAGAGAAAAAGGAAGGAGGACGAGAGAAGGGATCAAGCTAGTGATGACACCGATGCCAATAATGAAATAGACAACCTATTTTCCTATGAGGACGACGATGATGGCTACTACGATGAGTTGTAGAGACACCACTTACGGCTGGAGATGTCATGGTTTTCAATAATGACATAGACAAGCTTCACTTCTACGACGACGGCTACTACGACGAGTTGCTGCGAAACCACTTACGGACAAGTGCAAGATTATTGGGGCAGGGAAGGAACATGAAGAGGTTGCACTGAGAAAATATTTTTTAACTAAAAAAAAAAAAAAAAATGAAAGAAATGAAAAATATTCGGCGGAGAACTGTCAAACTTGTACTGGCTTCACAAAATATTTGATATTCAGGCAGCAGAAAAAGGTACGACGAAAATGACGAAAGGCAAGAGCTCTTCTCCTAGATCGTTAGCTCACTCTTCTGAATAGAAACAAATATTAAATAAACATTAAAACAAATACTACAACCGTTTAACATTTTTATTGTAGTTTAATCTCCTCGTATAGACTTTATAGGTATATTTTAAGCCTAAAATAAAAAAAACTCATTGTAGCCTTCTACCCACTACCTCCTATCCACTGCTACCTATTCGCTACCAACACCGCCTACCCAACACGGCCCCATTGACTTCTCCTAACTTTCTTTCTCTGCATATTCGTCACCGGTTCCGCTCTCGTTTCCCTCCCAACCATGCGTATCCACGTTTATCTGCACGTGACCCATACATTCATGAGTCACATGTAAATTTCACTGCAGAAAAATTGGGTGATGGGCTCCAAAGCTTAAGTTGGTGGAGAGGTCTCGGACAGATCAAGAAGAAAAAACCAAATAGAGATATCGTAGGTTGACTAAATAACATCTACCATAGCCAGATCGCATTATATTGATAGCAGTATGAGGATTTCGGAAAAATTGCAACAAGCTCACGCTGTAAGTAACCCACCACCTGCGACATTCTCGTTCGAGTTCTTTGTGCCCAAGACTTCTCAAGGTGTACAAAATCTATACGACAGAATGGATAGAATGTACGATTTGAATCCAATTTTTATTGATATCACCTGGAATGCCGGTGGTCGTTCCTCCAGCTTGACTAACGAGATGGTCTACACTGCTCAATCAGCACTTGGATTAGAGACCTGTATGCACTTGACGTGCACGAATATGGCCGTGGAGTTGATTGATGAAGCCCTCGCGAAGGCGTACGAATCGGGATGCCAAAACATTTTGGCTCTTCGTGGTGATCCACCATTAGACGGTAGTGATTCCACTGGAGACTTCAAGTATGCCAAGGACTTGATCTCCTACATCAGACAGAAGTACGGTAACCATTTTAATATCGGAGTTGCTGCGTACCCTGAGGGTCACCCAGAGGAGAATGACGACGATCAAGTGTTGAAGTACTTGAAAGAAAAATGTGACGTTGGTGCAGACTTCATTATCACCCAAATGTTCTATGATGTTGATAACTTCATTTCTTGGTGTGGAAAGTTGCGTAAGATCGGTATTAATATCCCTATCATCCCTGGTATTATGCCAATATCCACGTATGCTGCGTTCATAAGAAGATGCAAGTGGTCGGAAATCAAGATCCCTCAACATTTCCTTGACGCCTTGGAACCAATAAAAGATGATGACTACCTTGTCAGAGACAAAGGTACTGAGTTGGTTAGCGAAATGTGTCAAAAGTTAATTGATTCTGGATTTGTAAACCACTTACACTTCTACACCATGAACTTGGAAAGAGCTACTATTATGATTTTGGAGAACTTGAACCTCATTGAACCTGCCAAGCTGCACGAGGTCATCGGAGGTTCTTTATTACCTTGGAGAAAGTCATTGCACCCACAAAGAACTAAGGAAACGGTTAGACCAATTTTCTGGCAAAACAGAAAGCACTCGTACGTCTCTAGAACTGCCACTTGGGATGAATTCCCCAACGGTAGATGGGGTGATTCTAGATCTCCAGCCTTTGGTGATATTGACTTGTCTGCTACTGACTTGTTGAGACAGTCCCCAAAGAAGGCGTTTGACTTATGGGGGACACCTCAGACTGTGCAAGAATTATCACAAATAGTTGTATCCTACCTTAAGGGTGATTTAAGCTCCCTTCCTTGGTCTGATGGTCCAATCGGTGATGAATCCCAAGTTATGGTTGATAACTTAATAAAATTAAACCAAAAGGGTTTCATTACTATGAACTCACAACCAGCTATAAATGCCGTCAAGTCTAAGGATAAGACTTACGGTTGGGGCCCAAAGGTTGGTTACGTATACCAAAAGCAATATTTAGAGTTTTTCTGCCATCAATCTTTGATTCCAACTTTATTACAGAAAATTGATGAGTACAACAATAAAAATGATGCTAACTCTTCCATCTTAACCTACTATGCCGTTAACAAAGAAGGAGAGTTGTCAACTAACACTAAGGAGGATGACATCAACGCCGTCACATGGGGTGTGTTCCCTGGTGAAGAAATCTTACAGCCGACTATTGTAGAGAAGACTTCATTCTTAGCTTGGAAAGACGAGGTTTACCGTTTGATTTCTGAGTGGTCTAAGATCGTTCAAAGTGATGTAGTTAAGAAGACCGGTGCCAAGGAAGAAGAACTCTCACAATTTGCCAGTCTTATGAGATCCTTCGGAGACGAGTATGTTCTTTGCAATTTAGTTAACAATAACTTTATTGATGGAAATGGGTTCATTTTCGAGCTTTTAAGCAATTTGACATCTTAAAGGCGTGGGAGACGATGAATAAGGAGGGAGGGAGAAAAGAAAGAGTGAGAGAAGGGAGAATAACAACAATATGAAAGCTTTCAATTCAACAGTATGATAGTTTTCAAAAGGAATACTTTCAACAATGTATATCCTTTTAAATAAAATGAGTGATTATCCAAACTCCAATGAAAATTTACGACTATTAACACCACATTCAACAGCATATTTGCATATTTATTATTCACATTATAACAAAACAGAATTTCATTTCAACATTATCTTTATATTACTGTTTTCCTGTCGCAAACAAAACATCTTTTGTAGCATCCTCAACGGTATGGTTATATAACTTTTAAAAAAAGTACATATTTTTGTAATTAAATTTTAACAATTGATTCTAATTGAGATAGATGTAGATGGTCGTATTATCCAATGGTGTATTGTAAATGTTATATGTATTGTATCTATTGTATGTACTAAACGTATTATATGTGTAAAGCCTATTTAAGGAAAGTTAAGAAAATAAACCATTTGTTGATATGTAAACAAAAGAGGTGAGGATGAAGCGATAGAAATTTGAAGGAAGTGGAGCGATTGAAGAAGGGATATCATGAAGCTAAGGATTGTTTAGACGAAAGGTAAAGAAAGTAAAACTAATGCTATAAGTGAATTGTAAGGAGAAATTGCATGAGCAGAATTTTCAGCCGTTGAAATTGCAATAGCAGAAGTTGATAAAGACGTAGTATAGGATGTGGCACCAATTGATGAAGATTCAGTGAAGGCGCATGCAGATCCTGAACAAATAACAGTAGAAAGGGTGGTGGTTGAATCAGTAGCTTCAGACGTGGAAGTTGGTGAAATGGTTGAAGTTTCAGTTGTCTCAGTAACGGTGACTGAAGAAACGGTAGTTGAGGTTTCAGCAGCTGTAGTTCCTGTTACCAGTGTTTCTGTAGATGAGTTTGGAGAAATCGCTTCAGTAGGAGATGATGAATACGCATTAGTAGCAGATCCAACACTTTCGCTCAGTGAAACTATAGGTGTCGATGGAGCACTATATGACGACTCAACTGTATCTGAAACAGTTGTTGGTGTAGCGCTTGAAAGTGTGGATGTAGACGACTCAGTTGTTTCAACTATTGAGCTGGAGCTTGTTGCGCTAGTGGAAGGTACAATGGTGCTTGAATCTCCACTGAGTGGACAGTATGTTGTATAAATCGTAGTAATATCATTTACTGTCGTTGTAACGACAGTAACACCAGTTGTGACAGGAATTGTTGAACACAGGTGATCGGAACATGATGTAACTGTGATAACTGTTGTTTCGTATGACGTAGTTGTTTCAGTATTAGTATTTTCAGGCAGTGTAGATGTCAAAGTACTTGAAAGGATTTGAGGGCTTGCAGAAGAAGTACTCGAAGAATGGGAGCTTTCTGGCGTACTACTGGCAGCAACAGAGGTACGACTTGAAATTATTGACAGATGGGAACTTGAGGGAGTCAAGAAACTAGATGAACCTACCAAAGAACTGGACGTAGTGGAAGAGCTTGACTCACTTGATGGAAGTGATGAGCTAGACAGACAAGTGGAACATATCAATGAAGTACTCAAGGAACTGCTCAAGGTACTACTTGAGGAAGTACTTAAAGTGTTTGATGTGCTAACAGTACTTGATGAGCTAGAAACACTTGATGAACTAAAAGTACTAGTGGAACTAGAGGTACTCAAGGAACTACTCAAAGTACTACTTGATAAAACACTTGAACTGCTTAAGGAACTAGCTGTACTTGATGAACTGGAAGCACTCGAGGAGCTACTTAAAGTACTACTTGAGGAAGTACTTAAAGTAGTTAATAAACTAGAAGAACTGCTTGGAGTAGCTGATGAACCAGAAGAACTGCTCAAAGTACTTGATGAACCAGAAGAACTGCTCAAAGTACTTGATGAACTGGAAGTACTTGAGGAACCACTCGAAGAACTGCTTGGAGTAGCTGATGAACCAGAAGAACTGCTCAAAGTACTTGATGAACTGGAAGTACTTGAGGAGCTACTCGAAGAGCTGCTTAAAGTACTAGATGTACTAGACGTAGTCGAAGAACTGCTTAAAGTGCTTGATGGACTAGAAGAACTACTCAAAGTACTTGATGAACTTGTAGAACTAACAGTACTTGATGAACTAAGAGTACTTGATGAACTAGAAGCACTCGAAGAACTGCTCAAAATACTTGAACTAGAAGTACTTGATGAACCAGGAGTACTTGATGAGCCAGGAGAACTTGATGAGCTACTCACAAGAATAGATGAGCTGGACACACTTGAAGAACTGCTTACGGTACTTGATGAACTAGGAGTAGTTATTGTACAAGGAGTACTTGATGAGCCAGGAGTACTTGATGAGCTACTCACAGTAATAGATGAACTAGACACACTCGAAGAACTGTTTAAGGTACTTGATGAACTAGGAGTAGTTGTCGTGCAAGGAGTACTTGATGAACTAGAAGCAGTTGTTGTACAAGGAGTACTTGATGAACTAAGACTTGTAGAGCTGGAGCTACTCAAAGTGCTTGACGAACAAGGAGAACTGGAGGAGCCAGTCAAGTAACTGGAAGTGGTTCCAGCTGAGCTGACCAGTGATGAAGAGGTAGTGCATTTGGAAGTAGTCGTAGTAGTACACTTAGTAGTACTGTGCTCGTTCTTGTTAGGAGTAGTCTTAGTAGTACACTTGGAAGTAGTGTCCTTGGTAGGAGTAGTCTCAGTAGTGCACTTGGTAGTGGTGTGCTCGTTCTTGTTAGGAGTAGTCGTAGTAGTGCACTTGGTAGTAGTAGTCTGCTCGTTTTTGTTTGGAGTAGTCGTAGTAGTACACTTAGTCGTAGTCTGCTCGTTCTTGTTAGGAGTCTTAGTAGTACACTTAGAAGTAGTGTCCTTGGTAGGAGTAGTCTTAGTAGTGCACTTAGTAGTAGTATGCTCGTTCTTGTCTGGAGTAGTCGTAGTAGTGCACTTGGTAGTGGTGTGCTCGTTCTTGTTAGGAGTAGTCGTAGTAGTGCACTTGGTAGTAGTAGTCTGCT